GGGCCGCGACGTAGGGCGGGGCCGCGACGGGCAGGCGCACGGGCGGCGACGGGCCGGGGCGGGTCCGCGACGAAGGGCGGGGCCGAGCCGGGCACGCGCACGGGCGGCGACGGGCCGGGGCGGGTCCGCGTCGAAGGGCGGGCCGCGTCGAGCGGGCGCACGGGCGGCGACGGGCCGGGGCGGGGCCGCGACGTAGAGGAGAAGCCCGCCGCGCGCCACGGGGCGCACAGCGGGCAATGAACCGCCGCGCGCCTCGGGGCGCACGGCGGGCAGAAAACCGCCGCGCGCCTCGGGGCGCACGGCGGGAGGAAAAAGTAGCAGCGGAAGCAAGGTGGGGACACACCCACAGGATCGATCCAAGGGGATCGACCTGCTCTGATACCATGTTAGAATTAGAAGGAAGAAAGAGGATTGAACTAGCAAGAATGAGGATACAAATAGCAAACCCTAGAAGGGTTGTACTCGCTATAGAGCACCCCACTACAGGCTAGAACAATAAGATAATATTCTGACAGCTTGGCACCCCCCGACAAACATCACGGAGCTGCAGAGTTTTTTGGGTTTCGTTAATTATGTCCGTCGATTCGTCCCTGACATGGCCCGCTTAACTGCCCCACTGACGGATCTGCTGCGGAAAGGGGTCGCTTTTACGTGGGGGGAGAAAGAGCATGCTGCCTTCTCTACCCTGAAAACTGTTCTCTGTTCACCACCTGTCCTGCGCATTGCCGACCCACACCGCCCATTCGAAGTCATTACTGACGCAAGCGACATCGCCATCGGAGCCGTACTGTTACAGGATTTCGGGAATGGCCTACAGCCCATCGCATACGAATCACGAAAACTGCACCCACCTGAGAAGAATTACCCGATACACGATCGCGAAATGCTTGCGATCGTGCATGCGTTCAAAGTGTGGCGCTGTTACTTGACCGGCGCAGACGTGACAGTACGGACAGACCACAAATCTCTACAGTACCTCCGCGCACAGCCTCACCTCAACCCACGACAGATTCGATGGCTCGATTTCCTCGAGTCGAATTTTCACTACACGGTCACCTACAAAAAAGGAGCATCAAATATCGCCGATGCACTGACTCGCCCTACTGCCCAGATTCACGCGATACTACTCGCCCAGACCAGCCCACTGCTGACAGGCCTATTTACCCACGGATACCAAACCGACCCGTTCTTTACAGGAGGCAACTCGCAGCAGTTCGCAGCAGCACGAGGGATCTATTACGTAAAGGTCGGGACCGACCGCATTTGGGTACCCGGGTATACACTACTACGGGAATTACTGTTACAAGAGGCACACGACGGAGTTACCTCAGGACATTTCGGGGTAGAAAAAACACGGCAGCAGCTGCAGCGGTATTATTACTGGCCAGAAATGTTGACCGACATCCAACGACACGTAGCATCGTGTCCCACCTGCCAGGTCATGAAATCATCACGGAAGCGGCCGGCAGGACAGTTGCAGCCGATCCCACCCCCAGAGCGTGCTTGGCAGCAGGTGACGATGGACTTCGTCACGGGGTTACCGGCCGGGGCGAGTGGGAACGACGCGATCTTGGTCGTCGTCGATCGACTGACGAAGATGGCACATTTCGCAGCATGCAAGAAATCAATCACAGCCGAAGAAACAGCCCGCCTCTTCATCACCACCGTCGTTCGCCTCCACGGGATACCATCGGCAATCATCAGCGACCGTGACACGAAATTCACCAGCAACTTCTGGCGGAACCTATGGCAGCAGTTCGGCACACGACTTCAATTCAGTTCATCCTATCACCCCGAAACCGACGGACAGACGGAACGGACAAACCAAACCATGGAGCAGCTGATTCGAGCCACGTGCGACGATCCGAACACGTGGGAACAGCAGCTGCCGCTCATCGAGTTCGCGTACAACAACGCACCATCAGCCACGACGCAACAGTCACCGTTTTACCTGAACTACGGACAGGACCCAACAGTACCCATGACCCCACACCCCGACAATCCAGTCCCACGAGCACAACAGTTCGCCGAGATTTTGCAAGCAGCACGGACCAGGGCAGCAGACGCAATTAAAAAAGCCAACATCATCGCTAAACGAAACGCCGATCGCCACCGTCGACCTGTCACTTACCAGCCAGACGACCTGGTACTACTCGATACCCAGAACCTCCGCCTGCCCATCACTCCAAAACTTCGCCCCCGATATTGTGGGCCATTTCGCATCAGCCACATGATCACACCCGTCACCGCCCACCTCCTCCTCCCTGCTGACTGGTACGTCAGCCCGTCATTCCACGTCAGCCTACTTCGCCCTTACATACCATCCACGAGCCAACTGCCACGAAATCGCCCAGCCAGCATGACACGTCCCCCAACCGAACCACTAATCACCCCTGAAAAAATCCTCAGCCACCGAGTCCGCAACCCTCGGGGAGCACGACGGATCGAATTCCTAATTCGCTGGAAGGATCGAACGCCCACAGAAGACAACTGGGTCCCCCTGGATAAAATTGAGAACCACCCTGTCTTCACCGAGTATCTGCGAAGCCGAAATTTCCGCGACGTCCATGCGCTCTCGTAAGAGGGGCCTCCTTGGGGAGGGGGGTAGTGTAAGGAAATTCCCTTTTCCTTACTTCGCGTCCCTGCTCAACGCGTACATCACTGTAGCACCTCAGTCAGCACCGTTACCACTCGCGACCATCGCATCATTCATCATCCCGCCCTTTTCGCACATCGCATCCCGACCTCACGGCTCGGCTGGTAACCCGCGCTCCGGGCCTACGCTTCGACACTTTCCCAACCTCAGTCCCAGGCTCGTCGCGCGACAACCACAGTCCATTACCGTTACCACTTTTGCTTCGCTATATAATCCTTCGCTCATGCCTTCGCTCATTTGTACTCCTGCTTCGATAGTGCAATTCTCGTTCGTTCACTCAATTGCACTCATAACACAAATATGCAATTCTCAAGTAGTCTCTGCAACGTAACCTTACGGGGTGATCAAAGTAGTGCACCAGCTCGACGTCGAGGAACGTCGGTGAATTTCAACCCTCGGATCAACGGTTCCAACCGTCAGGATTCACCGACATCCCTCGACGTTGAGTTGGTGCAGTACTTTGATCACCCCTTTACTGGATGTAGCGTTCCCGATATTTGAGCTGGAGGAGAGCTTGTCAGTTTTCGGCGTTGTCTGTATCGGTAGCTTGTAGTAGCGGGGATGGAGGAGTCGGATGAGGGCCGCGATTCAGCGCGGCGGGCGCGCGGAGACGAGCGACGATCGCGACACGGGCACGAGCGGCACCACCACCGCCACCATCACCACCATCACCACCATCATCAGTCCCCCGCGCACTCCGCGGGAAGCGGATCGAGCGGCGATGAGCGCGATAGGGGGAGGGAGGAGCACGGGAAAGGGCGCGAAGGGCGGAGCGAGGGGAAGCGGAGGCGGGATGAGGGGAAGGAGCGCGAGAGGGAGTGGGGCAGAGAGGGGGACAAGGATGGAGACAGGTTCGGGCCGAAGGAGAGGGATAGGTCCGGAAGCGACCGGGAGAGAAGGAAGGATCGGGAGCATGATGGGGAGAAAGACGATCGGCGGGAGAGAGGAAAGGACAGGGATAGAGAGAGGGACAGGGATAGGGATAGGGATAGAGATAGGGATAGAGATAGGGAGAAAGATCGGGATCGACATAAGGATAGGGATAGGGACAAGGATAGGGGTAAGGATAGGGATAAAGATAGAGATAGGGATAGGGATAGGGGCCGCAAAGAGAGGGAGCGTCAGAAGGAAGGGGAGAAGGAACGGGATGGGGAGAGGCACAGGGAGAGGGACAGAGAACGTGACAGGGAGAAAGGGAAGAGCAAGGACCGGCACAGGGATAAAGAGAGGGGCAGAGAGAAAGACAGGGAGCGGGAGGAGAGAGAACGGGAGGAGCACGAGAGGGAGGAGCGGGAGCGGGAGGAGCGGGAGCGCGAGCGGGAGAGGCGGAGCGCGCGGCTGGAGTCGCTCAAGGCGCTGACGGGCGGCAAGGGCGAGCGCAGTGACAGGCGCCGCGAGAGGGCGGGCGCGCGAGGGCGCGAGGAGCGGGTGGGCGCGGCGGTGGGAGCGCAGGGGGGCGCGGGTGGCGGGGAAGGGATTCAGGGAGGCGAGGGGGGCGGGGTGGGGGGGAGGGGTGGGGGGAGTGGAGGGTTTGGGTGCTAAGGGAGATGGGTTGGGGGCTAAGGCAGGGGATGGGCTGGGCGGTAAGGGAGGGGAGGAGGCTGCTGGCGAGGCTCAGGAGGCTGGGCTGCACAAACTGCGGTTGAAGCTGTCAGGTGCTTCTTCAGGTGGGTGTCAGGTGCTTCTTCAGGTGGGTGTCAGGTGCTTCTTCAGGTGGGTGTCAGGTGCTTCTTCGGGTGGGTGTCAGGTGCTTCTTCGGGTGGGTGTCAGGTGCTTCTTCAGGTGAGTGTCAGGTGCTTCTTCAGGTGGGTGTCAGGTGCTTCTTCGGGTGGGTGTCAGTTGCTTCTTCAGGAGGGTGTAAGGTGCTTCTTCAGGTGGGTGTCAGGTGCTTCTTCAGGTGGGTGTCAGGTGCTTCTTCAGGTGGGTGGGCAGGAAAGCTGTGGACAGAGAAGTTTAGTTTGGAACAACCTCAAACAGAGGAGAGAGAGAGGTGAGAGAGGAAGGAGATAGAGGTGAGAGAGGAAGGTGAGAGAAGGTGAGCAGTGGCTGGGCTGGTACATACGTCCTCCTCTGATGCCCCTCTTTACCACCATCCCCCCTCCCCCCCCCCCCCCCCCCCCTTGCTTCTCCCCTCCCCCCATACCTCTGCAGGCGCGCAAGTGCTCAAGGTGCCGCGCTCACACTCCAAGGGGAGGGCGGGGGGGGCGGGGGGCGGGGCTGTGGGGGGAGGGGCAGCAGGGGGAGCGGAGAGTGGAGGGGGGGAGAGGAAGAGGCGACACCGACTCATTCTGCAGGTGAGGGGGGGTAGGATGGGGAAATGGCGCCCTTGGGAAGTGTAGGCGGGATGTGGGGTCTGGCGCATGGTGCTTATGCTGCTCGTGCCGCGTGGGGGCATGGGGTGTTGGGGTGCGTGCTTGCGCTGCAGCCGTTATTGCATGTGATTTCTGAGAATTCTCAAAATTCCCGTACACTGCACTGGTTGCTTGCTCTCATCTCCCGCTTCTCTCCTCCTCTCTCTCCTTCTAGTCCCCGCTTCTCTCCTCCTCTCTCTCCTTCTCGCCCCAGCTTCTCTCCTCCTCTCTCTCCTTCTCGCCCCCGCTTCTCTCCTCCTCTCTCTCCTTCTCGCCCCCGCTTCTCTCCTCCTCTCTCTCCTTCTCGCCCCCGCTTCTCTCCTCCTCTCTCTCCTTCTCGCCCCCGCTTCTCTCCTCCTCTCTCTCCTTCTCGCCCCCGCTTCTCTCCTCCTCTCTCTCCTTCTCGCCCCCCGCTTCTCTCCTCCTCTCTCTCCTTCTCGCCCCCGCTTCTCTCCTCCTCTCTCTCCTTCTCGCCCCTGCTTCTCTCCTCCTCTCTCTCCTTCTCGCCCCCGCTTCTCTCCTCCTCTCTCTCCTTCTCGCCCCCGCTTCTCTCCTCCTCTCTCTCCTTCTCGCCCCCGCTTCTCTCCTCCTCTCTCTCCTTCTCGCCCCCGCTTCTCTCCTCCTCTCTCTCCTTCTCGCCCCCGCTTCTCTCCTCCTCCCTCTCCTTCTCGCCCCCGCTTCTTCCCTCCGTTTTGCTGGTACCATACAGGATAACTCAGATGAAGAGGAAGAGGAGGATGGTGGTGGTGCTGTTGGGCAGAGAGCAAGAGGGGAGGAGGAGGAGGAGAGGGGGGTGGGTGAGGGTGAAAGTGCGCGACACAAAGCAGTGGGGGAGCTGGGCGAGGAGGAAGAGAGGGAGGAACAAGATGAGAGGGACGAGGAGGAGGAGGAAGTGGAGGAGGAGGGTGAGGGGGGGAATGGAAGGTCCAAGAGAAAGAGGAGGAGGATTCTGGATTTGAAAGTGGAGGAGAGGAGGGAGGCTGACGAAGGGGTGAGGGAGGAAGGCGGAGGTGAGGAGGAGGGGGTGGAGGTGGTAGAGGAAGGTATTGAGGGCGAGGAGGGAAGGGGGGAGGAAGCACCTGAGGCACGAGAAGGAGAGGAGGAAGAGGAGGAAGCGGCGGGGGAGGTGGGTGAGGAGGACGAGGAGGAAGAGGAGGAGGAGGGGGATGCGAAGAGTGTGGGGGTCGCGGAGGAGGGCGAGGGGGAGGAGGGGGAGGGTGACGTGGTGTATGAGAGTGGGGGGTCGCAGCTGGGGGAGGCGTCAGCAGCAGCAGCAGCAGCAGCAGCGGGCAAGGAGAGCCCAAGGGACACTGCTGCTCACCATGACTTCGCCTTGGACCCCTTACAAGGTGACTCGTTACAAGGAGATCACGCAACTAGTACGTGCGCGATTTGTTTCTCTCTCCCCTGCTCCATTTCGCCACCATCTGCTGATCCCCTCAAGAACCCTGTGCCTCCCTAACTTCCCCCCTTCTCGCATTCCTCCTCCCTCCCTCCCTTCTCTCCCTTCTCTCCCTTCTCTCCCTCCCTCCTTTCTCTCCCTTCTCTCCCTTCTCTCCCTTCTCTCCCTTCTCTCCCTTCTCTCCCTTCTCTCCCTTCTCTTCCCTCTCTCCCTTCTCTCCCTTCTCTCCCTTCTCTCCCTTCTCTCCCTTCTCTCCCTTCTCTCCCTTCTCTCCCTTCTCTCCCTTCTCTTCCCTCTCTCCCTTCTCTTCCCTCTCTCCCTTCTCTCCCTTCTCTCCCTTCTCTCCCTTCTCTCCCTTCTCTCCCTTCTCTCCCTTCTCTCCCTTCTCTCCCTTCTCTCCCTTCTCTCCCTTCTCTCCCTTCTCTCCCTTCTCTCCCTTCTCTCCCTTCTCTCCCTTCTCTCCCTTCTCTCCCCAGCCCCCCCAGCCCCCCCAGCCCCGCGTCGCAGCCGGCGCAGCATGAAGCTCCCAGCGCCCTCCTCACCCTCCCGCACTCCCTTCTCCCCCTCCTCTTCCCTTCCTCCTCCGCCTCTCTCCGCCCACTCCCTCCCCCACATCCAACCCCCCCAGCCCCGCGTCGCAGCCGGCGCAGCATGAAGCTCCCAGCACCCTCCTCGCCGTCCTCTGCCGCCCACGCCGCCCGGGCGGCAGCGGAGGTGGAGGCGGCGCGGCAGCTGAAGCGCGAGGAGGCTGCCCGGCGCCGCAAGCAGCAGTCGGAGCGGGCAGCGCGCGCCGTCCAGGAGAACGCAATCCAGAAGATTCTCGGGCAGGACGGGTCGAGGAAGCGGAGGGAGCAGAAGATTCAGAAGAAGCGGCAGGAGGAGGCTGAGGTGGGTGGAGGGGATGGTTGGAGGGGGGTAAGCAAGCATCTGGGAATGAGGGAATGGGGGGGAAGCGTGGGTGTGAGGTTGTGTTGTGAGGTGGATTTCGCTGGGTTTATCCTGCCATCTGCTGGGTTGCTCCTGCTGCTGCCTGCTGGTAACATCTCTCTACTGGTCTGCCTGTCTCCATGCATTCTTTTCCCACACGTGCAGGAGCGCCTGGCAGCCAGTCAGGTGCCGCCACCTGGCTTCGTACGCATGCGCTTCACAGCAGACGGTGTGATGGTAGCATGGTCACCTGACTCCCAACAGCCCCTCATGTTCCGCCCCCAGCGGCCCCTGCCCCTGTGAGTCTTTATATTCCCTGCCATCTCCCCAGCCCCCCCTGCCCCTGTGAGTCTTTATATTCCCTGCCATCTCCCCAGCCCCCCCTGCCCCTGTGAGTCTTTATATTCCCTGCCATCTCCCCAGCCCCCCCTGCCCCTGTGAGTCTTTATATTCCCTGCCATCTCCCCAGCCCCCCCTGCCCCTGTGAGTCTTTATATTCCCTGCCATCTCCCCAGCCCCCCCTGCCCCTGTGAACCCCCTCCTCCTGTGAGCCCCGACTGCCCCTGTGGTTCTCCTTCCTTGGTGCATCTTCCTTGGTGCATCTTCCTTGGTGCATCTTCCTTGGTGCATCTTCCTTCCTTGGTGCATCTTCCTTGGTGCATCTTCCTTGGTGCATCTTCCTTCCTTGGTGCATCTTCCTTCCTTGGTGCATCTTCCTTGGTGCATCTTCCTTGGTGCATCTTCCTTCCTTGGTGCATCTTCCTTCCTTGGTGCATCTTCCTTCATCTCCCCCCCCCTCCCCCCGAGCCTCGCTGTTCCTGTGAGTCACTCACAATGCCTGCTGCATTCTATCAGTCCGCTGCCACTCACCCTCACCGCTCCCATCCCGCCTGCCCATCACATCCCACTCTCAATCTCCCTCCTCATTCGCCCCCACTAAGCCACACGGTGCGGCTGCCCCCCAAAAGCCCACAGCCTCGACCTCTTGCATCCAGAGCGGAGCTTGCATGATACCCAACGTCAACCGACTTTTGAGTCGACTCAAAAGTCACCTCTTGCATCCAGAGCCAAGCTTGCATGATACCCAACGTCAACCTTAAACCGCTTGCTTCCCCCCTTTCCGCCCCCTCTTCCCCCCTTTCCGCCCCCTCTTCCCCCAGCCCGCCCCCTCGCCCCCTGTGTGCAGCGCCGGGGTGCCACACTCCCTTCCGCTATCGCGACTCCAAGACCCACCTGCCGCTCTGCTCCCTGCAGTGCTACAAGACGATTCACGCCGCCCTGCCCGCTGCTGCTGCTGCTGCTGCTGCTGCCCCAGCCGCAGGGACTTAATGTGTATAAGTAGGTAGCTCCTTCGTAGCTATTATTTGGTAGGCGTGTTATTAGGTGTTGGGCTGGGCGCACATACCGGCCAATTGTATTGCTGGTGGAACTACAGGGGGTTGTAAGGTGCTTTCGTCATGGCTGGTTTCGAGAATTGTCTGAAGGTATGGTAGGTACTCACTGCGGCTGCTTGCCAATCAGAGTTTTGTGCTGTTACGGTAGTTGTACCATACTTCAAATTTGCGTATACTAACAATTCAGGCACAGGGATACATGCCTTGCTCAACACCATGTGGATTACTGTACGGTACACTACCTCTACACTGCCCCAAGCATCTGAATTCAACCTTAGTGGTTGTTTTGCCAAGAGTGTAATCAGGGTATGTCATGTTCCACGCCCCCAGAGCAGCAGGAGGTTCAGTGGGGGGGAGCACGGGTTGCTCGCACGACGCACGAGTGACTCGGTAGCCGCCTCACACCCGCCAGGAAGCTGAAATGTTATGTTAGAGGCTTAACACTCGTTCTTTCTCCTCATTCCTCCTTTCCCCCATCACTCCTTCGTGACTATCCCAAGGTCCACTGCTGCGCACCTCGCTTGCTCTTCCTCCCTCTCATTCCTCAGTGGCCGCCTCACACCCGCTCGGCCACTCAACTGCTTCTGGGCTGAACATTCCTCCCCCCCGCCCTCAGTCCTCCGTCACTTCACTGTCACCTTCTCTGGTCCACTGCCATGTGCCTCCCTCGCTCTGCCCCCCCCTCGTTTCTCAGTGGCCGCCTCACACACACTCGGCCACTCACTGTATCTGGGCTCAACATTCCTCCCCCTCCCCCTTCATTCCTCCCCCTCCCCCTTCATTCCTCCCCCACTATCCTCTTTTCAGGTCCGCTGCTATGTGCCTCGCTCTGCCTCACCCTCATTCCCAGTGGCCGCCTCACACCCGCTCGGCCACTCAACTGTTTCTGGGCTCAACATTCCTTTCCCTCCCTCCTCATTCCTCTGTCACTCTCACCGTTTTGGCTTCACTGTTACGCACCTCACTCCGCCTTCCCCCCTCTTTGCTACCTACTCCCCTCCCCGCACTCTTCCCTCCTCCTTTCCTCCCACTCTTCCCTCCTCTCCTCTTCCCACTCTTCCTTCCTTTCCTCCCGCCCTTCCCCTTCTTCCTCTTCCCACTCTTCCCCCCCCTTCCTCTATGCGTTAGTCCACCCATCTGCTCCTCACTGCTTGTCCGAGCCAGCCCACCTCGCCCCTTACCGCGAACGCCCCTCACACCAGGCCACAGAGGCCCTCTCTGCCCTCCCGGTGCCTTCCCTGCCCCTGCCCCCACTCCAGGCCCCCTCCCTATAGCTGTCCCTGGCCGTTTCGCAACGCTCTTTCCTGCCCCCTGCTGCTGCCCCTTCCCTGCTGCCCCCCCCGCGCCCTTCTCTCCGCCCTGCCTTCCCCCCGCCCCCATCTTATCAGCCCCCCTCTTGGGGGGAAGCTTCCCCGCGCCTGCACTGCCTGCTTGCACGCCAGGGACCTTCGGTGGGCGGGGAATAGGCCTCCCTCCCGCCCACCCCCCTTTGTTCCCCCTTTGACCCGCCCCCGCGCCACCTTTCCCCACACCACCCGCCCCCGCGCCTGCACCACCTGCCCCCGTGCCATTCCCCCCTCGTTTCACGCCACCACTCCCCACCAACCCACCCGCCCCCCCAGCCTTGCCACTTCGCCCATGGAAGAACCACTGCTCCACCACCTTGGGCAGCTGCCTACCCAGCACGTCCACCTTGCCCACCCACTCCCCATACACCGCGGAGCAATGCGATGTAGAGTTCATCAGAAACGACTCGAACCACACGCCCTGCTGCCGCTTCACCCGCTGTATCCCCAGCACCGTCCGCGCCAGCCGGCTCTGGTAGAGGTGGAGTGCGGTGCGGTAGGGTGCGGGGCAGAGCGGGCTGTTGTCCATGCACTTTTGGATGCGCACGGAGCCGTTGATTAGGGGCGGCGCGAAGGTCATTTTGACGGCGATCTCGTCCTGTAGGCTGTTGACCACCATGAGAGGCGTGCGGAGGAAGGGCAGGTTGTACTGCGGGAGTAGGCACTTCCACGGCTCCTTTGCATGGGCTGTGTGTGGGGAAGGGAAAATGGGAGAGATAAGGGATGAGGAGAGGGGCTGGGAGAATGGGAGAGAGAAGGGGGGGGGAGAACCCGGGCGTGGGGGTTTGGGGGTAAGGCAAGGTCATCTTGACGGCGATGTCGTCCTGTAGGCTGGTGACCACCATGAGAGGCGTGCGCAGGAAGGGTAGGTTGTACTGCGGGAGTAGGCACTCTCATGGCTCATGTGCGTGTGCTGCGGGAGTAGGCACTCTCATGGCTCATGTGCGTGTGCTGCGGGAGTAGGCACTCTCATGGCTCATGTGCGTGTGCTGCGGGAGTAGGCACTCTCATGGCTCATGTGCGTGTGATGCGGGAGTAGGCACTCTCATGGCTCATGTGCGTGTGCTGCGGGAGTAGGCACTCTCATGGCTCATGTGCGTGTGCTGCGGGAGGGGGTAAAGAGGAAAACGAAGAGGGGGGAGAGAAGGGGAGGAGGGGATAGGGAGGGAGGAAGGGAAGAAAGGAACCGTGAGAGAGGGAGAGAGGTGGGGGAAGCCGGGCGTGGGGGGTAAAGCTAGTGCCCGGAGGGGGGACTCTCGTCTTATAGGCTGTTGACCACCAGGAGTGGCGTGCGCAGGAATGGCAGGTTGTACTGTGGTAGCACGCACTTCCATGGCTGCTGCGCGTGTGCTGTGGGGGAAAAGGGAGGGGGGGGAGGAAGGGGAATGCGAAGGGAGGAGGAGGGGAGGAGGGGAGGAGCCGTGAGGGTGTGAGAGAGAGAAGAGAAGCAGGGTGTGGGGTAAGGCAAGGTAATGTTGACGAGCAGCAGCGAGCGGAGGAAGGGCGGGTTGCACTCGTGAGTAAACACTTCAATGGCGGCTGCACGTGCGCTGCGGGGGATGGGAGGGGGAGTGGGTGGAGGAGACGGTGTGGGGTTGGGTAGGTGCAGGGGGGATAGAAGGGAACGATGGAGAGTGGAGGGGAGGCGAGAGTTGAAAGCCTAGCCCCATGCGAGATGACTCGACGATGGGTTCCCACCCACGCGTGCACTCACCTTGCGGGCAGGCGGGCGGGGTGACTTTTGAGTCGACTCAGAAGTCAATGGGTTCCCACCCACGCGCACACTGACCTTGCCCGCAGGCGGGCGGTACGCCCGCCCCATGTGGTGAAACTTGAAGAGCCTCGTATGAGAGTTGTCAAAAGAAGAAAGGAGTAGGGAAATGCACAGGAGCAATGCAGCAGTCCGACCGACTGAATGCCCTGTGATGCGACCTTGCACACACACCTTGGCGGCACGCGGGGGGAATGCCCTGCCCCATGCGGTGGAACTTGAACAGCCAGCCGCTCCACGCTCCGCTCCATGGCAGTGCCATGCCCGCACGCGCACTGACCTATGCGGGGAAGATGGGACTGGTGCCACCACGCGCAATGACCCACGCGCACACGCACCTTGGCGGCAGGCGGGGGGAGTGCCCAGCCCCATGCGGTGGAACGTGAACAGCCGCTCCACGCTCTGCCGCCCGCACGCACACTGACCCACAACGAACACTGACCCACAACGCACACGCGCACTGACCCACGCAGGGGGGATGGGACTGGTGCCCGCACTCACACTGACCTTGGCGGCACGCGGGGGGAATGCCCAGCCCCATGCGGTGGAACTTGAACAGCCGCTCCACGCTCTGCCGCCACGTCAGCCGCCCCTGGATGTCCGGCGTGTCTGTTGCGCGGGGCGTGGTGGAGGGTGGTGGGCATGGCGGGTGGTTATGGGAAATAGGGCACGACGCATGACGCACGACGCACGACGAATGACGCAGGACGCACGACGCATGACGCACACACGCACCGAGGAAGAATCCCGCGTCCATGAGGCACTTGACGGAGGCACCAGGGGCGCGGGAATGGCGCGCGGCACATCAAGACGCAAAGGGGACAAGCAATCAGGGCAAGCAGCGCGTACCGAGGAAGAATCCCGCGTCCATGAGGCACTTGACGGAGGCGGACGGCAGCGCGCGCGCCATGGCGTCGCACGTCATCGCCACGGCCTGCGCGCCCGCGGAGCAACCGCTGAACAGCACGTTGCGCGCCGAGCCCAGCCCGCGCAACCGCAGGTCTGCGCGCGGACACGGCGGGGATGGCGGGCGAGTGTGGGGGGAGGGGGATGGGGAAGTGATCAGCAAACGCAAGAGTACCACGAAATGAGGGATGGCGCGCGAAAGAGTGGTCAACGCGTGTACCGCGAATGCGGCGTACCGTGAATGACGCTGGCGAGCGAGGCGTGGCCTTCGATGAAGAACGGTCTCGTCAGGTTGGCGGTGTAGGCGCCGCGCGAGCCGGCGTAGAGTCCGCCGTCGCAGTAGACGACAAGCACGGCGTTCCAGTCGTTGAAGGTGGGGTTCTCGCGCCCCTTGCGGCTCAGAATGCCCGCGAACCCCGCGCCGAACTCGTTCATCTGCGCACACGCACCGCCACCGTCGCGCACGCACGGCGTCATTTAAACTCAGGTCCCTCAAGCACTTGTTTGATTACTCACAAAACCATATCGGAGCTTGCCGTAACGAGAACGGCGACAACTCGTTGAAACCCCTAACGGCTTCACACCGAAGGGTTATAACTGTATCGGGACTTACTTTAGCGAAGAAGCTTTTGGAGCCAGGTTCGGGCCAGGGGCGCGTGGATCCGAGGCTGGTCTGCGCGCGCACCATGCACTGGCTGCGCGACGTGCACCAGCTTCCGCCCTGGCGGGAGGAAGGGGGGGGAGGTGCGAGGTGGGGCGAATGAATGCGAGTGGCGAATGGATGAGCGGGGTGGCGAATGGATGAGCGGGGTGGCGAATGGATGAGCGGGGTGGCGAAAGGATGAGCGGGGTGGCGAAAGGATGAGCGGGGTGGCGAATGGATGAGCGGGGTGGCGAATGGATGAGCGGGGTGGCGAATGGATGAGTGGATTGACGAAGGAGTGCGATGCGTGACGAAATAATAAATGGACAGATGGAATGTGGCGTACGCGGAGAATGTAGCACTGGGAAGCAAAGCCTCTACTCGAGGCGCCCCAGATATGAGAAGCGGCGGAAACCGACGAATTCACAGGTGGAAGGATGGATGCGGCGCGAGGCAAGGAAACGAAACTACACGGAAATGAGGCTCGACTGGACGAGGCAACTGATCTGGACATGACGTCAGCATACCATGAGGTGCACGACCCAGTTCTGCGCGCCGCGCTTGTTGCCCTTGCGAATGTAGTACCCCGGCTCGCTGCGCGCACAGGATCCATTTTTTATGGAAGGGGGGAGAAGAGGGCGGGGGAGGGGGAGGGGGGGGGAGGAAAGGCGAGAGGAGGGGAGAGATGGGGCGAATGATGAGATTGCAGCAGATGCTGGTTGATGCGTCGCTGTGGATCTCGCTGCGACGCTCGCACGTCGTACAGACAGCGTTGCGATGAGCTCGGCGACAGGCTCTACAGCTTCAGTAGCCTCTCTCACGGCTCTTGTGCTGATGAGCTGATCTGCTGTCTATCTAAACTCTGCTGCGTCGTCGCGTTTTCTCAAAATGCGCAAGATTGTGGGAAAAAAATCGAAGCCGTACCTTCCGTCTAAACATTTCCCGTGGTACACGTTGGTCTGGTTTAGTCGGACGAACTGCATCCCGCGCTGCGCGCCGGATATATCAAGAGCGGCGCACGAAAGCGTTTCGCGGCACAGAATCATGAGGACCGCCGGTACCACCATTGCCACCCACAGCACCTGCCGCCGCTCCATGGCGTGAGCTCTAAACTAAAATAACCTGCAAACATTCGCTACTCCACCGAGCTACGCTGGACCATGGCCGCAAGGGACGAGAATTCTACGAGGCACCCAGAGAGACCCTGACGCTGGGCGGCTCTAAAGAGATGTTATTTTCCGCTGAAGTGCTAGCTCGTTGGTTGTGAAGCACGAGACAGTCCTCTGCTGAGACCTTACAGGTAGAAAGAGTGCGGAAAATCTTGTGAGATGGAAAAATTTGGGTACGATTGAAGGACACAGACAAGCTGGGGCAGACTTTACCTTCGAGTCGCCCGATTGAATGTCGAATGCGCCTCGCAAGTGAGGGAATGACCAACGCGGCCGAAATGGACATTGCCGAACCGAGCTCCCTCGGCTTGCGCTCTGTCCTTGCCCAGGAGTCTGGGACGACAGGCTCGGAAATGGAGAATCTTCGTCGCTGCCCTGCCAGTTTCTTTCTGCCAGAGCAAACCAGCCAGACCAAGGCGGCACGGGAAAAGGTTGTGAAAGGCGGGAACGGGCTTTCCCCCTCACAGGTACAGCGGTCGCTCATATGAAAATCTTGTAACAACTTGGGGTACTCGGCTTGCAATAGCAAGCAATTCTCGTAGAGAGAACTCTAATGAGCTCTCATGATAGAAAATAGAACAAAGAGAAACACTTGGCAGGGCTAGAGCCAAATCTTAGGCGATTGCTGAAGCTGGTTACATAATCACATCCCTAACCCAATCTCTTCACAACGACAAGCTTCAGCAGTGGCCCTCACCTCACTTGTGTGTCAAATGATTTTGCGAAAAGCATTAGGCCATTGGCTGGCGCATCCCCTACGCAGCCGCGGCATTCTCGCCTCTTCCGCTCTCCCACCTACTCCACAATTCTGCTAAGGCAGGCCGGATGTGAGAGAGGAGAACACAAGTGCGTCCGCCCAATTTCAATCAGAGAGCCTGCTGTGCAAGTTCCAACACTTTTCCTACCCAAACTGCCATGCCTAGCCTCCAGATCCGCCTCGCCGTGCCCCGTAGACCCTCCCTGTTCCTTGCCCCCCCTTGTGGAATCGTCTCACTGCAAATCACCACCACTGCATCAAGCCGCCTCCTCTCCCTCCCCTGCCCCATCTCCTTTTCCTGCCTCCCCATCTCCCTTCCCTGCATGTTCATCAACCCATCCTGCCTCTCCATCTTCTGTTCCCGCCTCACGCCCCCTCCTCGCCGCCCCACCATCTCCCCTTCGTGGCCTCCCCTCTCTTCTATCCTGACTCCGGCATACCCTTCCCACCTCCCTGGATCACAATCCTGCCTCCCCATCTCATATTATTATCTCCAGATCTCCTCTCCTTGCCTGCACATCTTTCCTTTCTATATTCCCGTCTCCCAACATTTTAAATCTGCCAGCTAGCGTATTTGTTGCTAATGACTTACCACAACTGGCACACAAGTGCGATATAGATAGATAAATATGTAGGAAACCGTCGCAATTTGCCAGTCATTAACCGAGCTATGTGCAGAATCCAAATAACTCTGTTAAGGACACTGTGATCATACTTCCGAGGGGTTACCGCATGCGTTCTCGTTCGGGTATTATTTCGACGGAGATGGTGTTGCATAAAGATATTTTGGAAAATCATTTAACTAAATTAATATTTTTTTCAGAAGACAAAGCATTTACTGGCCGGGGGTGAAGTTGGTGGCATAGGCCCAGGCGTTGTTCACGGTGGGGTCAGCCAGGTGGTCGGACAGGTTCTCAAGGGGACCCTTGCCGGTCACGATGGCCTGGACGAAGAATCCGAACATCGACACCATGGCGAGGCGGCCGTTCTTCAGCTCCTTCACCTTCAGCTCCGCGAGAGCGTCGGGGTCGTCAGCCAGACCCAGGGGGTCGAAGGCACCACCGGGGTACAGGGGGTCCTCAACCTCCTGGAAGCCCTCGAGGCCACCCACGCGGTAGCTCTCAACGGCGCCCATCAGGATCACCTGGGTGGCCCAGATGGCCAGGATGGACTGGGCGTGGATCAGGCTCGGGTTGCCGAGGTAGTCGAGGCCGCCCTCGGAGAAGATCTGAGCACCGGCCTTGAACCACACAGCCTCGCCGAACTCGACGCCGTTGTTCGCCAGGAGCTCGGGGGTCAGGCAGCCCAGGGCGCCGAGAAGAGCCCAGCGGGCGTGGATCACCTCCAGCTCGCGGTTCTTGGCGAACGTCTCAGGGTCGGCGGACAGACCCGCGGTGTCCCACCCGTAGTCACCGGCATACTCGCCGGTCAGGTACGACGGGGGGGAGGAGAAGGGGCCCAGGAACTGGGGGCGGTCGGGGCCGTAGAAGGAGCTGGCGGGGACGGCCTTGGCCGTCTTCCTCATGGAGACGCGAGCCTCCACATTGTTGACCTTGGCGGCGAGCTCGGCGCTCTGGCCGACGAAGGTGGAGGGAGCAACAGCAGCGTTGGCGAGGGCAGCCATTTCTGTCTGCTTGTAAGTAACAGGAAAGGATGTGTGTGTTGGAAGTGCTGCTGAAGCTTGGAGATGAAATGAAAGCTTGTGCCTTATGTATGTATTACTGCAACCCAGTTCTGAGGTAGTGCCTGGGATTGGGTTCGTGGATTGATGTGGCTGGAGTGGTTGAGTCTCGAGTCGCCGCAATCCTTCTGAAGTATCGCGGCTGCTGGATAGCCATGCGATGTGGCTCACCGGGATTTTGCGAAAAGGTCGTCCTCGCTGCTGATTGGCTTCCCATATTGCGGGCCACTCGCGCAAACGTCACGCTTGAGGAAGCCTGACGAGTGGCAGTCCAATTGTCACGGAGCCATACTGAAATTGTGGTCCGCTACACGCTGCAATATTAAACTGGTGTTACGCAGATTATACATTGAAACAGATTACCAGTGACGTCTAACCACATGTAAGGAAAATCCCTTTTCCTTACTTCGCATCCCTGCTCAACGCGTACATCACTGTAGCACCTCAGTCAGCACCGTTACCACTCGCGATCATCGCATCGATAATCATCCCGCCATTTTTCGCACATCGCATCCCGACCTCACGGCTCGGCTGGTAACCCGCGCTCCGGGCCTACGCCTCGACACTTTCCCAACCTCAGTCCCAGGCTCGTCGCGCGACTACCACAGACCATTACCGTTACCACTGTAGTTTCGCTATATATTCTTCGCTCACGCCCTCGCTCATTGTATTATTGCTTCGATAGTGCAATTCTCGTTCGTTCACTCAATTGCACTCGTAACACCACACGTCTACTTGCTTAGAAACCAAGAGCAGAGTGTGATGTAGCCTATTAATGCCAAATCGGACTGCTGTCCAATCAGTTAAATACAACTTCATGATATATAAAAGCAGGTGATAATCAGGGTACTTCTGCGCAGAGAGGACATGCTGTATAGCTCGAAAAATCTACCGTAGAAGCTGAGCAATCTTGTGTCCAGACAGAACTCACACCACTGCAGCAGTCAGTCATGCATTGGATACCATTTAAAGACAGTCTCATATTCATATGCCCATGCAAGTCTTGCTGATTGCTCACATCTGATGCCCGTGCTTGTCATCCACCCCACCCGGCAACCCCTGCTCCACCTTCACCCCAACTCCTCCTGCCCCTTCCACCCCCAACACACTCTGCTTCACCTTCGCCCGCACCTCGCCCTCACGAATCTCCAGCATAAGCTTCACTCCAACGTACATGGAGAAGACTGTAACGAGTACAAGGAAGGAGTCGGAGAGGAAGCTGGAGAGGAAGCCACGCACGCCGTCCAGCCCCACCACAAAGCCCACCAGGTTGGCCGTCATGAGCCCGAGAACATTGATAGAGCCGGCTATTGCACAGCACTCCCGGTACATCCACGACTTGCGGAAGCCCTGCAAGGGGACCAGATTGAAGGAGGATGAGGGGGGTGACGTGAGAAGCTGTGGACGCCGCCCAGCCCCACCACAAAGCCCACCAGGTTGGCCGTCATCAGACCGATAACCGGGATCGTTGATGGAGCCGGCTAGTGCACATCACTCGCGGTACAGCCACGACTTGCGGAAGCCCCGCAGGGCGAGAGGCATGGGGGGAGGTAGAGGGTTAAGGGGGGGGAGGGAGAGGGGGAGGGGGTGTTTGTATTAAAGGACCCAGCAAGCAGCACAAAGCCCACGAGGTTGGCGGCCATGAGCCCTGAGAACGCTCATGCAGCCGGCTAGTGCACAGCACTCGCGGTACATCCACGACCTGCGGAAGGCCTGCGGGATGAGAGGCACAGAGAGAAGATGCGGGGCAGTGGAGGAGGAGGAAGGTGAACGGGAGGTAAGGGAGGAGAACAGGGGATAAGGGAGGAGCACAGGAGATAAGGGACGAGAATAGCAGGCAAGAAGGAGAACAGGAGACAAGGGACAAGAACAGGAGGTGAGGGAGGAGAGCAAGGAATTAGGTGGTGCGAAGGTGGTTGGGGTAGGAACCATGCCATGGCACGAATTGGCACACAGCGCACCAATGCTCCCTATGCAGGAATGCTCCCTATGCAGCAATGCTCCCTATGCAGGAATGCTCCCTATGCAGCAATGCTCCCTATGCAGCATAGTTTCGTGCTACTATGCTGCAAGGCGCGTCCCTGCAAGGCCTTTCGCTTGCCCATGCCAGGGATCACCACACACACACACACGCACACAGAGAAACACACCCTTCTGCTCAAAAAGCTATAATATCAGACACAAGCAAGGCACACACCTGCAAGGCCTTGAGGTTGCCAATGGCCTTGACAATCAACTCCGGTGCGAGCAGCAGCGACGTGAGCCACGCCCACCACAGCAGCTTCCACTCCAGGTCATGCCACAGCGCCACGAACGTGAACACGATCCACACGTTCAGTAGCTTCCGCTTCCCGCCGCCCAGCGGAATGTACAGGTACCGCACGATCCACTTGTTGTACGACGCATGCCACCCGCGCCAGAACCCCTCAATGTCATAATTATTGTTGATGCACCGCGGAAGGTTCTCGGGGGTTTCCACGCCAGCCACGAGCGCCCAGAGGCGGAAGAAGCGCCAGATGAGGAAGAATTTAAGCCACATGAAGTTGAGAACGCCATAGCTCACTATGCTCATCCCCAGAGCGAGATTCCCCGGGGCCTCTTGACCCCACAGGGCACTCCCCAGGTCGTTACCCCCGGTGCTGTGGGAAGCTTCCGAGAACCAGGGTCCGGCGGACTTGGCAAGTGCCTGGAAGTAGCAGAAGTGCATCATGAGCTCCATGAGGAGAAACGACGCCGCCAGCCGGACGGCGTACATGGCGACGCGGGCGGCGGACATTGTCTTTTGCGGGGTGTCGAGCTGCGAGGTGAAGGCATTGAAAGAAGCGATGGGGCCGGAGATGTAGAGTGGGGCGAAGAGGAGGTAAGCGAGGTAGGCGGGGAGGGAATATGCGGACAGAGGGAGGCTCTCCCCCTGCCTCGCCGTGTAGCACGCCTGGCCCTGCCTGCACTGCAAGCACTTGGCTCGGTGAGCTTCCAGGAAGCTGCTTCCCACGCTGCTGGCACTGACAACCCCTGTGAGCTTGGAACCCAGCAGCGGCTCTCCCTTCACTCCTGTTGCTTCTCCTGCTGCTGCTGTGCCTGCTGCTGCATCCCGGGCAGCCCAGTAGTAATCGAGCCCGAAGCTGATCATGCGCAGCAGCAGCAGGTTGTAGCAGATCTCCCACCGGAACACGCCCCTGTGCGCGTCCAGGAATGCCAGACTGCCGCCCAGGAAGGGAATGTGGGCGAATCTAAAGCCGTCGTATGAGCGGATGAGAATGTAGGAGCCGCACTGCCATGCCCACAGGGCGGTTGGGAACAGCCAGTCCCATTTGTTGCTTGTGCCGGCGCCCTGCTTGCTGCTGCTGCTGCTACCTCTGCTTGCGCACCAGGACCCCAGCTGCTTCACTAGAACGTAATTCGCTACAGCGAAGGCAAGGAGGAAGACTGTACTCGCCTCGTGCAGGTACACCACGTACGCTAGTGACGCTACCAGCCAATACCACGCCAACACGTGTCCTCCCCCGCTGCCCCACCTCTTCCCACCCCCCACCAAACCGTCCTTGCTTCGGGCCGAGCCTGCGGCCCCGAGCCTGATGACCAAAGCCAAGCCGCACAAGACTCCCATGACCACGGACAGAATAGGGAGGTTTCCGCGAAAGTTCCGCCACTGGTCGTCAGAGAGGTCAACCTTGCGGCCGGCGATCCAGCCGGGGTAGAGTCCGCTGCTGGCGGCCGGCCAGTGCTGCACGAGGGACGCGTAGCGGTTGGACAGACGCACGGCGTGACGGATGACCTGATGGGGGAGAGGAGGAGAAGGAGAGAAGGTGAGGGGATGAGGGAGCGGAAGAGAGGGGATGAGGGAGAGAAGGAGAGGGGATCAGGGAGAGAAGGAGAGGGGATGAGGGAGTGAAGGAGGCGGAAATGAGGGAGGGAATGAGAGGAGATAGGGGAGAGAAGGGGGTGACTTCTGGTTCGACTCAATGATGCTGCACGAGGGGCGTGCGGGGAGTGGCGCAGGCGCATGGCGCGGCAGAGGAACTGGCAGTGGCGGAGGGAAGGAGAGGAGAGGCGATGAGAGGAGGCGAGGAAAGAGCCGTGCGATACGAGAGAACCAAGGGGAAAGAGCGGGAGTGAGATTGGGAGGACTCGCCGTGGATCCACCCGGCCGCACATATGATGGCGGGTGCAGCAGTAAAACCTTCCAGGCGTCTAAGAGCTCTTATTTGGTAGTAGAGGTACGCGGTGAAGCAGTACATGAGAAGTGTTGATAGCACACCTCGGGAATGGTACCTGGCGTCTGATAAATCATACCTGATAGTAGAAGTACGCGGTGTAGCAGTACATGAGGAAAAACTCGACCGATCTCCACCGGCCATAAGGGGACGACGTCCCTAAACCGCTGCTGCTGCTTCTTCCGAAGCTTCCCGACTTTTGCGCGCTGACGTTCTCCGCTTCATCCCTGGTGGGAATCAAATCTCGTCGGTTGCTGCTGCGGGAGAACGGCCCTGAAGGCTGCATCTTTGGTGGTCGGCGGAACGGGTGATGAACGCGTGAATGACACAAACCGCTTTCTTGTCAGATTGGCGGACAGACTGGCTGGGCGCCGCGATATGGACATCAGTCTGATGACCAAGAGCTCCGCGGGTTGACACCAATCTCTACGCAAAAGCGAGTTCCACTGCGTGATCAACCATTGTCGGTCGACTGGCCCTAACCGGTAATGCTTGCGCCGACGTCGCGGGTGCCTATCAAATTGAGCAATGCCGACAGTTACGAGCGCTCGACCATGACACGCTTATTTGCAGCATTTATCGTAAGCTTGGCACGCGTCGTTACGAAACCCCTTTGCCCAATAAAAATTCCGAGGACGAGACCCCTCTTGACATGCACTGTGCGTACAGATGAAGGGTCGTCTAGTGCTATTAGTAGTTTGCTAGTCGGCTGAAAAATTAGAGTCAGCTGGGAAACGATGGAGTTGGCTGGGAAATGATGGAGTCGGCTGGGAAACGATGAAGTCGGCTGCGGACAGAATGATTGATTCTGATCAAATGCTGTGCACATGTGAGGGGGGTCAGCCAGCTTCTGAAATCTGCAATTTCCCGCGTTCACTGCCTCCTCTTCCCATTGGTGGAGTAGCGGAATCTCAAGTGGCAAATTTGGTTCAGAAAAATGCTGTATTGGAGCACAGCCCAACCCGATCCGAGGTCGACACTTGTGCCAAAGAACAGTGAGTTTCGGCTGGTGTGGCGTACAATTCACGAAATTTTTCGATTGCCTTTGTCATCCTAAGCTTGGAAAGAACACCCAGAGTCTTTGAAATCTGAAAGGAGCAGACTTACGGAACTGATTTGTCTCATAACGAGTAAAATACTTGGCTTGATGACCTAATTGGATGAGGCTTTTGCACACGTGAACGATGCCTTTCCACGCGTCCTGACCTTACACTGCCGCGAAAGCCACTGTCCACGTGGAGTCTCCCTTTCCTGTCAGTGCTGGCTGATGCTCTGGGTGGAGGATGCACAAGCCGAAAGGAAAACGAACGGTTCGATGTCTGGGTGAAATTCATAATCGACGGCTCTTGTACCCTGTATCCACATTTCGGCGCACAGCACGGAGGGAACGCGGCAGTGCGTGTCAACCCATCCACCCTGGAAAAGTGGAAAGTAGGGGCCGACAGTTTACGTCCGTAGATCAAACGATGAGATATCGATGAGGACGGCATCAGCCGTACGATGTTTTCTAGAACAAGAAGCCAACGTCCAGGCCCAACCAAACTTGTCCCTGGACTGGCGGCTGCGGAAAAAGTGGATATCAATCCCCTTGAACTTGAAAACCTCCTGCTGCTTCAAATCAGCTCACTGGTCAGTTGCCAGGCAGGCTGATTCTCACTGGACTCTAATCAGTAGCCAGCTTTATTCCAAAAGCCAGCTTCATAGTCTCCCTTTTCCTTTTGCTACCTTCAGCTTATTCCTTCGCTCTGGCCATTCCTGCTGCTGGGTATTTTTTAGTCCCAGCTTCAGGATAGCCGAGTGGAAGGAACGTGGTTTACGAACCCTTTTCGATCCGTTTCTATATATTTAGGTAAAGAAGAACAGGGATGGCTTCTCAGTTTGACAGCCGTACGAAGCATGGACCAGCCCTGGCCGTCGATCTCTCTTCTCTCGTCTCAACACTGCACACCTCTCTAGCTGATCACAAGCAGCGCTTTGAAACTTTCTGCGAGACGCACCGGCAAAGGTTTCAGGGCATTCAGGCCACCTTGTCCTCGTTTCCATCCGCATCATTGCCATCCGGAGCAGCGGACTGCCGTGCTTCTTCCAGCAGGTCGCACGTTCAATCAGTAGGGCATCGCTCGGGTAAGGCACGACGAGCGGCGAAAGGATCGCAAGGAGCAGAAGCTCGCGCAGCCCTTCCTTTAGCCGCCATTTCGAGCGCTGCATTTGTCAAATCGCCGGCGTCCGTAGCGCGGGTGAACAGCGAGAAGGCCGATGGTGCACCCGCCGTCACCAGCGCCAACTTCGGAAAAGCCCCCACGTCGATGCCACTCTCCGTCGCATCCCTAAAAACCGTAAGCTCGGAGGCATCAGCCATCGAGGAGCGCAAGCTGACGTCAGATGCGCCGCTCGCCGAGGCTGCTGCGCAGGATCGGGGTGGGTGTGTGGACGAGGTGGTGACACGACCGTCGCTGGTGCAGCTGCTGACGCACCCCTTGGCGCTCCTCCGTGGCATTCCCAAGGACGCCGCGTTTTTCATCTCCGGTGCCGTCGCCGGCGCTGCCGCTAAAACCGCGACCGCGCCGCTAGACCGTTGGAAGCTGATGATCCAGGTGGGTGACGTGACGAGAGTGTGGTGGGAAAGCCAGAAACGACTGGGAGTGGGGTGCAAGAGGGGAAAACGGTCGGATCGGTTTGCATTTCTCCTGTTTGTCAACAATGTCTTTTTTTCGCTCTCTCTTTCCGCAACCCGCTATCACCCCTCGTTAACCCCAGGTCAAGAGCGTTCTACCGGGGAAGGTCATCCCGCCGAGGGAGATCAACCTCGTTAAGGTGATTTCCCGTCAGCATCTTCCGCCGCTGCTCCTGGCCCTGTGTTGTGCATTCGGTGGCTCTCCACATTGTGTCATCACCTCCTGTGCATTTCATCCCATGTTGCCGCATTGACATCAAATCAGGTCACGTTGCCATGCGGCTTCCGTTGCCGGTCAGACCCATGCTTAATGTGGTATTTCTATCATCTGCCTGTCGCCGATTTTTGCTGGCAGTCGTTTCTGGACATTGGGAAGGAAGGCGGCGTGACTGCTTACTGGAAAGGAAACCTGCCCCAGGTAACCTTTCCCTCACACTGATCATTCTCTCCTTGACTTGCGTCGGGCAGAGTCGTATTTTTAAAACCCTGTCCCCTCCACTGTGTCACTCTATCCCGCTATTCTTCCCCCCGTTCATGTTCCCATCAATCTCCTCTTCGCCTCGTCTTTATTCGCCTGTCAACCACACTCCCCCACCTTCCCCCCTCCCCTCCTCCTCCCCCCTAACACACACACTCTCTCTCTCCCCTCCCTCAGGTCATGCGCATTGTGCCGTATAGTGCAGTGCAGCTCTTCGCCTACGAGCTCTACAAGGTGCGTCGTCGCCTCACCGTTTCTCGCCTTACCGCTCGTAGTCTTTCCGCTCGTGCAAGCTGAAAATCTTTCACCCGGTTTTAAGTCGACTAGTTGACTCAAAACTCAAATTCCCACACCCGCGTCTACTGTTCTCAGAAGCAATTCCAAGGCAGCAGCAAGGAGCTGTCGGTGCCGGCGCGGCTGGCGGCGGGGGCGTGCGCGGGGATGACGTCGACGCTGGTGACGTACCCGCTGGACGTGCTGCGACTGCGCATGGCGCTAGACGCCACCAACGGGAGCATCGCGCAGGTGGGCATCGGGGATTGGGTTAGACTCGCTGCGAGGTGCTGCGTTATAGTGATAGTGGTGGCTGGAGCCGTAGCGTATGCAGCCGGAGCACTGCCGAGGTATGGGAGCAGGGATAGAGGAGCACGTGGGCACGAGAAGCGATCATCGAGCGTCAGGGGAAGCGGCGGCCACGTAGGTGATCAGCGGCTGGGGCTTACAGCGTTGTTCGGAAAGCAGGGCGGACGAGCATGTTCCGTTGAAAGAGTTGCCTTTGGTTCCTCTACAGAGAGTAGCGCAGGGAAGGATGCGTCAGCGAGACGACGGGAGGGATTGAAGCAGAGAGGAGGTTGCGCCACAAGCCGCTGTAGGACTGATAGTTCTGGGAGTGGCAGTGTCGGCCATTGGAGATTGTTGGGAGGGTACAACAGACGATATTTAAACTATCGGGCTGTAGCGGAGTCACCAGTGTGAGGGAAAATCACATCGGTGCATGATTATTGTGTAACTTCCAAGCGCTGGGATGGCTGTAGCGGAGGCAAGAGAGAGGCGGAAAGGGGGGTGGTTGGCGCGGCTAAGTGGTCAAGGCTCGGGGCTGTGGTGATTACCATTGCCACATCACACATGCATACTAGTGCTGCACTTCTCTAGCTTGCGCACTACCATCCTCCCTCGTTGCTTTGCTGGACTCTTGTGGCGTCTTACCCTCGCTAGCATTACCTATACCAGCACCGCACCACGTGTGTAGCCATGCTCACTCTGTTTCGCTATGCCCGTGCGGCACTCTCTCCGTGTGTGGCTCTGCGTGGGTGGCAGGTGGCGATGGCGATGGTGAGGGAGGAGGGCGCGAGGTCGCTGTACAAGGGGCTGGGGCCGGCGCTGGTGTCCATTGCGCCCTACATCGCGCTCAACTTCTGCGCTTATGACATGTGCGTCATGAGGGGATGGGGCATGTGCGTCATGAGGGGATGGGCATGTGCGTGCTGGGATAGGGTGTGTGTGCGTGCTACGATTGGGCATGTGTATGCTTGGATCGGCCGTGTGCATGCTGGGCTGGGGCCGGCGCTGGTGTCCATTGCGCCCTACATCGCGCTCAACTTCTGCGCTTATGACATGTGCGCGCGGGGGGATGGGTTTTCGCGTGCCTAGGAAGGGCGTGCGCTTGGGGGGATTGGCCATATGCATGTTGGGATGGGGAAGCCTGGGCCCGGCGCTTGTGTCCATTGCGCCTGACATCGCCCTCAACTTCAACGCCCCTTCCTGCTTCCCCCCCCGTTTTCCACCCATCCTCGCGTCTCACCCCGCTTCCCCCCCCGTTTTCCACCCATCCTCGCGTCTCACCCCGCTTCCCCCCCCGTTTTCCACCCATCCTCGCGTCTCACCCCGCCTCCCCACCCGTTTTCCACCCATCCTCGCGTCTCACCCCGCTTCCCCTCCCGTTTTCCACCCATCCTCACGTCTCACCCCGCTTACCACCCTTTTTCCACCCATCCTCGCGTCTCACCCCGCTTCTCCACCCGTTTTCCACCCATCCTTGCGTCTCGCCCCGCTTCCCCACCCGTTTTCCACCCATCCTCGCGTCTCACCCCGCTTCCCACCCGTTTTCCACCCATCCTCGCGTCTCACCCCGCTTCCCACCCGTTTTCCACCCATCCTCGCGTCTCACCCCGCTTCCCCACCCGTTTTCCACCCATCCTCACGTCTCACCTCACCCCTCTTCCCCGCCCTTTTCCCTCCCCCCCTCCTCGCCCACCTCTCCCCTACCTCAGGATCAAGCGGAGGGTGCCAGAGCAGTACCAGGGCACGCCCCAGGCGAACCTGGTGACGGCGCTGGCAGCCACAACACTGGCGACGGTGTCATGCTACCCCATTGACACTGTGCGGCGCCAGATGCAGATGAAGGGGTCGCCCTTCAACTCCATGCTTGAGGCCTTCCCAGGTGCGTACGGTACGGGGGTGACTTGTGAATGCACTCACAAGGTGCCAGAGTGGAGGACTGGCGACGGTGTCGTGCTACCCCATCGACACTGTGCGGCGCCAGATGCAGATGAAGGGGTCGCCCTTCAACTCCATGCTTGATGCTGTGTGTATGTATGGAGCGACGAATATCCGAGCCATGAGTCAAGTCACGAGGCGCCAGAGAGGCTGGCCCTGGTCTCATGCTACCCCACCCATTGACACCGTGCGGTGCCAGATGCAGTGCAGATGAAGGGCTTGCCTTTCAACTCCATGCTCGAGGCCTTCCCAGGTGAAAGGCTGCGTCCTTGTGGACGACTCGTGAGCCAGACTCACACAGCATTAGAGTGAAAGGCTGGTTCTTTGAACTCCTTTCTTGTGGTCCTACCATGTTCGGGGTGGGTCATGACTGATGAGTCGACCCACAAGGCGTCAGATGCACAAGAGATGGGGTCCCCCCCTTCAAATCCTTGCTCCAGGCCTTTCCAGGTAGAAAGTTACTTCTGAGTCGACCATTACAGATGAAGGATTCATGCGCCAGGTTTGTGTGTGCGAGGGAGGGACTAAATAATCTGAGTGACAGGTGAGTCTCATGAATGCTGTGCTCTAAAGCTATGTGCTTAAATGCTGGAGTGCGCGGGTGTGTGTGTGTTGGCAGGCATCGTGAAGCGAGATGGATGGCTGGGGCTGTACCGAGGCTTTATCGCCAACACGGTGAAGAACCTCCCTAACAGCAGGTAAGCGTTGTGGCCTGCCCCTAGTGATATACCACTTTCTGGCTCTACTTACTCGCACCCATTGTCTCTTTCACTGTTTCTGAAGATGCTTGGCTTGGCTCTTTTTCACTTTCCTTTCTCCTCGTTTTTCCTTGCCTCTTGCAGTGTGCGCCTGACGACATATGACGCCGTGAAGAACACCATTCTCTCCGGCCACTCACAGTGGGACCGCCTAATCGTAGAGCGCAAGCGTCTCAGCAAGGCCAGGTTGCCAACAAGGCAGAATGGTGGAGGGGGAGCAAGCAGCAGCACCAGTAGCAGCGTATTGGCCACTGTTGCAAGTGCATCTGCGCAAACAGTCGTTTGTTGATGTCTTGCTTCTATCTTTAGTTGCACTCACGTAGGATTCACACTTACATAGAAAGACTCGTTGCAACCCCAACCACATCTCTTAACCATTCCAAAAAACTATGACCAGCAATTGATGTTTGGGCATAAATTGATTGCTGCGTAGCTTAGATGGATTTAGGCATGTATACACTTACCACAGTCGTGGGTCCGTATCTGGAAGTATGATAAAATTCCATACCCGCAGAAGGAGATAAAATTGCTGATTTCCGTGTAAATTCATTTGCCATTCAAATTCTTTGATGCTCAGTGGAAGGTGCAATGCAATCACGAGGGTCTGGAAGCTGTGTTGCGAGATACTGGATTCGAGGTCCACATTTCTCGAGTTTCCCAGCCTTATCAGTTGACAGGTCAACCTTGGTGATATCCACGTCATGAATCAGAGGTATCACTCTCCGATGCTGCTTCTACGAAACGAATTTTATCACGCCAAAACAAAGCAAAGCACCCAAAACACTCAACTGTACAAATGGATTTCTCGGTTCTGTAGTTTTTGTGATCTGGATAACTTGTATCACCTGCCCGTTTGTGATGATTCCATTGATCGCACTTGTGGTCACGGTCTTACCTGCGTGCACCTCCATCGCCATCATGACTGCTATCGGGAAGACAGAAGTTTGTGGCTGGGGCCTTGGTGGTGAAAGGTTTGGTTCATGTAGCTCACCGTAGTCATCTTCTCACAGCTTGGCATTCTTCCATAGCGACATTTCAGGTCCGGCAAAGTTTTGGCGAACCAGGAGTGCAAGGGTGAATGACCCCGAAGCTGGACGCCCTGCCATCTTCCTGGCACGGAACTTCCTCACACGAGGCTCGGTTCTGTTACCTTTTTCGGCTCGGGCCACCAGCACGGCAGGTTGGTTCAGGTTAGGCGCTGAACATTAAGGTTGGAAAGAAACACCCTGAGGAAGGCGAACGCAGAACTCGAGGGGTCGCACCTCGGAATCTTCGAAACGCTCGCACGCTGGGAAATGGAGAGGATGGACTTGGAGGTGATTTTACACCACAGCTCTCTCTCTCTCTCTCTCTCATCCACACCACAGTCCAATATCCCTTACAAACAGCTCTCATCAATCAGGTCCACGATTCAGAATGGAGGCCACGGCACAGTAAACCTGTGTGGTGGAATCAAGCTGTTTTCTGCTGTTGGTGTGTGGGCATGTGCAGTGTAGCCAGCCACTGAGGATTTGACTCCTTATCCTCACCTCATCCTCAACAAGGCGGAATTTCGTCCGCCTTTTCAGACCGTCTGGTGCGTTTCTTCGCTTATTCGCCAGAGGCTTCGGGCCTTAGCTTCAAAAGTTTCTTTTCTTGCCTATGTTACTAAGCACGTCCTTACTCTCATAGTCCCTCGTTCTTCCAACGAAGTGATCCGTATATTTTATATTTTGATTAAGGTTAGTTTGCAGTATGGCCGCAATGGACGGGAGCGTGTTTCTTCCCGTCCCAGCAGGCGGCAGAGCAGCGACGGACGCCATGACGGCGGAGTTACCCGACGTGACCAACGGCGCGTACTTCCATGGCGGCTTCGACGACGGGATATTCGGCATGACGGATTTCGATGTGAGTGCAGATGATTCGGGCAAGCTAGCACACTCGCACGAAGCAATGCGACTGTTCCGATGCGACAATGATATTGTAAAGGGATTCTCAAATTCCATTCTCTTGCCCAATCACTCCCCAATGTTTTCCCCACTATCGCACGGCAGGGCATCGAGTTCGACATGGGGTTGGCGCAGGACAACCTGGACGCGGCGCACAAGCTCGGGCTGGGCGGCGCGCCCATGGCCATGGCGCGCGACATGGGCGTGGGCGACGCGCCGGGCGACGACGACGACGACGACATTTTCACGCAGCTCGCCGCTGCCGCGCCCGACACGCAGTGCGGTAATATTTTTTCGATTGTCCAGCCGCCTAAGAATGAGGCTCCCAAGTAACAGTGCCGTAACGTTTCGAGTTTTTCCGCGGATTCATTCTAATTTGCCTTCTCTCTGCCTTCTTTCTGCTCTCTCTGCGTGCCGTCCGGCGACCAGCAGACCCCAGCATCTCCTTCGCGGCCGGACTACCAACAGCAGCAGCGGCAGAGGCAGCAGAGCCTGCCGCAGCAGTAGTGCCCACGGTAGACCCTTCTCATCACTCGCAGCACACGGGGGCGGCGGGAGCGTCGCAAGCGGAGAACCAGGAGCGCGCAGGCGCGGGGTGCGGAAGGCCCGAAGGGGGGAAGCGGCGGGGGATATTCGAGATTGCGGAAGTGAGCTTAGCGCCGTACTGCGTGTTGTCGGAGGGAGAGCCGAGCGCGGAGCGTGGAGGAGGCCTCGGAGGGGGCGGAAGCGCGCGTACTGGGGGAGAGGGCAACGCGCAGGGAAATTTTGCAGCACAAGCGGGGAATATGGAAGCTGCTGGCGCGGGGGGAACGGCGGGGGGAGCAGCGGGGGATGCGGGTTCTCCGGAAGGGTCGGACTGTAGCTTCTCAATGAGCTCCTCTCCGCCCTCCCCCTCCCGCATGCGCCAATACGCGCACAGGCACGCGCGCGCGCACGCGCACGCACAGGGGTTTGCGCAAAAGCAGGCGGAGTTGGAGGGGGCGCAGGCGCAGGCGCAGGGCATGGGGGTAGTGGGGGATACCGCGCATGCGGCGGATGGGCCGGGTTCTCCGCCGTCGTCGTCGTTCGGGCATAGCCAGGTGTTCAGCCCCATGGTGTCGCGCACGCGGCCCGCGCAGAAACACAAGGGCGCGGGGAGACCTGCTGGCGCGGCGGACGCGGCGGGCGGAGCGGCGGTGAATGGCGCAACGAGCAGAGGTCTGGCGCACGGAGGGGGAATGGGGGGACAACATGGCGCAGGGATGGGGGTCATGGGGATGCCCGGGGGAATGCCGGGGGGGATGTGGGGGGGGATTCCCGGGGGGATGCCGCCTGCCGCGGCGGCGGCGGCGATGGCGCAGCACCATGCGATGGCGGCGGCGCAGGCGATGCACATGGCGGCGATGCAAGGCCACGCCATGCCCGGACACCCCGCGCAGGGGCACCCCATGTCCGCGAACCCGTTCCCCATGCCGCCGCCAGGGATGATGCCCGCGGGGATGCCTCCCCACATGCCCGGCGCAATGCCCCCCGGGATGCCCCCGGGAATGTCCCCTGGCGCAATGCCTAACGGGATGATGTACCCGCATGGGCATCCATACGCTATGCAGCACATGCAGCAGATGCACATGCACATGCACATGCAACACATGCACATGCAGCAAGCACAGCAACAGCAGCAGCAGCAGCAGCAGCAACAGTCGCAAAAATCCGGAAACACTTCCTCCTCCGCCATACCCGCGGACGACGATTCCCCCATGCCCGCCGCATCCCACGCGCCGTCCCTCCCCGCCCTCCCCGGCCTCCCGCCGCCCTTCGTGTTCCCAGGCATGATGCCGCCTCCGGGTTTCCCGGGCGGCGCTGCGCCCGCTTTAGGAACCCCCGTGCCAGCAATGAGCGGCGCGAGTAGGGCGGGCGGGGGGGGCGCGGGAAGAGTCAAGGCGGAGCCGGTTAGCGCCAAGTCGGGTTTTGGTCGCGCGGGGGGGGATATTGTACCCGTTAAGAGCGAATCCGTTAGTCCGTCCAAGTCCCCTCGCCCGCGCCCTGGCGCCCCCAGCGGCAGCAGCTTCGCGCCGAGCCTTCCCCGACGCCGAAGCTACCACGAAGGTTTGGGCGGGTTGCAGGCTGCGGCTCGGATGAGCGTGAGCTCAGCCTCGGCGGTGCCGAGGATGCAGACCGCGTCAGGTTCTGCATCAGGAGCTTCGGGCTTCGGGTCTTCTGCTGCGGTGGCGGCGGCGGGGGGCGCACCAGGAATGGCGGCGGGAATGGCGCCGTCGAAGATGCGGCGCGTGGCTTCCATGGGGCAGCTGTCGCACCACAGCCGCGCAGGCGGAGGCGCCGAGGGGGAGCGATGGGCGGGCGCGGGAAGCGCAGGTTTTGGTATGGGCGGAGGCATGGGCGCGCGGAGAAAGCTGGGGATGGGCGCGGGGACTGGCGACGGCAGCAGCGGAAACTCAGGTAGCGAGGGGGACGGGAGCGGGGGAGACGGCGCGGGGACGCGCGGAAGAGCAGGGGAAGCGGCGGAGCTGGGGGAAGAGGAGGGGGGAGAAGACGAGCTGAAGCCTCTGCCGTCGATTCACCTTCAGCAGCAGCAGCAGCAGATGCTGCTGCGCCAGCGCCTGTTGCAGCGGCGGGGGATGATGCCCCGAAGCCACAGCAGTCACTCTCTAGGGCAGCTGCATAGGCAGGCGCTCGCAGCTGCCGCGGCAGGCGGAGGTGGAGGCGGAGGCGGAGGCGGAGGCGGGGGCGGGGGTGGGCGCGCGGGGCCAGCGGGTAGCAGCGTGGGAGGGGCGCCGTTAGCTTCCCCCAGGAGTATGGGGCCTCCGCAGATCCCCCCTGTTTCTCCCCGCGGGGAATTCGCAGGGGCGCAGGCTGGCGGAAGCAGCAGCAAGCAGCGGGGGATTGGGGGAGCATCTCCGGAGGAGTCAGGGGGGGCGGGGATGGGCGCTCGACCCGGTGCAATGGGCGGAAGCAGGGGGGGGCAGGCGGGGGGAGCTGTTACGATGGGGCAAATGCGCGGAGGTGGGGGCGCGGGAGCAGATTCGCGGGGGATGATGGGGATGGAGGGGGGCGGAGGGATGAGCGCAATGGCGGGATTGACACCCCCGCGGCTTCCATCGCTGGCCGGAATGCGGAGAGTGCAGAGCACAGGCGATATCCAGGTGTGATTGGGGCTCGGATGAATACAGGCACGTACACCAATACATGATTTAGAATCAGAGCTGACTTTTGAGTCGACTCAAAAGTCAGCACGTACACCAATACATGATTTAGAATCAGAGCTGACTTTTGAGTCGACTCAAAAGTCAGCACGTACACCAATACATGATTTAGAATCAGAGCTGACTTTTGAGTCGACTCAAAAGTCAGCACGTACACCAATACATGATTTAGAATCAGAGCTGACTTTTGAGTCGACTCAAAAGTCAGCACGTACACCAATACATGATTTAGAATCAGAGCTGACTTTTGAGTCGACTCAAAAGTCAGCACGTACACCAATACATGATTTAGAATCAGAGCTGACTTTTGAGTCGACTCAAAAGTCAGCACGTACACCAATACATGATTTAGAATCAGAGCTGACTTTTGAGTCGACTCAAAAGTCAGCACGTACACCAATACATGATTTAGAATCAGAGCTGACTTTTGAGTCGACTCAAAAGTCAGCACGTACACCAATACATGATTTAGAATCAGAGCTGACTTTTGAGTCGACTCAAAAGTCAGCACGTACACCAATACATGATTTAGAATCAGAGCTGACTTTTGAGTCGACTCAAAAGTCAGCACGTACACCAATACATGATTTAGAATCAGAGCTGACTTTTGAGTCGACTCAAAAGTCAGCACGTACACCAATACATGATTTAGAATCAGAGCTGACTTTTGAGTCGACTCAAAAGTCAGCACGTACACCAATACATGATTTAGAATCAGAGCTGACTTTTGAGTCGACTCAAAAGTCAGCACGTACACCAATACATGATTTAGAGTCATGTAAACGCAGAAGGGTGCAATGCAAAAAGCAAGATGGGTATGGTGCTGATTACTTGAGAGATACTCATTCACAAGCCGCAGAACATATTGGTTTCTTATAAAGATGCTTGAGTGACAATGACATCTGGCAGGAAACAAGCGCAGCAGTAAGTCAATGTAGCATTTACATCCCCACTCTTCTCCCACCCTTCTCCACCCGTGAGATGCCGTTTCTCTCTCCCTCACTTCCCTCACTTCCCTCTCCATAACTTCACCAACTTCCCTTCCCTACCTTTCACCTCACTTCATCTTCCTCTCGGGCTGCACCACCTGAGCGCCATGCTCGGGCTGCACCACCTGAGCGCCATGCTCGGGCTGCACCACCTGAGCGCCATGCTCGGGCTGCACCACCTGAGCGCCATGCTCGGGCTGCACCACCTGAGCGCCATGCTCGTGCTGCGCATCCCATCGAGTTCTTGCCTCTCACTTCAATCTTCTTTGTGACCCCCTCCCCTTCCTTCCCCTTCTCCTTCCCCTTCCCGACTCTTACCCCTCTCCATCCCATCCCGCCCCTCCCTTTTCCCTTCATCCCACGGACCCTGAGCGCCATGTCAGGGCTGCCCTTCCCATCAGAAGTACTGCTCATCTAGGTTCTTCCCCCTACCCTTGATGGACTCTTCTCCCGTCCCTCCCTCCCTCCCTCCCTCCCTCCCTCCCTCCCTCCCTCCCTCCCTCCCTCCCTCCCTCCCTCCCTCCCTCCCTCCCTCCCTCCCTCCCTCCCTCCCTCCCTCCCTCCCTCCCTCCCTCCCTCCCTCCCTCCCTCCCTCCCTCCCTCCCTCCCTCCCTCCCTCCCTCCCTCCCTCCCTCGCTCGCTCCCACAGTCACAGAGTGCCATATATTTCTGCCCTTCCCATCAAGAGTACTGCTCAATTAGGTTCTTTCTTCCTCCTACCCTTGATGGGCTCTCTTCCCGTCTCTCTCTTCCCGTCTCTCTCTCCCTCCCTCCCTCCCTCCCTCCCTCCCTCCCTCCCTCGCTCCCACAGTCACAGAGTGCCATGTCAGGGCTGCCCTTCCCCATGGGGGGTGGCTTGGGGGATGATGGCGGTGCTGTGTTCCGTGTGGGGCGCTACACTGTGGAGGATCGCCAGCAGCGCATCTCTTTGCTCCAGCAAAAACCCCTTTGCGTTGACTCAGCAGTCATTTGAATCCCTTCCCGCCCCCTCCCATCCCTTCTCCTCGGATGCTGCAGTCCCTGAGCGCCATGGCTGGGCTGCCCTTCCCCGTGGGGGATGACGGCTCTGGTGTGTTCCGCGTGGGGCGCTACACCCTGGAGGAGCGCCAGCAGCGGACATTCCATTCTCATTCTCCTTCTCTCTCCTTCTTGTCCCGTCTCTCACCCTTCTACCCATGCTGCAGTCTCTGAGCGCCATGGCTGGGCTGCCCTTCCCCATGGAGAACGAGGGAGGGGGAGTGTTTCGCGTGGGGCGATACACCTTGGACGAGCGCCAGCCAGCAGCGCATCTCTTTGTACTCGCAAAACTCTTTGGAGTTGAATCAGAATATATTTGAATCCCATCCCTTCCCGTCCCACCACCTTCTCCTCGGATGCTGCAGTCCCTGAGCGCCATGGCTGGGCTGCCCTTCCCCGTGGGGGATGACGGCTCTGGTGTGTTCCGCGTGGGGCGCTACACCCTGGAGGAGCGCCAGCAGCGCATCTCCCGCTACCGGCAGAAGCGGCACGAACGCAACTACACCAAGAAGATCAAGGTGGGTGCATGCATGTGAGTCAGTGCATGCATGTGAGTCAGTGCATGCATGTGAGTCAGTGCATGCATGTGAGTCAGTGCATGCATGTGAGTCAGTGCATGCATGTGTGTCAGTGCATGCATGTGAGTCAGTGCATGCATGTGTGTCAGTGCATGCATGTGTGTCAGTGCATGCATGTGTGTCAGTGCATGCATGTGTGTCAGTGCATGCTGGTGTGTGGGAGCATGCGGGTGTGTGGGGCCATTTGTATGCGTGGGGATGAAAGCATGAGCTGTGGTGGGGGAAATGCCAGCAGCGCATCTCACGCTACTGGCAGGAGCGGCACGAGCGCAACTACACCAAAAAGATCAAGGTGGGTTCAGGCATGTGTGTGTGCGTTCAGGCATCAAGGTGGGTTCAGGCATCAAGGTGGGTTCAGGCATCAAGGTGGGTTCAGGCATCAAGGTGGGTTCAGGCATCAAGGTGGGTTCAGGCATCAAGGTGGGTTCAGGCATCAAGGTGGGTTCAGGCATCAAGGTGGGTTCAGGCATCAAGGTGGGTTCAGGCATCAAGGTGGGTTCAGGCATCAAGGTGGGTTCAGGCATCAAGGTGGGTTCAGGCATCAAGGTGGGTTCAGGCATCAAGGTGCGTTCAGGCATCAAGGTGGGTTCAGGCATCAAGGTGGGTTCAGGCATGTGTGTGTGCGGATGTGCTTCTGTGTGGGGGTGCTCGTGTATGTGTGTGGGGGGGGTGCTCGTGTATGTGTGTGGGGGGGGTGCTCATGTATGTGTGTGTGCTCATGTATGTGTGGGTGCTCATGTATGTGTGGGTGCTCATGTATGTGTGGGTGCTAATCCCTCACCCTTTTTTTAGTAAGTGTGTTTATAGACTTTGTTCGCCCTGTCCCCTTCCATGTCCACCATACCCCTCACCCCTCCCCCCTCACCCATCTCCACCTCACCCCACCTCACTCCTCTCCCCTTTCCCTTCTCTCAACTCCATTCCCCCCTTTCCCCTGTCGCTCGTCTCTTCCCCCTTCGCCCCTCTCCCGAGCTCTCCCCATCCCTTCTCACACACCTTCCGCACCCCTCCCCCTCACCCTTCCTCCTCATCCCTAACCCCTCCCCCGCAAAACCCCCCCTCACCCCTCAACCCTCCCCCCCCCCCCCCACCTCCCCTGCACCTCCCCCTCACTATGCACCCATCCCCACTCACCCCTTCACTTTTCCCCTTCAAACTCCCCCCATCATTCTCCCCTTCCAGTATCTGTGCCGCAAGACTTTAGTGACCAATAGCCTTTGAGTCAGTTCAAAAGTCACCTCTGTTTCCCCCCTCTCCCCTCTTCTCCCCCTCTCCCCTTCATTTCTCCCCCCTCCAGTACGTGTGCCGCAAGACTCTCACAAACTGCCCCTCCCACCTCCCCCTCATCCCCTCCCCCCACCTCCCCCAGTATGTGTGCTGCAAGACTCTGGCAGACAGCTGCCTTTGAGTCGTCTCACAAGGCACCCTGTGTGTCTTTCCCCTCCGCCCCTCATATCCCCCCACCGTCCCCCCATCTTCCCCCCACCGTTCCCCCACCGTCCCCCCACCGTCCCCCCACCGTCCCCCCACCGTCCCCCCACCTTCCCCCCACCCTTCCCCCACCTCCCCCAGTATGTGTGCCGCAAGACTCTGGCAGACAGCCGCCCGCGCGTGCGGGGAAGATTCGCGCGCAATGATGACATGGTGAGACTGGCAGGCAGGCAGGCAGGCAGGCAGGGGCGGGAGAGGAGGGGTTATGCTGGGTGGGGAGGTTTTTGACCGGTTCCAAAACATCGCTTGCGGTGATGGCATGGTGAACGGGCAGAGAGAGGGGGACTGGGGAGGAGGAGATATGTTGAGTGGGGCTGGGGATGGGGGTGGTTATGCAGAGGCAGAGGGCTGTGGCCTGGATTGATAGGCGAGAGACGATTGGATGGAGAGAGAGGGGGGTGGCATGGTGAGGGAAGGGGGGTGGCATGGCTGGTGGGGGAGAAAGCGTGTGTCGAAGAAGACCTAGCGTGAGAGTGTGGGAAGGTCGAGCGAGGTTGGTAAGGCCGAGCGAAGTTGGTAACGGGTGGAAAGGAGGGCTGGAGGCTGAAGAGAGGGGAAGGATGGGGTAAAGTGATTAGAGGGGGGAATGGTGACAGGATTGAGAAGGGTGAGGAGAGGGGAAGTTGTAAGGGGATGAGGAAGGGACTTTTGAGAATTCTCAAAAGTCACATCAAGTTGTAAGGGTGAGAGTCGCCCATGGCTCTCTCGAGCTCCTTAGGTTTGAGATGTCCTCTCCTACTGCAATCGTGTGTTCCCCTCCGCTGTGTGCGCTCCTTTGGCATGCTGTGTGCTCTCCTCGCCTCAATGTCGTCTGCTCTCTTCTCCTCTTTTGTGACCCCGCCGGTGCCTACCCTCAGGAGCAAGGGGACGGCAGCAACAGCCACGGGGATGAGGGGGAGGGGGAGGGGGAACTGCTACCAGACGATCTCCCATTGGCCGACGATTTCTCCCCGGAAGAGTTTTCCGAGTTGCTGTTTGACGGGCCCTTGGGTGCTGATGTGGCGTGCTGACATGACAGGGATGGGAAGAGTGCGTGGGGGGGTTCCATAGTGTGTATACGTTTTCCTTGACTTCTACTTCAATGAGAATGGACAGGCACTGCTGATGCTAATCCTAGTGTAGGGTGTAGCCTTGAGTGGGTAACTAAGGTGTGAATTAGACATTCCAAGCTAGGAAATGACTGTTTGTGTGTCCAAATGTGTGTGCCATTTACTTGTGCGAATAGCATGGTCTAACCATGTACGTATATACTTACCAGAGTTTTAGGGGCTCACTAATGTATTTGGTTGAGCTTTTTGAAATGCATTTTCTATGGTTTGTGCATGTAGCAACTCGAAAATAAAATGTTACACGTTCGACCCTCGGGGGTCGCACATCCTTGGCGACTCACCCGGTGAGTCGCATTCATTTTCGCTGTGATCGTCGCGATCGTCGCAACCAACCCCTCTGTGGCTGTGGGGGTTCTCCCTCTGATTGCATTATCCATTGGCCTCAAGAAGCGGAGCGCACGTAGCAAGCACTACAGCCTCCTTACCGCGTAGCCATGGCGGCTCTCGCGTCCTCCTGCGTTTCCCTGGGAGCGGTCTCTCTGGTGAGTCACTTTAGCCAATTCGTGTCGCTTTACTGCTATCGCGTTTAAAATGCTCATGCTCATGCCTCTGTGTCGCTTCTCTGATTCCGCAACCCATTCCACACCATTCCTTCCCGTACTCCGCCGTTCTTTCGCCCACTGCCTTTCGTATCGTTTCTGTCGTTTCTGCCGTTTTCCCCCAATTCAACCACTTTTTAAACTCGCCCTTTCGTTTTCGAAATTATCGCGTCCAGCCGCCCCAGGCAGTGCAGCCCAGACGAGAGCAGCTTGGCGTCTCGCGACAACGACAACCCTACCGCCGGGTGAGTCGCAGCTGCATTGTCTGTCGCAGGAACAGTGTCAATCGCTTTACAGTCTCGCTGCTCCTGCATTGCCTCCACCTCACTCTGCTGCCACCCCTTCCCTCGCATCTCGCCTCACTCCCTCTCTCCTCATTCTCCGTGTCCCAATGTGTCGTCTTGTTACTGAAAAAAAAATCTGTGCACACACACCCACACACACGCACGATTGCGTGCTCACTCACTCTCTCTCTCTCTCTCTCTCTCTCTCTCTCTCTCTCTCTCTCTGTCTCTCTCTCTCTCTCTCTCTCACACACACACACACACACACAAACACACTGCTTCTGAACCCTTTCCTCCTCGTGTCTTTCCTCAGTTGCCCGTGTCACTAGCTGCAGCCTCGCCTGAAGGCAACCAGGCCTCCACAGCCACGGACACGCCTCCTGCTCCTGCTGGTAACCACCTGTGTTTGCTTGTAACTGCCTGCCTTGCTGGTGACCAGTTGTTGCTGCTGGTAACCACTTGTCGCAGCTGGTAACCACTGGTTTTGGTAACCACTTGTTGTTGCCGTTAAGGGTGGGTTGGTGCTGTCTTACCAACGTTGGGCCTGTCTTTCTTTGAATTCATACCGCAATCCTCGTTTTGTCAACAATTCTGTGTTTCAGATTCTAAGTGATTGCCCTCCGTTTTGGTACAGAGCATGGGCTACAAGACATGGCCATGCTCCCCTTTCAAGCTTAAAAGAGCCATGCTCTGGTACAGCTCAAAAGAGACTTGTTAATTCTTTCCCTTCTAAGCAGAGCCAGAACCTCTTTGGTATGCCAACCAACACTGCAGGTAGCAGTGAGAGCAGGGTCTCTGGAGACGTGTGCAAGGCGTGTGGCAGGACAGAGAGGGTGGGAGGCTGCAATGGGGAAGGTCGTATTCAGGTGAGGGCCGTGCCTGCCTCCTCCGATCCTGGTGTTGCTTCGTGTCTCGTTCTTGGCAACAGTTATAAATCTCGTGCTTCTTCGCGTCATATAACCTATCAAATAATCCCCGATGTGATACTGCTTATCGATGGCATATGACGGAGAAAATGTCTTTGGCGGATCTTCAGACCTTGTTTGTGTCATGCTGTTTCTGTCGTATCTTTAACTTACTGTCTTTCAGGGCGGTGTCGGTGCACTCCCAGGCTTTCAGTGGTTTCCGGTGAAGGTGTATCGGCCGTGTCCCGCGTTTGTTGAGGCCGGAGGAAAGTACAAGCGCCTGGGCCAGAGCCTTGATGAAATGGCGTTTGGTACGAAAGCCGATGGGGACGACAAGGACATCTCTGAACGCCTCAAGGGGTAGCCGTGCACATTTGCTTGTGTACACCTAAAAACAAACACGCTGTTTTCTTCCTACAGAGTTGTGACTGGCGGCTTTTAGTAGTTAATAGGATATATGAAGCAGAAAGTCGCCAATGTACACCTTTTTTTACTCTAATACCTATTGAAACAATAAAACTGTTTGCTCTAGTAGCCGTGGCTTGGAGAACGGCCACCATTACAACCCAACTGACAACAGCATAGCGCGTACGTTTCATGTTTTTCAGTTGCACTTTTTGGCTACGTACCGCACATCGCGGAACACTCATTTGATTGCCATTTCCCGCCTCCCCCTCCCCACACTTCGCGGGTCCTTTAAGAAAGCGGCTCGGCATTTCCATCAACATTCGTGCATTCCACTCTTCCGCGATTCGGTGCTCGTTTCCTTTCAAGAATTTCGTCCTCGCCCGTCCCGTCCCTTTCCTTCCCTTCCACCCACGTCTAATTCCCTCATTTGCGTCATTCCTGCTGTTCATCCCGCATTTCCTCCCTTCACCACACAAACTCTCTCTCTTGGTCCTCAACCCCAACCCACGAACTTCGTCTCAACAGCTGGTGATTGTTTTTTGTATGCTAGAGGTTTTCCGAGAATAGAGTCTAGTCATTGCGTCACAGCTCCGTAACGTATCAGCAATGTTCCAAGCAGCATTTTCGCCCAGGAGACCAACCATGGCTGCCGTAGTCCTCTCGTTACTCCTCGTGTCCTCCATCGTCCCGTACCAGGCCCAAGCAACCAGCGCGGCCGCGATAACACCAATCCCCGTCTTAAGCGACATCGAATTAACGCGCCTGAAAATCTACGAGGGGGTTCTACACCAACTCGCCATGAATCAACTGCAAAAGACCCTTCCGGGGAAAATCGTCGCGCTGCCGCGGACCCCGTTTTCCAACATGACCTCCCAAGTGATCATCCTGGACCGCGCGTTCCTCGTCGCGAAGGGTTACAAGTTTCACGAGTTCGCCCTGCCTCCAGGTCTCGCAATCGACACCACGGCGAAGCAGGTCGCGCTGGTCTACAACACGCTACCGAACGACACGGCGCCGTTCAAGCCAGCAGACGACGGTATCGAGTTCATGCCATTTTTCACGGGCCTCGATATTGTCGCGTATCCTCCCATCGCAACTCTGGGCGCCGCTTTCGGCAAGTCGTTGCAAGTGACGGCGCCGCCAGGGTCACCCATTGTAATCACGTTCCCGGCCCCGGTCACGGATCCGAAGTATCCGCCGCAATGTGCGATGTTTAGTGCCGCTGGGGGGGCTAAGTACCTGACCACTATTGCCAACGCCGCCACCAAAACGATCACCTGCAAGAGTTCCACATTAGCGGAGTTTACGCTCGCGTCAGGCCCCTCCGTTCCCCTTCCGCCGACGCCTCCGCCCACTCCTGCGCCCACGCCTGCGCCCACACCTGCGCCCACACCCGAGCCCACACCCGAGCCCACACCAGAGCCATCCGCTCCCCCCTCGATCCCGCCCCCATCTCCCAAAAAACCCCTTCCCCCGCCTCCTGCGCCGACAACTCCCCCCGCCAGCCCCAACACAACCATCCCCGCAAACAGCAGCAGCTCCGCCAACGCCGCGAGCAGCGCGAGTACCGCCAGTACCCCGAGCAGCAGCGGAAGCAGCAGCAGCAGCAGCGGCGGCACGAGTGCTGCAGTATATATCGCGGTTGTGGTAGGAGCATTGATATTCATCGCTCTGATTGTACTGCTCGTCTGGTGGTGGCGGCGCTCGAAGAAACAGAAGCAGCTCGAAGCCATGGCTCTCGCCGCGGAAAAGGCGGCGAGTCTGGAGACGGCGCTTATCGGCGCGAGCCGCACGCCCGCCGCTGGCTCGCTGCGAACAAAGGCGAAGCTGGAAAACGAGACATTTTGACTGGAGTGTAACTGATACCAGTAAGACAACGTTGGTTTCGCATTTCTGGCGCCTGACGCAGCCCTGCGTAGTTGCCACGCGCGGCAGCGTTCGCTTTCTGTTAGAGTAGGCGTGTTTTGAATCTATGCGCACTAGAGGCATGCTCGTGACAAAGGGCCAATGCTTGTCTCAAGAGTTAGGAATTGGTAGTGCTGGGTGCGAATCTTGTAATGCTAGTTACGCAACACCTATTCCTGCTGGACCAGAGGAGCTGTATAGTGAATGAATTGAGGGAAGAGGGTTTGTATGTATGACAGCAGTCCTTGCATGCATGGGAAGTTGCGCAATGTAGATTCGGGTGTCACATCACATGGCTGAGTCGGGGCATCTGAGGTGGTACACGCCAGAGGAACTGTAGGTCAGTTCACATGACAGATATTATGGGTGAGGTGGCTTCCTTACGATGATGGGTGGCATTGATGTGATTGGAGGACAGGTAACGGAAGTCGCACAACACATCTGAGCAGCAACGTGGCGTGATGATCAAATGACCAGCACGATGATCAAGGCCCGGTAATGTTCAATGCACTGATACGGTGCCGTAGATGGGCATCAACAAGATAGAAAAGTAGGAACTTGTGTTTCAGGCGAAGCTTTCCTCCCTCACCTCACCTCCTGTCCTCCCTCCCCTCTCACCTCCCACCCATCCTTTGCCCCACCTTACCTGTAGCCTCTGGGCTGCAAAAAGTTTGGAACCTATGGAAACACTGAAGAACTTCTGAAACGTACCGTACCATTTTTCGCTCAGAGAAGTCAACAACTTGTGAAGGGGTGGCAAATGGACGTGTTTGAGAAGTGGGGTGGGGGCGCTTCAGGATTCCATGACACTCTCAGCTCAAATTGATACACAACATGGAGGGGCCATTACACTAAGGCTTGTGCATAGTCGGGCTGATCGCCAAACACCTTGAAAAGGACGTGATTTTTGTAGGTTGACAGAGGCAGAAAGCTTGGATAGGGCTGGGAAAAATGCATGTATGGCTCTTGATACGCTTGATGTAGACAGAATTTGAAGCCAACACCCCCTGAATCTAGCAATGTGAAACATCACCAACGAAAGATGAAATAGGTATTGAATAATCAAACGCCCAGATGGTTGAATTCAACTTCTGTAAACCCGCAAAGTCGTATTTATCATATTGGTTCCGGTAAGTTCTTCCGATAGACAACCTTGTGATAAACAAGAAGTTTCAAAATATTAATTGGCTGACTGTTCAGTAAACGCGTTGATAGGAAACAAGAATTTCGCACGCGAACTCACCTTCGTTAGAAGGTGACATCCCAGGTTACTCTGGACCAATAGCATCGTACCTCGAGATTTTCCGAAACGAATGACCATTCGTTCTTTTGGGAGGATTTCGACTCCCCTGGAAATTTTGCAAACCAATCCAAATTGCTTGGCGGAGATGCCAGAATCTCCTCGTTAGGATTTTGAACCAATCGTAGCGTCACGACGATTGCGTTTCCCACCAAACGACGACTTTTCGCGGTTGCACTGCTCCTCGCCCCGCCTCCTTCGTTACTTCCCCTTCTCGCTGTCGAACGAGCAGTACAAAAGAAGCACTCAGCAGCAATCCAGGACAAGCTTCAGCAACTCAACGACCATCTAGTTCTCTTACATTTACAAGCAGACAGAAATGGCTGCCCTCGCCAACGCTGCTGTTGCTCCCTCCACCTTCGTCGGCCAGAGCGCTGAGCTCGCCGCCAAGGTCAACAATGTGGAGGCTCGCGTCTCCATGAGGAAGACGGCCAAGGCCGCCCCCACCAGCTCCTTCTACGGCCCCGATCGCCCCCAGTTCCTGGGCCCCTTCTCCTCCCCCCCCTCGTACTTGACCGGTGAGTATGCCGGTGACTACGGGTGGGACACCGCGGGTCTGTCCGCCGACCCTGAGACGTTCGCCAAGAACCGCGAGCTGGAGGTGATCCACGCCCGCTGGGCTCTTCTCGGCGCCCTGGGCTGCCTGACCCCCGAGCTCCTGGCGAACAACGGCGTTGAGTTCGGCGAGGCTGTGTGGTTCAAGGCCGGTGCTCAGATCTTCTCCGAGGGCGGCCTCGACTACCTCGGCAACCCGAGCCTGATCCACGCCCAGTCCATCCTGGCCATCTGGGCCACCCAGGTGATCCTGATGGGCGCCGTTGAGAGCTACCGCGTGGGTGGCCTCGAGGGCTTCCAGGAGGTGGAGGACCCCCTGTACCCCGGCGGTGCCTTCGACCCCCTGGGTCTGGCTGACGACCCCGACGCTCTCGCGGAGCTGAAGGTGAAGGAGCTGAAGAACGGCCGCCTCGCCATGGTGTCGATGTTCGGATTCTTCGTCCAGGCCATCGTGACCGGCAAGGGTCCCCTTGAGAACCTGTCCGACCACCTGGCTGACCCCACCGTGAACAACGCCTGGGCCTATGCCACCAACTTCACCCCCGGCCAGTAAATGCTTTGTACATTGATACGTAATATAGGTATAGGATAATTCAAAAGTTCTTTCACATTTTGCTGACCGTGCGCGAAGTACAACACACTCCTAGAGCAGTGAATGGCGAAGAATCGCTAAAATTCAACTACGTCAAAATGCTCCAGCTGAAAAGATGACAACGCTGGTCTTCGATCTAATTCTCCGCCTTAAGGGAGGACAGTGATCGTCGAAGCTGCACGCGTTGGCCGAGAGATTGTTAGTTCAGTGTTCTAGTGGATAGAACATTGAATTAGTCTTGACTAGCAGCTCGACAACAGTAAGAACGCTTGCGCCCGCATAATATCGCAGCTGAGGTCATGCTCCATTGATGGCTTTAAGATGGCTCCCCCTCCTCTCCAATGTTCGTCGTTCATTCAGCAGAAGCCGTTGAGCACACAACATTGAACCCTTCTACTGACTGTCTTGTCTTGTTTAACGTTTATGGATGGAACATTTAAGGACTTTTTGGTAGCCGCACTTAGGGCGTGTCAATAAAATCACATGTACACGGTCGAAAGCCATGTTGTGCGTATAAGGGCGGCTCGTTTACATTTATATACATTCTGGTAAAATTTAGAGCAAAAACGAACTCAGTTGACAACGTACGTGGTGTGCAGAAAGATGAATTCGCGCTAGTCTGATAAACTTCATGCTAGTACACTCTGGACTTTCATTATCGCTAGTATATGGTGAAGTATCGAGGATTTCCATGTCATCAACTTTCCACGCTGGCTTTCTGGTTTTGCTGAGCAGTGTTCCAGCCGATGCCCGCCAACCACCCTGAACCGCATGCCGCTTTCCGCAAGTCCTGGATCTGTTGGGAAGTCTTTTTGTTTTGAATGGGAAACAGTTTGCCAGGTCATCCTTAGCCACTCGCATATCCACTTCCTCCTTTGTGTAGCGTGGACAGATGTGTGGCTGGATCAGGTGATTTCGCACCGCAAAAGTCGTTTCTCTGCAAGGTGACAACCCAAAGTGGCAGCAATGTTTGGTTGGTGTGAGCATCCATCTCCGCCATGTCATCCAGTTCCTCTAGCTTTGCCACGTCAATTCCACCTGTCGTGTACGCGAGGGTTTCGCCCTGCCTTGTGACCAGCACAGTGAAGCGCGGCCACCAATCGCACAACACAGAAAAAGATCTGAATTCCCGCAACTGCTCCGCACAAGCTTTTTCTGCCTCTCCCACACTTTCCCCCCAGACGCCGCTGCAATAAATGTCCCAACCAGTCTCAACCATTCTCACACCGTTTTATTTGTTTTTCACCATCCCATATCTCTTCAAACTCTGCTGATTCTCTTCCCTCATCCGCCCCATATACCATTTCCCCCGGTCTCCATTGTATCTCCCCAAATTACGCATCCCCAGCCAAACCCAGCTCCAACGGCTCGCTGGTTTGCATGAGCCATGGCTGACAGGATCAGACACTGCTGAATGCTGATTGTTGAAAGGAAAAAACCCGTTCAAGCACGTACAGCACGGCACAGAACAAGTCTCTTTCCGTCCCATCAGCAGGCAGGCAGGCACCTACCTGCTCTTGCGACGGACCACTTGTTCTTCACCTTCCTTTCAGCGAGCCGTCTTGTTTAGTCGTCCAGCCTGCGTATCTCAAAGCCGACGAGGGCGTTTCATCGGGACGAGCTTGTAGTGCCTTCCGACTGTATCCGTCGGAAGGATGGCCGTCTCCGCCGCTTCTGTCCGAGCCGCTTTCTTAATCGATAGGTCGCCGCCAGAACGGCCAGGTGCGAAATCCTGCAACCTAACAAGTCTCTGTCCTCACCGCATATATCAAACGTGGAAAGATATTAGAGTGTCAAGAGTTCATAACCCACGTTATCTCCTACCAGTGTAAACAAATTCATAGTAGTGTCACTGCTGTGTGGTTGACGTAGTGCTTACTTCAGCTGTAGTCAGAACATTCAGCCTAAACCACTCGCCTTTGTACTCAGTGGTATCTCATGTCGTTTTGTTTTCCCCCGTCATGCAGGCAGCAGCCCGGCGGTCGGCTCGTCCACGTCCGTCTTCTTCGTGCGACGGCCTCTCGGCGACGTCGCCGTTCCTGTCGCCAAGCCAACCGTCGCACCTTTCGCAGACGTCGTGTGCTCGTCGTCGTCGTCGGCGCCGACCCCTCACTCCACGTCCAGTCCTTCTCGCGTCTTCCTTCGCCCCTCATCAGCTATTTCCAGTTACAAGTGAGTCGTTTATCGCTCGCTTGTCTGCTTCATAATCCTAGAATTCAATTCGAGGCGTCATATATTTAATATCCTTACTCGAGCTCCTTTCGTCATGTCTGACCCCCCTGCTCCCGTTTATTCGAGGCTTCGAGTGCCGGACCTTAACACATTCTGCATTAAAATCACATCGTATTCCTATCATGTTTCCGTCTGTTTTCCTACATCCTTCCGTCTCGTATGTCTCGTACATAACTCGTAGAGGTTTCTCAACAGTCGTACCTCTTCCGTCCCTCCCTCTCCTGTCTTGTTCTCCCCTTATCCAGTCGCACCGATGCCTCCCCTCCGCGGCGCGTCGATCCGCATCTCTCCGCACCCTCCGCCGCATCTGCCGCCTCCGGCTGCGTCGGCGAGCTCACGGACTCTCGCATGTCGCACAACGGCGTCGCACAGCGCAATGCAGTCGCACAGCGATTCGCCTCCACGTCTGACGCGCGAACGGAGTCGCTAGCAGCCGAGGCGCTGTACCTCGCACAGACGGCCGCGCTCGTCGCGAAAGAAGCAGCGCAGCTCGCGACTATAGAGAGGGCCATGCAGCGGGAGGTGACTACAACGAAGGATTCCTCTAAGACGCTGGTCGAAAGCAGCTGGCGTGATTGTATCGAGGTGGGGGAGGAGCTAGGGCAGGAGGAGTTACGGAGTGTGTGGATGGCTGCAGGCGCTCCGGTTCCTCTCCTGACTCCGCTGGAAGCTTCCAGGAACACGCAGCTGGATAGCGCCACCAGGAGCTTTCTACCGGCTCGCAGCGCTTTAATAGGCGACGTGACAAGCGCCGACTTGCTATGGCAGGCGCGTGGTTTCTGGTGGGATGAGGAGGAAGGGGAGTCGATTCCACGTGGCAGCACCAGATTGGTCCGTTCAGCGTCTGTAGCTTCTGAGAGGTCGAGCAACGCAATGCTGACCGACGATTGGTCGTCGGCGTTGCCTGAAACGTCGCCGAGACAGGTTGGCGCCAGCACACTGTCTGCTCTTAGCGAATGTGACTTAAGCGAGAGGGAAGCAAGCGGGGACAGCAGCGATGGTGATAGTACCGAGGCAACCAGTCAACTAAAGCCGCGTAGTGTGCGAGCCTTAGTTAAGTCCAGGCGGAAAGGAATGCGCATGGAGCAGAGGGAGAAGGCGAGATTAAAGAGGCTCGCCAATCGGTCCTCATCCCCCAACTCGTCACTAGACTCTCTCCTCCTACTCACTCCCTCCCGCTCCGCCGCGAAACGATCAGCGAAAGCCCCGGCGAAGGAGTTACCCGAAGCCGGCGAAGAGAAGGAGTTGACGTTGGAGGAGTTTCGCCGAGTGTCGAACGACCCGATCTTCGCCATGTTCGAATCCGCGGGTGGTAACTCGCGTCTCCTCACAGCCGCGGAAGAAATAGAATACTCCAAGGGCGTTCAGGAGCTCCTGAAGCTCGAGCGAGCGCGAGACGCGGCGGAGAAGGCGCAGGGGCGCACGGTGACGATGGAGGAGTGGGCGGAGGCGGCGGGATTGTCGGTGGCGGAGGTGCGGCGGCGGGAGGCGCGCGGGCGCGAGTGCAAGAAGGCGATGATGGCGAGCAACATGCGGCTGGTGATCAGCGTCGCGAAGAAATACTGCCGCGGGGGCGTCGGCCTGCAAGAGCTCATCACGGTGAGCCCTGCGCGATGAGCTGAGTAAAGTAATCTGTGTATGGGTTGAGAGGTTGGTGGGCTGGTTGGGAAGAGTGCAGATGGTTTGGGATGCGATAACGTGTGGTAAGGGTGTCAGGAAATGGGATACTCAAGGGTGATAGCGCGTGATAAGAGATAAGAGATAACTGGTAACCGTGTGAGAAGCAGGGCAGCGAGTGATAAACAGGCGGTTTAGGGGCGACGGGGAGACCGACGGGGATAAACGAGAGTGGAGAGTGATACGTGGGTTGGTGGAATCACATTGCCTTATCAAATCTGATTTGTTTTAACGTGTCCGATATGCGTTTGACGTCACCCTTCGCGGAGTATAGACACGTCCGCTTCCTGACGTGCTCTCTCCTGTGCGCACGCCTCTTATCTCTGCATGTTCGTGTCCTTGTGCCCCTGCTTGCCCCTGTGCCCGTGTGGCTGCGCGCGACAGGAGGGGTGCATGGGGCTGATGAAGGGCATAGAGCGCTTCGACCACAAGCGGGGCTTTAAGTTCTCCACGTACGCGCACTGGTGGATCCGCCAGGCCGTCACGCGCTCCGTCGCCGAGCAGACCCGCACCGTGCGCCTCCCGGTGAGTGTTTGCGTGTGTGCTTGCTTGTAACGAGTGTGAATATAGCGAGTTGTCATCATGCTGTGCCATCACCTTGTACCCCTATCACACGATCCCCCAATGAGCGCACTCGCCATAAGCATACCCGCCATGAGCAAACCTCAGTGTCTGGCTACTTTTAGTCGTCTCTTCATTCCTCTCCTCACACCATGCCTCACACCATGCCTCTCACCGTCCTCCCTCTCTCCTGGCCACCCTCCCTCTATGGGTTACCTCCACTCACCACCTTGTGCCATACCATGCTATAATTGTGGCTGGTTCGCTGTGCAATGCTATCTTGTTGTTGCACTCCATCCCCCCTCGTGCCACATCACACGCCCACAAACCACATCCAGCCCCACAAACCACACCCAGCCATCCGCCACACCTTGCCATCAAGTTGTCCCTTCCCACTCCGCCCTCCTCTGTTTTGTTCCCCCAACAGGCCCACATCTATGAGCTGCTATCGCGCATCGCCAAAGCAAGAGACCTGCTGTGGGAGCAGCTGGGGCGGCTGCCGTCCGACAGTGAGCTGGCCGGCCTCGTGGGGCTCACCCCCGCCAAGCTAAGGGCGGCGGTGCGCAACGTGCGTGCGCCCTGCTCCATGGACCGCCCGATTTCCTCCGATGGCGAAGACACTCTCGGGGTGAGTCGTCCTCGTCCATGCCACTCGTCCCTCTGCTGTGTACCTTTTTCGTTTTAGGATCAGCATTTGTCTTTGGTGTGTCTCACAGCCCACAGATAACATTCCCTTCTCTTCGACCCATCCCTTCACTAATACCCCAACCATCCGCCAACCTTCCTCTCCCCAATCCAATGAACACATGAGCAGTCATTTGTGGAGGACTCAACACTGGAGTGCCCAGAGGAGCAAATGATACCAGCAGCTGCCTCCTCCCGGACCAATCCCTATCACTAATCTCCCAACACACTCTTACCCTTTCCCTATTCCCCTGGACACACGATACAGGCATTTGTGGAGGACTTGACTCTGGAGTGCCCCGAGGAGCGCATGATGCAGCAGCTGCTGAAGCGCGACCTGCAGCAGGTGCTCGGCACACTCACGCCCCGGGAGAGGGAGGTGATGTGGCACCGCTATGGGCTCGACGACGGGCGTGCCAAGACCCTGGAGGAGCTTGGAGTGATGTTCCGGGTGACCCGGGAAAGGATTCGGCAGATTGAGTCCAAGGCACTGATGAAGCTGAGGCAGCCTGAGAGGGGAGGGGGATTGAAGGGCTATGTGGATGGGTTGGCCGTGTGAGTGTTGCTGGATTGTGGTGAAGGTCAAATGAACTAGGCTCCTCTTTTATTTGTATTTGTAAGCTAGGCTATGTTTGGAAAGTTAAACAAACCATGTGAACTGATGTTAACAATTCTTTATGCTTCTGAAGATGCGTTCTAAAAGGCTGTTCATTTGGTTATTTGCAGTAATGTCATATGGCGTTCATGACAAGTTCTGTATAACCAAACTTACTGTACGCTACTTTCGACTTGTGATCTTGTTATGGGTAGCGAGTCGCAACGTGATGGGCTTGAGTGTGCCCGTCGCGAGTCACCCGCAATTCGGAAGGCCAATCAGAGCGAGCGACGTGACTTTCGCAAAAATCTGGAGGGACACATCACATGGCTATCCAGCAGCCCCGACATCACACCGATTGCGCGCGACTCGAGCATTCACCGATTCCCTAGGGAAGCTCAATTTCCCCCGAGTGTGTCGGATTGGGGAAATCGATCAGCCAGCCCTACAAAACCCCCCTGCTTTCACGTCATTCTCAAGCTTCAGCAGTACTTCCGTATTCACTTATTTTTTATCATCCCATCAAGCAGACAGAAATGGCTGCCCTCGCTAACGCTGCTGTTGCTCCCTCCACCTTCGTCGGCCAGAGCGCTGAGCTCGCCGCCAAGGTCAACAATGTGGAGGCTCGCGTCTCCATGAGGAAGACGGCCAAGGCCGCCCCCGCCAGCTCCTTCTACGGCCCCGACCGCCCCCAGTTCCTGGGCCCCTTCTCCTCCCCCCCGTCATACCTCAACGGCGAGTATGCCGGTGACTACGGGTGGGACACCGCGGGTCTGTCCGCCGACCCCGAGACGTTCGCCAAGAACCGCGAGCTGGAGGTGATCCACGCCCGCTGGGCTCTTCTCGGCGCCCTGGGCTGCCTGACCCCCGAGCTCCTGGCGAACAACGGCGTTGAGTTCGGCGAGGCTGTGTGGTTCAAGGCCGGTGCCCAGATCTTCTCCGAGGGCGGCCTCGACTACCTCGGCAACCCGAGCCTGATCCACGCCCAGTCCATCCTGGCCATCTGGGCCACCCAGGTGATCCTGATGGGCGCCGTTGAGAGCTACCGCGTGGGTGGCCTCGAGGGCTTCCAGGAGGTGGAGGACCCCCTGTACCCCGGCGGTGCCTTCGACCCCCTGGGTCTGGCTGACGACCCCGACGCTCTCGCGGAGCTGAAGGTGAAGGAGCTGAAGAACGGCCGCCTCGCCATGGTGTCGATGTTCGGATTCTTCGTCCAGGCCATCGTGACCGGCAAGGGTCCCCTTGAGAACCTGTCCGACCACCTGGCTGACCCCACCGTGAACAACGCCTGGGCCTATGCCACCAACTTCACCCCCGGCCAGTAAATGCTTGTGTTTCTGAAAAAATCAAATATAAATAGGAAAATTAATTAAAATACAATTAGCGATTTTCCACAAAACGGATGAGCACCAAGAAACCTCTAGCTGTTGGTCCAATGATGAAAGTCCTGGTAACCGTCATCCATTCTCGGTGGATTGCCGACAGGAGTATGGCCAGTATATCAATCAAGTACATTATACAACTTCGAGAGAACAGGAAATGACGCGGTGTGTTGGAGAAGCAGTGGTTGAGATGAAATTAGTATTCTCCCTACTCCATGGACCGTTCAATCTCCTCCGATGGGGAGGACATGCTCGGGGTGAATGAGAATTCGAAACAGTCGCATGTCCCATGACCCTTGAACATCCGCGCAGGCATTTGTAGAGGACATTGGACTGCCCAGAGGAACGTATGATGCAGCAGCTGCTGAAGCGGGACCTGCAGCAGGTACTGGGCACACTCACACCCCGGGAGAGGGAGTCGGGCGTGCCAAGAGCTTGTAGGAGCTGGGGGTGATATTCCGGTTGACAAAGAGAGAGGATTCGGCAGATTGATTTCAAGGCGCTGTTGAAGCTGAGGCAGCCGCTCAACGGGTATGTGGATGGGTTGGCTATGTGAGTGTTTGGGTTAGGGGTGGCGTGGAGGTCAGGTCAGGCGAACTAGGCTCATCGCCCATTTGTATTTGTGAGAATGCATTTGTGAGCTAGGCTACGCACATAACTCTCCTTGATAATTTCATTCAATGCATTTTCTGAAGCCTACGTTGTAACGAATTTCCTTACAAGGTACCTTTGGTTCTTCAGATTGCGAGTTTGCGGCTAGAGTTCGACAGAATCGTTCCTTCATTGGCACATCTGACCGTGTGGGACGTGAAAATGGTGATCACCACCTACTGCGCGGTTGGGAACCTCACCTCCACGCTACGTTGTGCCAAACGAATAACACCAAACGCTTTGTAAAAGCCGTTTTCGGGATGTCCATGAAATGAGGGAGACTCTCACTTTTTGTACTACTGGAACTTGGCCAGGCCTGGAGAATCATGGATCCGATATGGAGTTACGTTTCACGCAGCTGGGCCCAGTTGGGCCTGTGTGTGTGGAGTATGGGTTGGGCACACAAGCAGCCAACTGGTGGCAGACGCCCACCCTCCACATGGTTTTGCTTGGCTTGTTGTGGGTCAGGAGCACCGACGCGCTACGTACGTCACGAGTCACGACAGCTCACAGGGCCACTGGGTGAACCTGGCTTTCGCACGGTACGGATTCCGTGTCCTTTCTCACCTTCGTTGTCCACGTGTCACCGTTTCACTTCCGCCTCACTTCGTTCGAGCAATTCTCATTCCCCATACCCACCACCTCACCGACTCACCCGTAGATGCAAGGTTCCAGTTTCAACCACCAGCCATCCTCTGGCACTCCATGCTTGCTTCCATATGTATTCGGCATCCGCGCAAGTTGCGGCTCTGGCGAGATGTCGATTAAATATCACTCCTCTTGTACTAGGACCAGTAAGCCACAAGTTCTAGGATCGCGCTCGCCGCGATTCGTCGGACTGTCTCTCTCCTTTCTTGGCTGCTTAGAAAAATGGGAAATCACTAGTGGTCTGGCATTCATCCTTTGGTCCTTCAGTCCTTCAGTTTCTTTGACAGCCAACATCACACACCACGTGAAGTCTTATCTTCCTCACCACTTGACAGACGCTTACTGCAAGTAACACTTCGCATACAACTGCTCGTTGCCTTTCGAAAAATCATTCCTTCTCCATTTATCCAAGAAAGACCGTTCCAGAAGCGTTAACCATGCTTTCCGGCAGCCTGTTGCTGAGCAGCCCTCCCTGCGACGCGGGTCTCAAGGGGCAGGAGGATTCGTCGCCGTGGTTGCCTGACGACATCGATATCGACGCCATCATGTCGTACGACGAGACGAACGACGCTTGCGACCCAAAGCCGTCGCCAGGCGACAATGACGCGCGTGCGGACTGCTTGAGTAGCGGCCGTTGCGACGGGATTCCTGCAAGATCTGCTGACTCGACCGCTAAGGATGAGGTCCCCACCCGTCGCACAGGCGAGCAGATTGCGACATCCGCGCGACACGTTACGACTATTCATCACATTCCCTGCGACGTTTTCGCAGAAGAGAGTTGCTGCAGCAGCGGCAGCGTCAGCGGCAGAGACAGCGACAGCGGAGATGGCAGCTTTCGCAGCCTAGGAGTCTGGTGCGCCGACGGCGACAATGATGCGAATCTGCGACGTGAATCTTTGCAACAGCAAGTGACAACTTGTAGCGACGCTGACAGTGCTTGCAGCGGGACATTTTCGAAAGAGCGTGATGTGCTAGGAGCCACCAGCACTTGCGACAGTCGCAGGCGAAAACTTCGCGAGGAATCACCCAGGAGTCGCACGGGGAAGCACCTTGCGCCAGTGTCGAAACCCCTGAAACGCTCGCAAGCGACGGGAGGGAGGCGTTTGCATAACTGCCGCCCGTTACAGGAACTCCCTGCGGCGATCCAAGTGCTAGCGGAGTACGATCTGCTGACTCAACTCGTCATGCTCACCGCCTCGCGAATTGCACGAAGATCGCACACTGGTTCGGTTGACGTGACAGCAACTCCCTTCAGTGATGCCGCTGCTAACATGGCCTTGAATCTGAGGTAGCACCAGAGCGGGCAGCTGCGCTGTAGAGGTACTCGTTGGTTGTAATAAGCACAGACTACCCTATCTGGTTATCCTCCAAGATATAGTTTTTTACTCAATGTATTGCTAAAAATCAGACTACAAACCATACAAATGGGTGAACAGCAGCCATTTACATGTGTATTCATAATACTACAGGCGTGTACAAGTGAATGTCTGAGGGATGTAGATGAATGTCGACCCTCGGATTAATGGTTTCAACCGTTAGGATTCACCGATATCCATCGACATCTAGTTTTTGCAGCACTTTGTACACGCCATAATTACTTGAAAACCGCACAGCACACACAGCACAGCTCCTATACAAGGAGTTAGAAGAGCAACCATCCAGCCACTCAACTCCCCCCAAAAAGCTCCAAGCTACTGTATGTAATTTGGTACCCTGCTTAGCACCGCAGAGAAAACCAACACTTCAGTACAACCAATAGAAAATAGTAATCAAGGTTTCGCTAGCATGCCGCTAGAAAAGGATGGTCAACGAGCCGGGCGGCTGTCGGGCGGCGGGACGGATCCCGGTCCAAACAGGTCGCGACAAAATCAATGAGCTGTGGCGAGGAATCGGGCGGCAGGTCGGGCAGAGCCCTGCTGTGTGCGATGAAGAGCCGCACTTGCTCCTCGTCCGCCACTTGGGCCCATGGTAGCGCTCCCGTTGCCATGTGCACTGCCAGGCAGCCCACCGCCCACATGTCTGCTGCTGCACCCACTGTCTCCTGCTTGGTAGATAGCGTATTGGGGGAACAGACGTCGGACGAAGAATGAGAAATGAGATGTCGGAACGAGGGGAAGGTGGGAGACCCAAGAGAAGGGGGAGGGCACAAGTGGAAGGCGAAGAGAGAGGTTGAAAGGCGGCAGGAAGAGACACAGCGTTTCGAGTAGAGGGAAACACGGGTAACGAATGGTGGGAGGAAGAACAGGCAGTGCACGGGTAACAAGATGGGCAATAGCGGCACAGCCAGTGCACAGCAGAACATTAATACCCTCACCTTTCTGATCTCTTCAGGGGAACACCAGGGCACCTTGCTTCCTCCCCTCCCCTCCCCTCCCTCCTCTCCCTCCTCCTTTCCCCCATCTCTATCCTCCCCTCCATCCCCTCCCTCCCTTTCTCCATCCAGGAACGAGGTCCCAGCGAGCTTCACGACGCCATCATCGGGAACGAAAACGCTGCTGGTGCGCACACGGCCGTGGGGGATGCCCAGGGAGTGGAACGCTGTTAGTGCCTCCACCACCTGATGGGGGTGGACAGAGGGAGAGAGTATGGATGGGACGTCACTTCTCAGTCGACTGAATAGCCATCGTGGGGAACGAAAACGCTGCTGGTGCACACACGGCCGTGGGGGATGCCCAGGGAGTGGAACGCTGTTAGTGCCTCCACCACCTGGCACGGGCAGAAGGCGAGGGTCTCTTCAGGAATAGGGCCGCACTCGGTGAGCTGGTGGGACAGTCAAACGCAGCAAACAGCAAATTCAGGCACTTAACACGTGCTTAGTGCTCAGGGCTCACCTGGCAAAGGCAGAAGGCGAGGGTCTCTTCCGGCATGGGGCCGCACTCTGTGAGCTGGTGGGAGAGCGACGGCACGGGCACATAGTCAAACGCCGCAAACAGCAGGTGAATGCCGCCCCCGCTGCTGGTGCCGGCACCGTTGGCGCCGCCACCGCCGCTGCCGCCGATGCTGCTGCTGTTGTTGTGGTGGCTGGCGCTTGCGTTGGTGCTGCCAGTGGCGGGGGAGGGGGCGGTGGTACGAATGGCGCCAACGCATGGCACAATGTTCTCATGCCTGGGGGGGAGGGGTGACAAGGGAGCAGGAGCATGGGAGGGCAGGGCATGGGAGGGAGATATAAGGTGCCAGTGGCGGGGGAGGGGGCGGTGGTGCGGATGGCGCCAACGCATGGCACGATGTTCTCATGCCTTTTGAGAATTCTCAGAAAACACGATGTTCTCATGCCTGGGGAAGGGGCGCCAGGAGGATGGGGCAAACAGGGGTCAAGGTAAGGAACGGACAAAGGAGGGAGGAAACAGCACAGTGCATTTGGACTTCTAAGAAAATTCGGAACTGGTGGGAAAATGCGCTCGGGCAAATGAGCTCTCACTTGAGCTTAAACACGTCCCAAAATTCTAGAGAAATTCCCTCTCCAAAATTCCCTCTCCCTCTAACCGAACACTCACTTGAGCTTCAGCAGTAATGCGACCCGCTGGTGCATCCGCCGCTCTCTCTCCGACTGCCCTGACTGGCCCCCCACGCCCCTCTCCCCTTGCGCCCCTCCCTCCCCTGCGCCCCCGCCCCTCTCCCCCACATGCACTCGCTGCACCACCAGCTGCTGCCCCGTCCCCCGGTCAACCACCAGCCTCAGCCGCCCTCCAAGCCGGGACACTAACTGCCACCGCCGAGGCAGGTAGTCCTGGAGTAGGCGCTGCCTGCTGCTGCTACTGCTGGGGACGGTGGGACTGGGGAGGGTGGGAGTGGGGGCGGTGGGAGTGGGAGCGGTGGGAACGGGGGCAGTGGGAGCAGGGGAGGAGGCAGTGGGAGCGGTGGGAGTGGCGGGCCTGGGACTGGCGGCGGGAGCAGTAGGGATGGTGGGAGTAGAGGGTCTGGAACTGGAGGAGTTGGGTGCGGTAGCACTGGGTATGGGGGTGGCTGGGTTGGCAGCAGCAGAGGGTTTGATGGTACTGGCAGGAGCAGCAGCTGCTGCTGCCGGTGCAGCTGTACTTGCAGCAGCAGCAGAAGCAGCAGTGGGGCTGGGGAGGGGAGAGGAAGCAGCAGAGGCGAAGGAGTGTGAGGGAAGAGGAGGGGGCGTGAATCTCTGCCTCCTGGCCGCACCAGTAGCTCCTGCAACCCCCCCTGTCGCACCCCCCCCTGTTACGACTTTCCCTGTTGCACCTCCTGCTGTGGCACCTCTCCCTGCTGCACCCACTCCTCCTGCTCCTGCTGCTCCTCCTGCTTTTGCCCCTATCCCTCCTCCTCCTCCTCCTCCTCCTCCTACTCCTACTCCTCCTCCTCCTCCTCCTCCTCCTCCTCCTCCTCCTCCTCCTCCTCCTCCTCCTCCTCCTCCTCCTCCTCCTCCTCCTCCTCCTCCTCCTCCTCCTCCTCCTCCTCCTCCTCCTCCTCCTCCTCCTCCTCCTCCTCCTCCTCCTCCTCCTCCTCCTCCTCCTGCCATCCCCCCCATCACCAGGGACCCAAACCCTCGGGGAACTCTAGGGGAACCCCCAGGCATGGGCGACCCCAAGCCAGGCCTGGGGCTGCTTCCCAAGCCTTGGCCCGAGCCTGGCGCCGAACCAAATGCCGGGCCGTGGTTGCCCGAGCCTGAAACCAAGGCTGCTTTGATCGTCCCAACCGAATGCCCAGAGCTCCTGGACGCGTCCAGGCTCAGCTGGTTCACCTGCCCATTCCGCCTCATATTCTGGTTCGGGGCTTGGTTCGGCGTGCCCGAGCCTGGCGCGGTGTGCCACCCGAAGCTACCATCCTCGTTCCCAACCGAGTGGGCGGAACGGGTGGAAGACACAGGAAGGTCGGACGATCCAGGGGGGGAGGGGGGTTCTATGTACATCTCGTTGTCACCCGTGTTACCAGTGTCTCCTGTGTTACCAGTGTTACCACTCTTAACAGTGTTATCAGTGTTTCTATTGTTGGCAGCATGGGAGACAGGCAGGGGGCGTGGTTGAGAAGGGAAGGGCTGCCGTGTTGGGGTGTTGAGAGGGCTACGAGAAGGGGAGCGGGGAGGAACGTTCGGGACAGGGACGTTTGGAGGAGAGAGGTTCGGAGGAAGGTTCGTAGGTGATAGGTTGGGGGGACGGAGGTTGGGAGAAGCACGCCTGGTGGGAGGTGGCGAAGGGCGGGGGGCAGAAGAGGCGAGGGGGGAAGGGGGAGTGGATAGAGCATTGGGGATGCCAGGAGCAGGAGGGGTGGGTGGGCGTGAAACTGGGGGTGTTTTTTGAGACGTCTCAAATGCGGTGGGGATGGAAGGAGCAGCAGGAGGGGTGAGAGGGCGTGAGAGTGGGGGAGTGCGGGAACGGTTGTGGGGGGGGCGGGGGAGACATGTCAAAACGAGACTGTGTGTGGGGACGAGGAGGAGTGGGAAGGGGAGAGGGGGGACGAGGGATTTGCTGAGTCGACTTGAACTGAGGAAGGGGAGAGGGGTGAGGCGAGGGAAAGGGCGAGCGGTGAGGGGAGGGAAGGGGAGAGCGGTGAGGGGAGGGAAGGGGAGAGCGGTGAGGGGAGGGAAGGGGAGAGCGGTGAGGGGAGGGAAGGGGAGAGCGGTGAGGGGAGGGAAGGGGAGAGCGGTGAGGGGAGGGAATGGGAGAATTTGGAGTGGGAGATGGGGAGGAGAGGGGCGGGCATGTGGGCGAAGGAGCTTTTTGCTGCAGGTGGGATGGAAGGGAAGGACGCTGCTGCTGCTGCTGCTGCTGTTGCTGCTGCTGCCGCCCACTTAAGTAATCCCTTGGGCTTCGCATGCTGTATTGCCCTGTCTCCACCCCATCACCCCTTCCCTCATCACCCCCGCCCTCATCACCCCTTCCCTCATCATCCCCTCCCCCGTCATCCCCTCCCCCGTCACCCTCTCCCCCATTGCCAGAGTAGACCCGCCCCACTCCTCTAGAACCTAAAGGCATGCTCCCAGAATGCACGACCAGCTGCATCCCCTGCCAACCCTCTGCCCCCTCACCTTCCTCTCCCTGCCAACCTGCTGCCTCCTCACACTCTCCTCCCTGCCCCCCTTCCTGCCTCCCTCCCTGCACCCCTCTCCTCCTCTCTCCCTCTCCCTCCTCTCCCTCTCTCTCCTCCTCTTCCTCCTCCTCTTCCTCCTCCTTTCCCCCCTCCCTCTCCCCTCCAGCACCAGCACCTACCGCACCACCCCGTTCCCCACCCATCCTCACCCCTCTCAGCCCCTCGCCCAAAGCAGCTGCAGCGGCAGGAGGGGCAACACTCCCCGCATTCCCCTCTAAACCTTTCCCTTGCGCCGACTGGAATCCCTGAGACGCCTGGAAAGCTTGAAAAGCTTGGAAGGACTTGAAAGCATCGGCGCCACTCCCTGTATTGCCGTCAGAAGCATTGTTTTGGGATGACTGACACGCCTGCATAGACTGAAAACCATTCGGGCCCTGAACGCCACTGCCCGTATTGCCGCCGTCTGAAGCATTTCTTTGAGACTGAAAAGACTGAAACGCCAGGAAAGCCTGGGGAGAGTGGAGAGGCGGAAAAGGTTCCGGCCCGCTGCCCGCATTCTTCTGAGATGCCTCAAAAGCTGCCCGAAAAGCATCAAAATCACTGCCCGCGTTTCCCCCGTGAGAGGCACTGAAATGCTGAGAGCTGGTGGGAGGGTTACCGTTAATAGAGCTGGTGGGGGGGTTACCGAGCATAGAACTAGTAGGAGGATTGCCGTTGAGGGAACTACTAGGGGGATTGCCAAGCAGGGAGCTCCCAGGGGGGTTAAATGGGGAGGACGGGTGGAAGGGGGAGGATGGATGGAAAGGGGAGGAGGGGCGCAGAGGCGAACCGGAAAAGGAATAGTTGTTGAAGGAAGAGGCATTGAAGGAAGAAGCATTGAAGGACGAAGCGTTCAATGAAGAGGCGTTGAATCCCGAGAGGGCCAGGGCAGCTGGGTTGGTGGCAGATAATGCGTGCAGTGCAGAGGGGTTCAGAGCAGCGAGGTTCAGTGCAGAGGGGTTGAGAGCGGTGGAGTTGAGAGGATTGGCCTGGCTAAGCAACGAGCCTAAGGAGCCCTGGAAGCTCATGGGAGGAGGACTCATCCCGCCTCGCAGACCGTTCAGTTGCCCGTTCATCTGCCCGTTCAACTGCCCGTTCAGCTGCCCCAACCCCATCAAATTACACATGGGCGCACCCATTCCCCGAGCCTGAGCCAGCAGGGAGGCTTGGGAAGCTGCGAGCATCTGTGCCTGTGCTGCCGCCTGCACCCGAGCCTGCACCACCCGAGCCTGCTGCATCTGAGCCTGAGCCATAGCCTGGGCCCGAACCTGCACCTCAGTTTGTACCCGAACCTGCGCCTGTGCCATCTGCTGCAAAACGCTCGTCTCTTGTATAAGCCTCCGAACCTCAGCCTCCTTTTTCCTTAGTCTCTCCTCCTCCCTCTCCGAAACCTCCCTGCTATCCCCCTCGTTTTCATCATCCTCATCCTCCTCGTCCTCTTCCTCCTCCTCCCTTCTCCTTCTCCTCCTTTTCTTCCTCCTCCCTTCTAGCCTACTTGATAACCTATTTACTGAGCTCCCTCCCTCACTCTCGCTCTCACTCTCACTCTCCCAACTCCTGCCTCTGCTCCGGGATAAGTCCCTAGTCCATCCATCCTCCTCGTCCTCCTCCCTTTCCTCCTCTCCATTCTCCTCGCTACCCCCATCATCATTATCACCACCACCACCCACATCATCCCCTCTTCTCCTCTCACCCTCACTCACACCCCTCGCCTCCTCCCTTCCTCTCCCACCCACATCACGCCTCTCTTCTCTCTCACTACCCTCCAAACGGCACTCCTCCCTCTGACCACTTCTCTTGCCAGACCCCCCATTCCCCTCCTGCCCACTTCCCCTCGCACCCTGCCCCTGCCCCTGCCTCCCCTGTTGCTGCAGCAGCAGCTGCTGCTGGTACTGCTGGTACTTCTGCAGCAGAGCCATCTGCGGGGACACCTGTGCACTCATCAGCACCGCACTCGACCCTGCAGCACCCATAGCACCGCACCCCAGCATCCCCGCTGCAGTTGCAGCAACCCCAGCACCAGTTCCCGCAAGCCCCAGGGCCCCAGACGCCATCCCTGCGGCAGCACCAGCTAAACACCCTCCAGCCGCCGCCGTGCCAGGGGCACCGCAGAAAAACCCCCCTCCAGCCGGGGAGACCCCTAAAGAAGCCCCTCCAACAGGCAGAGAGACGGAGTTGCTCTGTTGGGACTCTGCCTGTAGGCCTACTAATGCCCTGAGATGCATTGACGGCCCTGAGAGAGGGTGGAAGAGAGGGATGGAGAGAGTGGGCGGGGCTAGAAGCTGGTTCGGGAGGAACTGGTTCGGGAGGAGCTGGTTCGGCAGGAACTGGTTCGGAAGAAGGGGGTTCGGGAGGGCCTGATTGGGAAAGGCAGGGGAAGCTAAGGACTGGAAGGGAGAGGTGCTGAAGAAGTGAGGGGGAGGGGAGGGAGAGGTGGGGTTCACGCCAGTAAGATTCACACCAGTTGGGTTCACGCTAGTGGGATTTATACTGGTGGGAAGACCTGGCAACTGAGTGCCAGGCGCAGGGGCATTTGGAGTGGCAGCAATGGCAGCAGAGACAGCAGAAACGGCTGGGGCATCGGAAAGGCCTTGAGGGCAGGGCGATGCGAAGGAGGGGAAGGTATTGCTGGTTTGGAGAGGTGCTGAGAAGGGATTTGGCAAGGTGGAAAAGGGGTTGGATGGAGGGGTGGGGGAACGCTGCTGCTGCTGCTGCTGCTGCTCCTGCTGCGATTGCAGCTGTTGCTCCTGCTGCTGCTGGCGCTGCTGTTCCTGCTGATGGCCATTCCTCATTTCCTCTTCCAGCCTCTGCATCCTCAACAGCACCTCCTCCTCACTCTCCCTCTCCCTCTCACTCTCCCTATCATTCGCCCTCTCACTCGCCCTCCCCCTCTCACTACTCCTCCCCCTCTCACTACCCTCTGCTTCTTCCCTCCTCATCCCCTGCCGTTTTCCCTTCCCGCCCACGCCCCACCCCGTCTCCCTCACGCTCCCTCTGCTCCCCTCCTTATAGTCACATCCATCATAACCACTTTCCCTCATCCCCACCATACCACCCCCCTCACTCCCCATTCGGCTACCCCCTCCCCTCCCTCCTGCCTGGGCATATGCGTTATAATCCCTACCATCGCCCTCTCCGCTATAAGCAGCGGGAGGGGTGGCGCGCGCGGGGAACTTAGGGGGCCTGCTATTGGCGGACGGGGGGCGCGCGCCACTGGGGCTAGACTGGCGGCGGCGGGTGATGCGCTCAAATAGCGCCAGGGGACGGGGGGAGGGGGAAGCGCTGCTAGGGGCGGCGGAGGGGGCGGGGGAGATAGAGGGGGACGGCATGCGGGGGATGGGTGAGGTGGTCCGGAGCGCGGGGGACGTGTGGGGGAGGGGTGAGCGCGGGGCAGAGGAGTGGGGAGAGCGGGGGGCGGAGGAAAGCGGGGAGCGGGGGGCGGAGGATTGGGGGGAGCGAGGGGCGGAAGAATGGGAAGCAGAGGTGGTGCGTCGAGTGACGAGTTCAGGAGACTTGGAGGGGCGTCGCTGGTGGGTGGGTAGAGGTGGACGGCCGAACGCGTCCCTGTGCTGCCCCCTCTGCTGTCGCCGCGGCTCATCCCGCTCGTCCTGCTCCTCTTCGCCCCGCCCGTCCTCCTGTCCCACTTGCGAGTGCTGCTGCTGCTGCTGCTGTTGCTGGCCCATGAAGCTTTGAAAGGCCAGAAACGCGTGTATCGACTCAGGAAAGACAGGAGGAACCGCGAACGAGCCCTGCTGCCCTCCTTCCTGCTGCTGCTGCTGCTGTTGGGTCATGAAAGCCTGGAAAGCCATAAAGGCTTGCATCGTTTCAGGCGTGTAGAGTGGCGACTGCTGCTGCTGCTGCTGAGGGTCGCCGCTGTTTTGGCTCTCGCCATTTTTCCTCCTCTTGACAGAAACATGCTTTGGCTGGGCCCAATGCTCTCTCCCACTCCTCCCGCTCCTCCCACTCCTCCCGCTCCTCCCGCTCCTCCCACTCTTTCCACTGCGCCCGCTCCACCCGCTCCTCTCACTCCTCCCTCCAGGCGACATGCTCCTCTTTCTCCCCCCCTGCACGCCATACTCCCTCGGGCTTCTACCCATGCCCACCGCCCCACCTGCAACACCCATCGCCTCCGCCTCCGCACGCATAAAGTCCATGCCAAGACGACCAAGTCGACCCACCCCCGGCACATCCTCCTCCAAACAGGCGGCCCCACCCCCCATGCGACCCAGATTATCCATACCCGCCGCCCCCGCCGCTGCCGCTGCCGCCGCCGCCGCCGCTGCTGCCGCTGCCGCTTCTCTGCGTCCTCTCACGTCCCTCACTCTCCCCCTCTCTCCGGCGCTCAAATCCTCCGAATCTATAGACTTGCGCGATGGTCGTTTCCCCCACCTGTCGTTTCTCGCCTCCATCTCCTCGCCGTACGCCTCCATGCCTGAGCCTGACGGGCCTGCAGTAACCGGGTTACCACACCAAGCCTGTCGTTTACCCCAGCGATCCTCCTCGCCAAACGCAGCTTCCGTTTGCTCCATCGTTCTCCCCTCCTGCTCCCGCTGCTCCTGCTGCTGCTCCTGCCGGCGCAACTGCTTCTGCTGTGCCTGCTGCCGCACCCGCTGATGCTCGTACTCACGCTCAGAACCCCACGCTCCGCTGTTCCCCCCTTCCTCCCATCCCATCCGCTCGCCACCCACCCCTGCCTCTGCCTCTGCCTCAACCTCCGCGTCAAAATCACGGCCTGCTGCTCCCCAAGCAGTACCGATCTGAACCTTGATCTTCTCCGTTCCTGCCGTTCCTGCCCTTCCGAAAACAAACTTCCCTCTGCTGCTTCCTCCGCCTCCTGCCGCCGCTGCCGCCTCTCGGCCGATATTCCCCCGCCCAATCGCCGGCTCGCGGTCTCTCGGCCGGGCGAATAGCGCGCGTTCCCCGTCCGCCGAATTCTCCCGCCCGCGCCCGCGCGGCAACCGTGCTTCCGCCCTCTCCTCCTCCCCCCCGCGCAAAACAGCCTCTTCCCACTCGTTCCCGCTCGAGCGTCCGGTGAATGCGCCACTCCGCGGAGAAATCCCCCGCTCGTCCGCGCCCGCGCCCTCCAACCCCGCGCGTTTCCCCCTCTCAGGGAAACGCGACAGCGCGGGGGGCAAGCCGGAGGGAAACGGCGACGGCAGATCAGAGGGAAGGGCACCAAAACCGGAGGAGGAGGAGGGGAGGGACGCGAAGACGGACGAACGAGCACCCAACACACCTCTAGGGCATCCGTAGGACGGCGCGGGTCTCCTTTCACCAGCCATAGCAGCGCCAAACGCGGCGGGTCCGTCGCCGTCCATCCCTCCGGGCATAACTCCTTGTACTGAACCCAACGGGCTGCCCTCGTCCCCGTTAAAAGCACCTCCGCTGCCGTCACACACCCCATCCGGAAGAACAGGCGGCGAGCGCGATTTTTCGAGTCCGTTAACCCACGTCCCGTTTCGTTGCGGTTGACCGTCGGCGAAAACTGGAACTGCACCGTCAACCGCCGTCAAGTTCCGCCTGCTCCGTCCCGCGCCGGCCTTCAGCGCGGGGGGGAAGTTCCCCCCACCAGTTTCCGCGCCCCTTGCGCCGCCGCCAGCTTTCGCGTAGCCTCCCCCGACGGCCCCCTCGCAAAGCCCCGTCAACTCTAACGGAAAGGCCGCGCAAGGGCTGCCGGTCAGACTTTACTGGTAAGTTCGAACCCGAGCGCGGATCCACCCGCTCGCGCGGGCCGTCCTCCGCAATCACGCGCTGGTTTCCCCGCCTTGCGTCCCCGCTGCCGCTCCCACCCACGTCGGCGCGCTCGCTTCGCCCCTGAAATTGCGACGTGTCACGCCCTTGCGGCGGAAAGCGGACCTCCTGTGAGCCCCACGGCCGATGCGAGCTCTCCCCCCTCCTTTCCCCTTGCAAAGCAGCTCGATCCCAGTTACCTCGAGACGCTCCTTCCTCTCCCTCCCCCTGTTCCTCCGCCGATCTTTGCGACACCCTCCCGCCGTATTCTTCCCCCGCGGCCCCCCTGTCATTCACCCATCGTTGCCCTTCCGCCAATGGGCAGCCCGCATCCCCTTCCCCCCCGTCGTCCTCAACCGAACGCGATAGCGTCTCAACCACATGACGGGCGAACCTCGTATTCGGGCTTACAACGGGACGGGATCCCTCGCTTGAGTCCCCATCGTTAGAAAAACGCGGTAGAAACGAAGTCTCTTCCGCTAAAACGAGCGCTTGCGACGTCGAGGCGTTGGCGAAACGTTGTCGATACTCGTGCTCTGAGTACGGTAACCCTCCTCGCTCCGCGTATCGTAATCCTTCGCCTCTCTGCCTATCGTATTCCCTTACGTACTCCATGCCTGTTTCTGCAGCTAACTCTACAGTACAATCGTACGCGTTACTAGGTTGATTCTCGTTTCGACTAACGTCCGCTCTACTGTACACAAAACGTCTCGAGCCTCCAGGAACACCTCCGCTATTCACACGAGCGCGCTGCGCCGTCGGATCTGCAAAATCGACGGTCCGGCTTTCCGCAAACTTGTTCTGCTCCGTTCCAGGTCGCGGTGCTACGAGTTGCTCAAACGAAGATGGCAAATTTTGATGCAACGAGGCGGCTCGACTTGCTATCGCGTGTCTTGTTGTCGCGTTTATGGGAGTGACGTAGCTCCCGTCCAAAGAGGTCGGATGGCTTTCAGCTAATTCTCTTGCGTCGGGTAACGCACTCGAAAAGCCGGGATTGCGGGATACAAACGGGGACGGAGTGTAGCGACGGGATACTTGCATGGGAGGCGGTGACCGGGCAAGCGATGAGGTCATGACGACGCCATCCATCAATCGGATCCGATTACAGATCGAACCCGAAAGAATCCGTGTCGCGTGCTCGACCTAATTATGAACATAAGCTTGATAAAAAAAGGCTTGCGAAGACGGGCCTTCGATATCGTAATTCGTGAACGACGGCAGGTTACAGGCTCCGCAAAGACCGTTGGTGAAAGAACTAGTATCTTGTATGAAACGACGTAGTAAGCGGGCAAACGTTTCAGCAGTTTAATTGTCGAAAGTACGGAATGTCCTGACAGCCGAAGCTCAAGTATGCACACGGTACACAGAAACAGGCGTTCACAAGATAACCCTAGCAAATAAGCCTCCCAGAACAAGCACGCAGAGGTTTCAGTAGTCGGTCTCTCCTTGCCGCTCTCGCAGCCTTCAGTGGAATGGAGGAGATAACAGAGATGCACGTGAGGAGTGTGGTTGAATGAAGCTGCTGTGTGAGGCGTGAGGGTGAAGGGGGAGCAACTGGCTCGAGTGTGAGGGATGCGTGGGATGGGAGCCTGGGAGGTAAAAGGCGGTCTGTTTCTGTTGTGGCAGTGTGGCGCAACGGAGCTTGTTGGGGGGAAGACAAGGTTGGGGGGAAGGGGAAGCTTGTTGGGACAGAGTTGCGCACGGAAGCCCAGCGCTGGTCGGCACTGTTTGGTTTTTCCCGTCCGCGCTGCTCCAACAAACCCCAAGGCTGAGATATTCCCCCACCGCCACTGGCAGAGCGAAGAGCAGCGGAGAATCCTTCCCTTGCCTGCGTAGCCTGGGTGGCTGCCAGTCTGCCGCCAAACCGCCGAGAGGTGACGAAAGGCTCTGCCTACTTCCGCGGAAACTGTCAGCAGAGGAGCAGCGCGACAAGCTCAATGCCAAGTGCACGAAATGGCTCAAGGGGATAGATTGGTTGGCGGGAATGCTTTGCGTGTGGACACGGTGACTGTTCTGAAGGATTTGGTTTCATCCCTGCTGCCCGAAATTGTTGCTTTTTTAACAAAAGCGCCAGTCTCTCCAGACTGGCCAGTGACGACCCTAGATTTTGCCTTGCTTCAGCTGCCCCGATTGCACCTCTGGTCAACGTGTGCCAGGTCATTAAGGAAAATCCGATTTTCTGCAACCTTGCCACCGCGAGTCACGTGACACAAGTGATAATTACCGTCGATGGAAGTAGGTTTTCTGGTTTGAACGGTGAGATCAACCTAGGAGTAACGACTTTTTGGCTGATTGTCAATCGCTATCGGCCATGTATCGAGCGGCGCGTCTGAGCGATTGTGTGCGAGTGGCTAGCGTGTGAATCTACATCGAAATATCTTTAAAAAAAGCGTCAGCAAGCGGAACAATTTTGACAGCGTGGATTGCCCAGCGCTGAGCACTTTTCCGGATTTCAAGTAAAAAAGGCATATCTCGGATACGTCCGCGTGGTCCTGAAACATGCACGTGGACTTGAACAGGAAGAACTGCCAGTGCTCAATAACAGTATATATACACCAAGAACTTTACAATGCTAGTTATTCCCACACCACATACTGTATTATATACCTACAGTAAAACGCTTCAACTTGCCTTTAAACCACTCTTCCTTGGAAACCCAAAACGCCTCATCCCACTCCATGTCCTCCCTGGTATGAGATTTATACACACCTATTCAGCTTGGTACAATGTATTATGCTTTATGGGAATGTTCAATTATGGGTTAACTGTAGTAGTCAATGAGCTGGGACGACTATCATGATGGTCACGTCCCCAGCATCCCAGTGGTGTGCCTGCACCCAGAAAGACACAGGAGAAACAAATAGTCGGACAAGCAGACAGATAAAATCCATGACTAGGCGGATGGGGCTGACTAAGAAGAAGAAGCCATAAATCCATCAAAGCACACAACGGATGAAGTGAACCCACGCCATCAATGCTTTGAATCATGAAGGGCACCGATACGGTAGGTGAGCCTTGCAGGGCACTAGGCACAGGCAACGTAGGGGGGATCCCTTCGACGACGTTATACCGGCTAAAATATCCATTGTCACGTGTGAAATCGGAAGTGCATCACATCTCATATTTCAAAAGAATGTCAATACTCCCACAAACGGAGAATGTTGATCGCAGAATGTCAAACTCACCTGGGGCTCGTGTGAGGCAACCAGCACGCGCAGGCAGGTGTGCAGGGAAAAGACGGAGCGCGGCCACCCCATGGAGTGGGCGGCACTGGCCTCGTGCGCCGTCCACATCTGCATGCTGCCGTCCGCTGCTATGGCGCCCCATGCAACTTCCTCGAGGTATGAGCGCTCCTGTAGTGGTGTGCAGAGACACGTGTGATGTGAATGGTGTTACGCACATAAGCTTTGAAGTCTGAAACCCCATTGTGCTAGGTGCATGGTGGCTACCCCAGTGGTGTGGTAGGGAAGGTGCTTCAATGCACCAACTTTTTATTGTGCATTTTGTGGTAAGACACATGCCACAAAGTGACTGTTGTGTCAACTCAAAAGCCATCTCGCATTGAGTCGACTCATAAGTCAAGACAAATGGTCTCTGCCTGTTGCAAAGGTACGCATATCTCATGCCACAACCTAGCAGCCTTGACCCTCAGCACCACACCAGCCAACCAGCACTTACCATGGGAGAAGACGCAAGGTGTCGTGACGACCACGTCAGCCCTAACCCCTACGTTCCCCACACTTCCCTCCTCCATTTGAGGCGCATAAAAAATTGTCTCTTACCCACCATTATTGAGGTGCCTCAAAAGCACTTACCATGGAAAAGACAAGAGGTGTAGTGATGACCACGTCAGCCTTAACCCTCATCTTCCCCACACTTCCCTCCTCCCCTTCTCTATCCCAACTCCCCTCACTACCACCGTCCACTCCCCTCACTCCTCCCCCTCCTCCTCCTCCTCCTCCTCCTCCTCCTCCTCCTCCTCCTCCTCCTCCTCCTCCTCCTCCTCCTCCTCCTCCTCCTCCTCCTCCTCCTCCTCCCCCTCCCGCTCCCCCTCCCCCCCCCTCCCCTCCCTCCCCCTCTCTCCACATCCTTTTTAAGCTCCCAACGTTTAATCACCTCTCTGGTCCCCGCACTACCCCTCAATACAGTCACACTCAGCTCAGGCGCTCTTTGCTCCAGAAGCCCCTCCCATGCCGCTACAGCCGAGCCAGGCACCACCAGCAGACTCGGTCTCATGCGCCCGGCTGTAGCGCCAGGAGCACCTGCTGCACCTGCAGCGGCTGTAGCGGCTGTAGCGGCAGCGGCAACAGCGGCTGCTGTGGCTTCACTGGTTGCAGCAGCTGTGGCATTTGCAGCTACGGGAGCAGAGGCGAGGTGTTGAGAGGTGACGGGCGGGTGGGCTGATTGCTGGGAGTGGAAGTCACGAGAGAGGCTGCACAGGAGCGCAGCCAGCACTAGCCGGTTTGCCTGGTGGGGAGAGAGAGGGAAGAAGTGAGGAGAAGGGAGCGGGGAGAAGGGCAAGAAGGTCAAGAGACGGGAGTGGAAGTCACCAGAGAGGCTGCACAGGAGCGCAGCCAGCACTAGCCGGTTTGCCTGGTGGGGAGAGAGAGGGAAGAAGGAGGTCATATGAGTAAGTGAGGAGAAGGAAGAAGCAGAGAGAGGGGAGAAGGGAGGACGGGAGAAGGAACGAGCAGAATAGAGGGGGGTGCGTGGGCCAAAGGAGAAGGGAGACTGGTGAGAAAGGGACGGGCGGTATGCAGACTACCAATCACACCTCACCTCCTCTCACATCTGCCTGCTCATCTCACATCTGCCTGCTCATCTCACATCCGTTCGTGAGTCAACCTATTGTCACTAATTTCACCACTCATCCCCCCCCTTCTCGTCCCCTCCCTCACCCAAACTCACCTCACAACTCACTCCTTTCAGCACGGCCCACTCTCCTTGCTACCTGCTGCTCTTCCTCCTCCCTCTCGTCTCGCTTCACCCCCGCCACTCTCCCCACCCCCAGCAGTCCACTCTCCTTGCTACCTGCTGCTCGTCCTTCACCCACCCAAACTCACCTCATAACTCACTCCTTGCAGAACGGCCCACTCTACCTTGCTACCTGCTGCTCCTCGTCCTTCCTCTAGCCCCCCCCCACCCCCCCTCCCCCCGCCACTCTCCCCACCCCCAGCAGTCTGCACTCCCTCCACCGGCTCACGCCTTACCGCCTTCTCTCCCTCCCTCTCCCTCCCTCTCCCTCCCTCTCCCTCTCCCTCTCCCTCTTGTGAGAACAGGAGTTAGGAGTGAAGTTGATGATTTGATTGTGAATCATGGGGGTATACATAGTAATGGGGTTGGATGTTAACCTAAGGTGACATTATTGGACCCCAACCAAGAAGTTGGGTTGGGAGATTATTGGTGGGGTCCAATAATGTTGGCCAAGTTGGGGTTGGGCCAACATTATTGGACGGGGCCAATAATTCTACCCAACCCAACCTTTTGGGGTCCAATAATTGGACCAAGGTTGGGTTCCAACCTACAAACTGGGTTACCCCTATTTGTACACCCAAACTAAGTTTGGGTGCTTAACTCTAGCCTATCCTATAGTATATATGCAGGTTACAAGAGGAGAGGGATTCTAACACAACCCCTTAACCTACAGAGATGCGGAAAGGCTTGAGGGAAGCAACTCCTGAATCAAAGCGCGCCTGGGGGGGCGAGGCCGATGAGGCGGAGAAGAGCAGAGTGCGCAGGGCGAAGAAGGGCTTTGGTAAAGATATCAGCCAAGTTGGCTTCAGCAGCGATCTTGCGAACGGCAATGAGATTCTGTTGGACGAGTTCGCGGATGAAGAAATAGCGGAGCTCAATGTGTTTGGAGCGACCATGAAAGACGGGGTCCTGGGTGAGATGGATAGTGCTAGCGTTGTCACACCAGAGCGTGGGACAGCGGTGGGGTGCACCAAGCTCTGCCAGAAGAAAGCAGAGCCGGCGGGACTCTTGCGCAGCCGTGGTGCCGGCATAGAGCTCAGCTTCGCAGGAGGAGAGGGCGACGGCAGACGAGCGAGTGGAACACCAGCTGATAAGCCCGCTGCCGAGCGTGAAACCATAGCCTTGTGAGGAGCGGCGGTCTGGCTGGGAGTTTGCCCAGGAGGAGTGGCTGAAGCCAGAGAGAAGGGGAGGGGAGGATCCACCCAATGTGAGGGCGTGATCCTTGGTGCCACGGAGATAGCGGAGGACCCGCTTGGCGGCAGCCCAGTGGTCCTCAGTGTGGCGGCCGGAGCCGACGAATCGAGCAAGGACGCCGATGGGGTAGGCGAGGTCGGGACGAGTGCACATCATCGCGTACATCAGCGACCCAACAAGCTCGGCATAGGGCCGGGAGGAGGTGGAGGGGGAGGTGGGAGGCGCAAGCTGGTGACCGAAGGGGAGGGGGGTGGAGACCGGTTTGGCCTGCGCCATTTCGAACTTCTCCAGGACCTGGCCGATGTAGTGGGACTGGGAGAGGGTGATGGTACGGGCGGATCGATCACGAGTGATAGCCATGCCGAGGTAGTTCTGCAGCGAACCAAGGTCCTTGCACTTGAGACGTTCCTGAAGTGACCGCTTCACTTGCTCCATGTCGGCCTTGGTGTCAGCGAGCAGGATCATGTCGTCAACGTAGACCGAGATGAAGAAGCGACGGGGGGAAGAGCGGATAAAGAGGCTGGCATCGGAGTGGGAGGCGGAGAAACCAAGGGACTGGAGAGTGGCAGACAGATTCGCATGCCATTCTCGTGGTGCCTGCTTTAGGCCGTAAACAGGTCGCCGAAGTTGCCAGACGGTGTTGTCAGGGAAAGCAGCATGAAACCCGGGAGGCCGGCGGAGGAAGATATGCTCGTGCAGTTCGCCTTGCAGGAACGCGTTGGAGACGTCCATGGAGTCAATCTCCATGTCGTCACGCGCACCAATGTCCATAAGGGTGCGTAGGGTGGCCTGCTTGACAGTGGGGGCAAATGTGAACCAATAGTCTTCAGCCCAGGTCTGGGTGAACCCCTTGGCAACGTAACGGGCTTTGTAGACTGGTTCTTCTCCCGGCAGCTGCTTGACTCAAAAGATCCACTTGCCCTCGACAAGGTTGGCGTCAGGGGGGAGGGGAACGTCGATGAAGGAGTCGTTGCGGATAAATGCCTCACATTCCAGGAAGATGGCAGCTATCCACTTGTCAGCGTCAGGGCAGGAGATAGCCTCCTGGAAGGTGGAGGGGACGAAGATGGTAGGAGCGGAGATCGCGCTAAGGATCAGAGCGCCGAGGAGGCCAGGGTAGAGCGTGGTAAGAGAGGGAGTGTGGCGCTGGACCATGGCGAACTCCTCATGGGAATCCTCGAGCTGGTTGAGGGAGGGAGGTGGCGGTGTGCCAAGGATGGGATCAAGGGAGCGGGTGTGCATGCGAGGGAGGAGGAAGGGTGAGGAGCGGGCAGTTCCCCTCTGCCGCTGCTGCTGCAGGTGCTGCTCGAACCCCTGCTGCTGCTGCGGCTGCTGCTCCTCCCGATGCTGCTGCCCCTGCTGCTACTGCTGCTGCTGCTGCTGCTGCTGCCGCTGCTGCCGCTGCTGCCGCTGCTGCTGCTGCTGCTGCTGCTGCTGCTGCTGCTGCTGCTGCTGCTGCTGCTGCTGCTGCTGCTGCTGCTGCTGTTGCTACTGCTGCTGTTGGGACGGAAGAGAAGGAGAGGGGGGAGGGGAGGAGGGAGGGGGGGCCACGGAGTGTGCAGGGGATGCAGGAGCGGTGGGATCGTAGATGTCGGCAGATGAAGGTGGCGGAAGCGGAGTAGGGAGAGGTGGGAGAAGGGGTGCAGGAGGGAGGAGGGGAGGGAGCATAGTGTCGGTCCAGGTGAGAGGACGTGGAGGAAGAGGGAGGGGGTCTGGTGGTGAAGAGGAGTAATAAGGGGTGGTTTCGTTAAAGACGACGTCAATGCTGCGGATAAGGCGTCCAGAGGGAGGGTGAAGGAAGAGGTAGCCAGGCGAGTCGCGGTTGTGCCCGAGGTAGACACATTCGAGGGCGCGAGAAGCGAGCTTGCCGTGGGTGCGATCAGGTGGAGGGATAAGTACATATGCTTTGCAACCCCAGACACGGAGACCAGCAGCGTCAGGTTTGGTGCCTGACCAAAGTTCCGTGGGGGTGGTGGTAGTATGTTGAGGATGGGAGTGAAGGTTGAGGAGGAGGGCAGCATGTAGCAGAGCATAGCCCCAAAGGGAAGGAGGGGTGGAGGCGTGAGCGAGGAGACAACGGGCAATCTTGGTGATTTCGCGAATCCTGCTCTCTGCGACACCATTCTGCTGCGGGGAGTGGGGAAGGGTGTGAGTCTGTTGAATGCCATGGGTGGTGCAGGGAGGAAGAGTGCCAAGACGACTCCCGCGGCTCGCAGAGGCTCCGCCCGAATTGGTGGTGCCATGCTCATCCCCTGTGGTGCCACCACGGCTGCTTGCGCTGCTGCTTCCTTGACCGCAACCTCCCTTGCCCCCACCTCCTCCTTTGCCGTTGTTCTTGCTCTGCTTGCGGGGCTGGGTAGCGTTGAGGGAGGAGGAGGAGGGTTGGGAGGAGGCGAGGTTGACAATGGGAGTGCGGAGTTTGACTTCAGTATCAATGATCCACTGTTCAACGGAGGCGAGATCAGCCATGGGATTGGCTTCGGTAAAGGCGTAAAGGCGGGATTCATAGTCTGGGGTGAGGTTAAAAAGGAGGCGGTGGATTTGGAGGGGTTCGGAGAGGCCGGCTTGGCGGGCTTCGAGGCGATCAGCTACCTCTCTCATGCGTCCGACATAGTCAACCGCTCCGTCACAGGTGGCGAGGGTGATTGAAAAGTATTCTTGAAAGAGGATGCCGACGGAACTGATGTCCCGGCGCTCAAACATGGCATGGAGTTCTGCCCAGATGACCGAGGCACGGAGTTCCCGAGCCTGGAAGCGGCGCATGAGGGAGTCAGGGAGAGCACCAAGGAGAACGGTGCAGGCGCGGGTGTCAGCAGCTGTCCATGCGATAAGTTTTGGGGTGAAGGCAGCCATGTCGTCTTTGTATTTGGCGACGATGGCGAGGTGAGCATTGCGGCCAGCAATCGCCTGGTCATAGGCGTCAACTGCTGCATCGTACTCGGCTTTGCGGATAAGGTATGCACGGCGGCGTAAGATGAAATCTGCATCAGCGGTGGCTTGGTCGGCGGTGAGCTGGAGGTCGGGTTCAAGAGGGGGATCGCCAGGAGAGGGAGGGAGAGGAGGAGTCTCGCCAGGGTGGTCAGGTTCGGTGGGGGGGAGGGCATGGGGACGGCGGAGGATGACGTCAAGGACGCGGTAGGGGGGAACCCATGCGTCGGAGAGGACACGTCGGATGCTGCCGACGAATGAGTGCCAGTTGACGGCGGATTTGTCCGCTGCGAGCTGCAGTTTATCGATGGAGGAGGTATCAATAGGAGGAGGGAGGGGGGGAGGGGGAGGGTGTGGCGTTAGCCATGATGGACGGCTGCGGGTGGACCCGCAGTGGTCACGGAGGAGAGCGGCGCGGGCGGTAGCGGCAGGTGAGGCCGCGGTTGGTGAGGCAGCGGCTGGCTGCGGCGGCGCTAACGCGGAGGCGGCGTCGAGGCGGTTGAGCGGCGCGGGCGGCGGCGGCGGCTGGCGAGGCCGCGGCTGCGCTGGCGCGGAGGCGACGTCGAGGCCGCGGAGGGAGCGGCGCGGGCGGCGGCGGCTGGCGAGGCCGCGGCTGCGCTGGCGCGGAGGCGGCGTCGAGGCCGCGGAGTGGCGCGGGCGGCGGCGGCTGGCGAGGCCGTGGCGAGGCGGGCGCGGAGGCGGCGTCGGGGCCGCGGAGGGGAGCGGCACGGGCGGCGGCGGCTGGCGAGGCCGCGGCTGCGCTGGCGCGGAGGCGGCGTTGAGGCCGCGGAGGGGAGCGGCGCGGGCGGCGGCGGCTGGCGAGGCCGCGGCTGCGCTGGCGCGGAGGCGGCGTCGAGGCCGCGGAGGGGAGCGGCGCGGGCGGCGGCGGCTGGCGAGGCCGCGGCTGCGCTGGCGCGGAGGCGGCGTCGAGGCCGCGGAGTGGCGCGGGCGGCAGCGGCTGGGAGGCCGCGGCGAAGCGGGCGCGGAGGCGGCGAGAAGGCCGCGGAAGGGAGTGGCGCGGGCCGCAGCGGCTAGGGAGGCCGAGGAGCTGTGGAGGGAAAGGGCGCTAAAGGGGGGGAGGGCGGCAGGATAGCCGCGAGGAGAAAAATGAGGGAGGAGGCCGGGGGTTGCGGCGGCCGGGTGGGCCTTTGAAACGAGTGGAGTAGGCCTAGGATTGATAGCTCTATACCATGTGAGAACAGGAGTTAGGAATGAAGTTGATGATTTGATTGAGAATCATGGGGGTATACATAGTAATGGGGTTGGATGCTAACTTAAGGTGACATTATTGGACCCCAACCAAGAAGTTGGGTTGGGAGATTATTGGTGGGGTCCAATAATGTTGGCCAAGTTGGGGTTGGGCCAACATTATTGGAGGGGGCCAATAATTCTACCCAACCCAACTTTTTGGGGTCCAATAATTGGACCAAGGTTGGGTTCCAACCTACAAACTGGGTTACCCCTGTTTGTACACCCAAACTAAGTTTGGGTGCTTAACTCTAGCCTATCCTATAGTATATATGCAGGTTACAAGAGTAGAGGGATTCTAACACCTCTCCCTCTCCCTCGCCCTCTCCCTCTCCCTCTCCCTCTCCCTCTCCCTCTCCCTCTCCCTCTCCACCACAAAACACTCACCTCATAGCTCACTCCTCGCAGCACAGCGCACTCTTTTTGCTGCACGCCCCACTCTCCCAGTTGCCTGCTGCTCTTCCTCCTCCCTCTCGCCCCTGCACCACTCTCCACCCCTCCCAAGGGACCACAATCCCTCCACCGGCTCCTGAGGGCGTTCAGGTTCTCCAGCTGCTGCTGCTTCGGAGCGTCAGACATTGCAATCCAGTGGGGTGCAGCGCGGTCCGGTATGGCGCACAGAGCATGCTGCCCTGGTAAAAACACCCCCAGACTCTCTCCCTTCCCGTCTCTCCCCCGTTCCACCACCCCGCCTCCCTGCTCTCCCTGCTCCCTCTCCCAGAACCGAGCCAACAAACGCCGCCCGGCAGCCTCCTGCAGCACGCTCCCATTGGCCGGCTCCCACGTGCACTGTTCATAGCCCAGCCCCCGCCACAGGACAAAAAACTCCACCCCCCAGTCGGGCCTGTACCCCCTGCCTCTGCCCCGCCCCGCCCCTGGTCTTATAGGTGGCCTGGTGACCCGCTTGGCTATGAGTTTTCTTGGTTGAGCCCAGTGAGGATTCCATGTGGGGGAGAACTGTGGTAGAAGAAGGGGGGAAAGTGAGGGAAGCAGAGAAGGAGGTAATGAGAAAACCTTCACCCCCCAGTCAGGGCGATACCCCCTGCCTCTGCCCCGGCCCGCCCCTGGTCTTATAGGTGGCCTGGTGATTCGCTTTGCTTTGAGCTTTTTTGGTTGGGCCCAATGGGGGTTCCACGTGGGACAGAACTGAACGGATGAAAGGGTGAAAAAGGGAAGGAAAGACGGCCTGTTATACCCCCTGCCCCTGCCTCTGCCCTGGTCCGCCCCCGGCCTTATAGGTGGCCGGGTGATTCGCTTAGCTATGAGCTTCCTTGGTTGGGCCCAATGGGGGTTCCACGTGGGGCAGAACTGAACGGATGAAGGGGGGGACAGGGCGGGAAGGAGGTTCTGTTATACCAGGCTCTAACGCAGCACCTCTGGCTCTGCCCCCAACCACAGTCCGACCCCGGCCTTATAGGTGGCCTGGCTACCCGCTTTGCTATGAGATTCCATGGTTGGGGCCAGTGGGGGCTCCACGTGGGGGAGAACTGAAGGGAGAGATGGGATGGAGGAGAAGGGAGGGAAGGAAGGAAGTGAGGAGGGGCCTGTTATACCCCCACCTCTACAAGCCACACTCTTTTGAGTGGACTCAAAAGGAAGTGAGGAGGGACTGTTATACCCCCACCTCTACAAGCCACACTCTTTGTTAACAAAGCCGAATCAGCGTGTAGAGAATGTAGTTTTTAGAAGGTCTCAAAACTGCACTCTCTACAAGTGCCTCCACGAGCCACACTCTGTGTTAACAAAGCCAAATCAGCGCACGCCTGCATCGCCCCCTTCACATCATCTCACCTCCACTGTGGCCGCCCGGGCTTTAAAGATCGCGAGCTGTCTGGGAGCATTGCTTGCTAGCCATGCCTCGCCCACCCAGCTGTTGTGCGCGTGGGACAACCCCTTCCACTTAACAAAGTACTCGCACTTAGCTGCCCCATTACCAGCACCAGCAGCACCACCACCACCACTGCCGCCACCACCCCCACCACCCCCACCACCAAGACTGGCACCATTACTCCCACCATTGCACCAAGCAATGTCAGCAGTTCCTTCTAACAAACATCTGGCTGCCCCTTCCCCTTCTACTCCTGGTAACCCTGTTCTATCTCCCAACCCTCTTCCTGGCTTCTTTACCTCTTGCCCCATCCTCTCACTCCTCCCACCATCCGCTCCTCCTGCCACGGCTCCTCTCCCCCCTCCTCTTCCTCCTCTTCCTCCACTTCTTCCTCTGCCTCCTCCTCTCCTTCTGATTGGCCCTGTACTGCCATTGTTTGTTCCGTTACAAGCCCTTACTGACTCTGCTGCCCCTGCCGCTGCACCTCTCAACCGCCCTGAACCACACTGATCGTGCGACCTGGTTGTTCGTAGTTCCATCACTCTCTTTTCTCCCCCCTCCCTCCCCACCTGACGCTGCTGCTTCTTCTTCTCCTTCTTCTCCAGCTGCTGCTGCTTCTGCTTTCCCTGCTGCTTCTCCTTCTGCTGCTGCTGCTGCTTATCCTGTTGCTGCTTCTCCCCCTGCTGCAGCTGACCTTGCACAAACTGCTGCTCATCTCGATCCTCGTTGCCCCTCCCATTCTCCTCCCTCCCCTCCACCCCCCTCTCCTCTTCATCCACCCACACAGCCATGGTCGGAATCTCATCCTCCTCCTCACTACTCTCACTCTCACTCCCCGCCCCATCAGACTCACACTCCCCTTCCAAATCCCCAAGCATAGCCCCCTCAGGCCCAGCCCCCCTGGGTGGTCCTGTCCCCCAAGGTGTTTCTGCTGTCCCGCCCTCTTTCTCACCGCTACAATCAGCACAGGGATGCTCGTGGGATGGTTTGGAGTGCTCGTGGGTGGTGGGATGGTCGCGGTTGTGGGGTTGCGGTAGTTGGCCGAGCTGGTGGTGTTGATGGTCGTGGTGGTAGTCGCTGTCATCGTGACCGTGCATCCTCATGCAGTAATCAAGGTTCTGTGTACCGGGTGCAGCACCGTCTGTAGCCCCGGCTGTAGCACCGGCTGTAGCAGCAGCAGCTGCAGCAGCACTGGCAGAAGCAGCAGCAGGGGTATCCCGGGCAGAAAAACCAGCAGAAGCTGCCCGAATATCCCAGATGGATTCAACTGCCCGCCTCACCACCGCATGAACCCCCAGGGAGAAGCGTTTGTGGGTGCAGTCAGGGCAGAACCAGAGGCCAGGGGGGACGTCATCCAGGGGAGGGTCCAAGCAGTGCAGGTGGTATGTGGCGCTGCATGCCTTGCCGTCACAGCAACTGGTGAAAGGGGAGGGACAGGGGAGGGGAATGGGGTAGTTTTCTTAGTGCGCCTGAGAAATCGCTCCCAGAGGGAAGAGTTTATGGGTGCAGTCAGGGCAGAACCAGAGGCCAGGGGGGACGTCGTCCAAGGGAGGGTCCAAGCAGTGCAGGTGGTATGTGGCGCTGCATGCCTTGCCGTCACAGCAACTGGTGAGGGGGGGGGAGAGGGGGAAAATGGGGAGAGGGAGGGGAAAGAGGGGGAGGGGAAGAGCCAAGTGTGCAAGGGGCCAAAGGCATTGGAGGGTGCAAACAGTGCAGGTGGTATGTGGCGCTGCATGCCTTGCCATCACAGCAGCAACTGAGGGAGAGGGGGGAGAAGGAGGACAGGAGCAGGAAAGAAAGTACAGAGGATCAGCGGCAAGGGAGGGTGCAAACAGTGCAGGTGGTATGTGGCGCTGCATGCCTTGCCGTCACAGCAGCAACTGAGGGAGAGGGGGGAGAAGGAGGACAGGAGCAGGAAAGAAAGTACAGAGGATCAGCGGCAAGGGAGGGTGCAGGCAGTGCAGGTGGTATGTGGCGTTGCATGCCTTGCTGTCACAGCAACTGTGGGGGGGGGGGAGAGGAGAGAAAGGGGACAGGAGCAGGAGAGGAAGTACAGAGGATCAGCGGCAGGGGAGGGTCCATCTAAGTCATACCCATCCACCTAAGTCACCTCGTTACAGTGGCACACATTGCATCTCAGGTATCTTGAAAGAGAGAAAGCGACACTCACAGCATGAAGCCAACTTCGTGACACCGCTTGCAGCTATCGCCATACTCATCCAACGTCTCATCGCACTCCTCCCCACCCTCCTCCTCCCCTCCCCTTGCCTCACAGCCCTCTCCCTCCACCCCCTTTTTCAACCTTCTCTTCCCTTCCTGCTTCTCCTCCTCTTTCTTTCCCTTCTCCTGCTCCTGCCCATCCCTTTTCTTCCCACCCCTCTTTTCCTTCTCCTCCTGCCCAATTCCCTCCTCTGCTCCGTCCAATTCTCTCCCCTCCCCTCTCCCTTCCCCGCCCTCCTCCCCACCGTCCACCCTCAAACCCATCTCAATCTCCTCCTCATCCCACTCCTCCCGCCAAAGTTGCTCCCTAAGGCCTTCGACCTTCAACACAGAACGCTCCTGAGGCTTCTCACAACCCCCATCCCGCCACGCCTGCTGCCTCCTAGCCGGTTTATCCCTACATGAGGATGCGGATGGTGTGAGGAGGGGATTGGGGGTAAGGCTGCAGGTGGGTGGGGGCATTCCCATAAGCTCTGCTCGCTCACACGCCCTTTGAAACGCCAGTGCGGCAGCTGAATCTATGCCTTTCCCTCCTACTGCTGCTGCTGCTGATGCTGATGCTGATTTTGCACTGTGCTTCGCTCCCCCGTTCTCCACCGGACTACACCCCGCTTCACCGTGGCGTCTGCCTTCAGGCCCATTCCTCTCGTCACACAACCTATGCTGCAGCTTCGTCGATTCCCGCACCTCACGCTCTGCTACAACCTGTGATTTTGTCTGCTTCGTCAGCTCCTTATCAGCGGCACTCAGCTTTTCAGCAGCACTCCCCTTCCTATCAGCAGCACCCGGAACTTCATCCGAAGCAGCCCCTATCCATTCATCAGCACCACGATCCGTTTTCTCCTCACAGACTGCCTCAGCCTTGCCTACTCTTTCAGACTTATCTGACACCTGTGGTTCCACCTGGATTTTCACCTGATTTTTCACCTGGCTTGAGGGGGTCACATCCAGTAATCTATCCACATCCAAGCGTCTGTTGGGACTTAGTCTACCGGCCACTTTTCCACTTACGTCCACCCCCCCCACTCCGTGACTCTCTTCAAAAGACAGCGGTCTATTTTGCTTTGCTCCTGTTCTGCTGCCCGCCCCTGCTTTGACTGCACCTGAATTGCGTGTTGTTCCTGCTGTGCCATCTACCCCTGCCTTGCTTCCTGCTCTAGTCACCCTTCTTTTCTGAGGAGTCTCAAACCGCTGCTGCTCACTCTCCCTTTCACTCACTCGCACTCTCACACTCTCCTTCTCACTCACTCTCTCACTCCCCCTCTCACTCCCCCTCTCACTCTGCTTCACATCACCAACGACCCCAGCCTTAGGGTGATGGCTGCTGCTGCTTCTAGTCGCCCAACACAGCACCTCACTAGGCGGACACCTGGCACCTTCTGACTGGTCCCTGAGTTGCTCATCCAGACTGGTTCCTCCCTCCTTCACCTTCCGACCCTGTTGCTTCAATGGAGGGGTGCGTGGCAGCAGCTGATTGGCCCCTGCTTCCCTTGACTCCTTCCCCTTGTCCAGTAACCCGGATTTGGCCTTTTTTCTTGAATTTCCTAACGGTGCACCCCCTTCGGCAGAGACCTGAGGTGTGATTTCTTCTCCATTCATTAAAGGCCCTGCTTCTGCTTCTGCTCCTGCCCCTGCTCCTGCCCCTGCTCCTGCCCCTGCTCCTGCCATTGCTCTGCCACTCACAGTGCAATCAGCAGCTGCGGCAGTTCCGTTACGGCACACAGCTTTGGAAGGTTTCTTCCCGCCCAGACTCCCAAACCTGGGCCGCAGGTTCGGAAGTTGCGCTGCTGCAGCGTGCATGTTTCTTAGCCTCGTCCGCTCCTCCGAGGCAAGCCGAAGGCCCTTTTCTATGGCGTCCTGAAAGGCTGCTCTCTCACTTTGCCCTCTGAATTGAGCCACATTCGACAGAAAATCCTTCAGGAATCTAGGGTGGGAAGGGGTCCATGGATAGGGAGAGAGAGGTAAGAAAGGGGGCCCTGAACCCTTCAGCTAATACACGGGTCATTCGAGGTAAGAAAGGGGGCCCTGAACCCGGGGAATTGCTTCGCAACCCTGAGACTAAGTAGGAAGGCTGCAAGTAACTCATCGGTAGCTACCTCGGGTTGCTTCGCAACGAAGGCATCTAAGCGTCTAGGTAGGAAGGCTGCAAGTAACTCTACATCAGCCATAGTCTCACCAACGTTTTTGCATACAAAAGCTGTACTCCATTCGAGGTAAGAAAATAGGGAGAGGAGCGGCAGGCGGCAAGTATATTCATACAAGTGCATTTGAATTGATATATAATTATTGTACGAAGAGGTTGAGACTTACTGTGGTTTCATGCATAGGTGTTTTGTCTCCCCTGCTTCTCTTAATAGTAGCCTCACTACATGGTCGCTCTCGTGTTCCTGTAGAAGACGAACCGTTATAGGCACATCCATCCAATCCTCCACCATTGCCGGCCACCACCCTTTGCTATCATCCACCTTCAACAAACACAATCCAACAAAAAAATATTATATAATAAATAAAATATAAGGAAAATAAGGGAAAACAATTTGAGTGAAAGAGAAGTTCACAAACATCAGTACTTATTTTACACACCTTGGCCCAAACTACAGCTCCTGGAAGATACATTTTTGTTGCAGACGTTGCAGGTAACTCTTCCTCTTCGCACTTCACTGTAGCACACCGTTTGTGGCTTACAGCGGAGCATATCTCATCCCAACCCTCGGATGATGCCCCGCCACCGCTCCCTTCGCTACAGTCATCCTTGTTGCAGTCATCTGTCAGCAAACTGTCCTCTGCAACACACTTGTGACTCCCGCTCGCTACAATTACGCCCGGTTGAAGCCTGCTCTCCGTTTTCGAAACCCTCGGGTGATTCCGTCCCTCCAGAGCCTCCGCTTCTAACGAGTAACCCCCGTTGGCGCTAGTAAAACCCGGGGTTTGTGTGTGAGAGGATGTATGCCTATTTCCGCTCCCCTCGTGAATGCTTTCGCTGGCCCGCTCGAGCATGCGCGCGTGGCTTCCGCTCGACTCTCCCGTTAACGAGTCCGCCTTCTGACGAGACATAGAGTCTGCCTTACGACGAAGCGGCGCGAGAATCGACGGTCGCGTGTGTCGGTTGCTGCAGTTCCCTGACGCCTGAATACACGGGAGATAGCCAAGCCAGTCGGGACGTAAAGCAGCAAAGTGAAAGGAATTATGAACGGGAAAGGCCTTGTAGCCAGAGTGGTAAACAAGGCACCGTGGCGAAGGGAAGGGAAGGACAGACGGTGGATGTAACGCCAGAATCGACTAGTTATGTTTTTGACTGGTAAATCATGTTGGACTTGGCTGGCATCCATAACGAAATAGGCGAATTCTTGGTCGACCTGAAAAGCAGGGCTTATTAAGTGACATATACCACGTGACTGGCGTGGAAGACGGACCACAGGGGACTTTCAACGCTTGAAGAACAACTGATGGGAGAATATCAATATATTTCCAGAAAGTGAGTACTTTTAAAAATCCAGCCACAATGATATTACCCCTTGGTGAAAAACCACCACGGCTTCTCATGCTATCAACAGAAACATTACTCGTCTTACCTCAACCACGCTCGACGTTGTTCTACCGCGCGGCTTCGACTGCTGCGACGACCGCTCCGCGCTCGCCGCGCTTTCCCGAAGCGCCATCCCCACCGCCTGCCGATTAGGATCTATTAAGACCGCTTCAATGCTCTTCACCTTCGGTCGCTTCCGCTTCTTCTGCCGCTCGTCGTTAATCGGCGGCGAGCCGCCGCGGCAGTCGCCCGGGCCAGACGGAGTGGTTTCGCAAGCTTGACGGCACTCGTTTACGTTACCGTTACCGTCACAGTTACCGTTCTCGTGCTCGTCAGCCTTCGTGACGCCCTCCTTTAGGCCGTTTGGCCGATCCTTCAAGCTTTTAAACCCAGACGTGGTCAACCTGGGATTTATGTATGCGTCATTACTACTATAGGGAATGCATGCGGGATACTTGGCGGTAGATCCGGTATTATGATCTGCAAGCGACTCGTCAATGGACCGACTCACGGGGGACCCGCGAGTCTTTAACCGTATAATGTCCTCCCCTTGTCGCAGCGGCTGGCTCTGCTTTTCCTGAGAAGCCTGGGTCACCTCGAGCAGCTTTTGTGGCGACTCGACGGTAACCTGCTTCTTGCGGGGGCCTAATTCGAGCGCGCTCCACGGGATGAAGCCCGGAAGTAACGCCGGCCGTCGAATTCGCTTCGCTCTCGCCTCGCCGTCCGCCATTTGCGGTAAGACTGATCAAACAACCACCGCTGCTCTTAACGTGTATGTTAGATACAGAAAATAATACTTAAAACGAAGCGACTTTTGGGAGACGAATGAGAAGGTGAGACTAACGACGATCGAAGCTACTGAAACGATTATGAATATGCCTGGATTACCCGTCGGTCTCAGGCTAGAAGAGAAACTCAAAACGTGGCTGTGATTGGTTAGGCAGGATTTGGGTGTTAGCACCGACCGTTGACCACGCTGGTGAAGCCAACAGCAAGCTCACATGATGTGCCAGTGGAACTCTGGCAGGTTTGGCAAGCACATAGGGTATTCATTCATTCATCTACCTGCTTCTCCTCACGCATGGGATTTCGTATGATTTCATTCTTTCTCTAAGGAGCTTTGCTGAAACCCTTGCAGTCCAGCCAGAGGAGTTCGGCTGATGCGAGAATCCAATTGTCCACTCGTCCAGATTAGCACAGCGAGGGTCACGACTCGGGGGGTAAAGCAGCACCATGGCTCATCCACCATTGCCACCCAAGGACCAATATTTCCCACAGACGACGTTGATGGTGCCCTCCGTGGTCGCCTTGGGACTGCCATAGCTGGCTGGTTTGAAGAAAGTCTGCCTGGCGGAGTGGCCGCGTGATTTGCTGACCTGAGCGGGCCAAACCCAAGGACCCGCACTGTGCTGCCCGGGTTGCCGTGACTGCCGCAGTCTCTCAACCTTGCTCCTGCGGTGCTCTCCTGGTTTGCTTCGGCCGCTCACGCCCAGGGAAAGGGCTGTCATTATTTGTCTTTTTGTGTGACGGATTTGCATCAAACGGACAGGAAGAAGTGCTTTCCCCCCAGCCGCATTTGCCCAAGGATGAGACGACGCGGGTGGCGCTTGTGATTGGAGGTGAGGGCGTTTCAGGGAGGCGCGAAACCTGGTGATGTGGGCCTTGGGAAGTGCGAAGCGGCTTGGTGGCGCGAGGTTGAGGGTGTTGAGCCAGGCCGAGCATGCCAGAAAAAACTTCGCTGGCTCCAACCACGACGATGTTGTTGAGGGGTGATTTCGATTCGAAAGTCCGGCATTTTCGGAAAAGCATAGAGAAGTGATGATTCATGGTGCGTTTTTTAAAACGAGCGTTAAATGCTGGTTACTGTACCAAGAATACGCTGCCGATTTTGCAAAAGACACAAACTGATAACTTGACACCGTCCAACTTCCGCGGGCAGGAAAACCCCATCCTTCACAACACAAAGGTTTTGCTTGAACGATTTGATTCGGCAAAGATTGGGTCTGTGAGGCTCGGTAGAAAATACTGTAGTCACGTCGAAAGAAAATTAACCGTTTTCAAATCAAAGCCACCAGCCAGACCTAGCATCCTCGTCCACTTCGAAACTACAGTAATCAGTCGTAGGTACAGTGCACGAACTGTACAGTGCAGGTCAAAACCCAGAGCATACAGTAAGGGAAAAATCTCCTAAGGCGTAAGCTCGTTCCTGAACCCCTAGTCCCGACACTTAGTGCTGGCTGAAGCTCGTGCTACGCCTATTTGAGGCAGCTAGAACTTGAGAGGTAATATGGATGATGGGCCTGGCTGCAGTAACAGCCGCTCCCCTTCGGCCTTTGTCTGTCAGCAGTTGAAACCAGCGAGCACGATCAGAGTGGGTGGTACTAGCGACGACCCAGACTATGTTCTGCAGACCGCCGTAAGGTGCGCTAGGAAAGCGGCTAAGAAGCGGTCTAGGTGAAAGTATCCTTCCTATTTCACCTCCTCTTGAACATTGCTTTAGCTCGGCCTGTCCAGACGTCTTAAGGAGAATCTACCTTTTTATTTGCCTGCATCCGCAACCAATTTGACTTCTCGAGCTGCTTTTGTGATTGGAATAGGTATCTGCTTGATAATCAGCGTAATGTAATATTTTCGGAAAATCGCATCCTCTCTAATTACATCTCAATGTCGGTTTTTTCCGAAACCCTAATCCTCCCGAATGCCCGCAGCTCGGTTTCACCAGTGCTGGCAGTGTCTACGTCAGCGCCCGCCATCAAATCCTTCGACGTGGCATCCGGCGCGTCCCTGGGCGACGTGGCAGCGCGCCACCCTGGCACGGTGACGGATTTAGGGTTTGCAGAAGCGGCATTCGGAGGGGCGGGGCCAGGAAAGGAGGTGCTTCTGTCGTCGTCCTCCGAATCCGCTGTTTACGTTTGGGACGCGCGCGCTCGATCGCAAGTGAGCGCTTTTGCTGCCGAGAATTCTCAAATTTCACATCAGCAAGCTAAATAGCAGGTGACTGACCGTGCATGAACACAAGTGACTGACCTGATGTTTGGGATTATCGTCTCGGGGTCGACTTCAAGACAGTTTCAGGTGCGGTAGGAGGGTTCGAGTCAACTCTGAGATGACCTTGGGGAGAAGGATAAGTTTCAGGGTTTTGGGCGGGGGATGACCTGGGGTTTATTAAGGTTTTTGGTTTCGGAAGGAAGGTATTAGGGCCGCTTTGGGCAGACGTTTCTGGTAGTATGTGACTTATTCCTCGTACAGTTTTTGCGCCCTTCCTTTCTTTTCCCCATATGTAACAGCAATGCTTCCCCAATTTCTTCCTTTTCCCCCTCCACCCAACCCCTCACGCTCGGCCTCTCCGCCTCCGCCTCCGCCTCCGCCTCCGCTTCCCCCTCCCCCCTCCCTCCCTCTCTTCTCCCCCCCCCTCTACTCTTCCCCCCCAACACTAGGCGGGCGTCTTCCCCGCGCATGGGGGGGCGGGCGAGCTGTGGAGCTGCAGCGGGGGAGGGGGGAGCACAGGTCACCTGCTGGCGGCAGGGGCGAACTCACAGGTGAGGCGCGCCCCTACTCCTCCTCGCCCCCCCCATAAGTCCGCTCTTCACTTGGCGGGTGCGTTCCCCGCGCCGCGTATGGGGGACCAGGCGAGCTGTGGAGCTGCAGAGGGGGGAACGCAGAGCACTTGTTGGCGGCAGGGGGCAACTCACAGGTGAGGCGCTGACTGAGGGAGGTGTTACCTAAATGAGGCGCTGACGGGGGGAGGTGTTACTCAAGTGGGGCGCTGACTGGGGGAGGTGTTACCCAAGTGAGGCGCTGACGGGGGAGGCGGTATTTGGCAGGTCGGAGATGTGTGTAGTGGTGGAGGGGGGTCCTCAGGGCACCTGCTGGCGGCGGGAGGCAACTCCCAGGTGAGGCGTTGACTGGGGGAGGTGGCATCTGGCAGACAGTTGGGACAATCCTGCAGCGGGGGAGGGGGGTCTACAGGGCACCTGCTGGTGGGGGAGGTGGTATCTGGCAGGTGAGATTCGTATTGGAGGAGGTGGTATCTGGCAATTGAGGTTCTGACTGGGGGAAGGTGGTACCTACTGTAGCAGAAAGTCAGTCATGGTGTCAAATATCAAACGTTTGCTCTCCCCATTGTCCCTTTTTTTCCCTCTCCTGCCCGTTTCGAAATTCCTCTGCCGGGTCAGATTCTCCTGTGGGACATGCGCTCCACCCGGCTGTTGGGACGACTTGAGGACGCTCACACAGATGACGTCACTCAGGTGGGCTGTGACGTCACTCAGGTGGGCTGTGACGTCAGTCAGGTGGGCTGCGACGTCGCTCAGGTGGGGGTGTGAAGACAGTCAGGTGGGGTGCGACGTTGCTCAGGTGGGCTGTGGCGTGACTAGGTGGGCACTTTTAGGGTGGGCTATGACCCCTTGCCAACTCTTCCTCTTCTGCCCCTTCCTGTCAGGTTCGCTTCCACCCTCTCCACCGCACTGCACTCCTCTCAGCCGCGCTCGACGGCCTCATCTGCCGCTTTGACCTCTCTCCACACCACGAGGCATCACTCTCCGCCTCGGCAGTAACCACCCCCGCAGCGACAGCAGCAGCAGAGCGTTATGCGGATTCCGACCCGCTCCAGTCAGTCCGTAATCACTGCTGCCCAGTGCCCATACCCTTGCGTACCCTTTTTCTTGCCTTTTCCCTGACCAATGTTGCCCAATGCCCTTCCCTTGCCTTCATACTAAATTTGATTCGTTCTTTCATTTGTTTTCTTCTTTTCCTTTTCTTTTTCATTAAAATTTGCACTTCCTCTTGTGCTTGCGCTCTTCATCTAGCGTTAGAATAGGATTCCGCTTGCGCTTAGTTTCAGCGTACTTCTGCTCCTTATCGCATCCAACACCGACTCAGAAATAAGCAGCGCTCAGCTCAGGGCAGCTCTCCAAGGAAAGAGCCTGCCTTCGCTCCATCAGCTGGGCAATGTTTATTTCTGACTCGGTGTTGGAAAAGACGCGTCATCAGACGTCTTTTCCCATGAACACACCCCCCCAAGCACAAGCACCCCCCTTTCCTGCTGTTTCCCTCCTGTGGCCGTCCTCCCCTCTTCTCCATCCCTCCCTCCTCAACCCTCCTTCTCTTGCCCTAAGCAGGTAATAAGCCCTGGCACGTCCATCTCTCGCATTGCCTTGTGATTGCTTTTGAGAATTCTCAAATGCAATCTCCGTCCCCCCCTTCTCAACTCTCCTTCCCCCTTGTCTACACAGGTGATAAGTCCTGGCACATCCATCTCTCGCATTGGCTTCTTTGGCCCGTCTGCCTCTGCTCTTTGGTGCCTCACCAGCGTTGAGACTCTCAGGTGGGTGGGTGGGTAGTACCAGTGTTGAGACTCTCAGGTTGGTGGGTGGGTAGCACCTGAACATCTTTACAGAATATGGAAAGGCTTCACGTCGCCATTTCACTTCCCCTTTCTCCTCTACATTCCCTCGTGTGATATCTTCCTCTGCCCCATATGCCGCTAGGGATTCCAATCCCCTTTCTCCAATCAAGCGTCCTTTCCAATGCCTCCTGTCTCCACTTCCTTCCCCCTGTTACTTTCCAACTTGGTTCTCAGACTTCTGAAGCGGTAACCCTATGTTTGTCTGATTGCCCCTAGAATATCTGAATTTTCCCATTCCGCCTCCCCTTGCCCCACCTTCCTCTCCCCTACTCCTCCTCTCAATTTCCCTCCATCTCTTGTCCTCCTCATCTCCTTTCCTCCCCTCCTCGCCCTCCTCCCCCTCCTCGTTCTCCTCCCCTCTTCCCTTCCACTCCTCCCCCCCTCTCTCCCCCTCTCTCCCACTCTCTCCCCCCGCCAGCCTCTGGGATCTCTGAACAGGCAATCCCAATGCTTCCGTTCATGATATTCATGACATGCCTTTCCCCGTCTCCCCTCCTCATCTCCTCCCCTTCCCTCCTCTCCCCCCCACTCTCTCCCCCCGCCAGCCTCTGGGATCTCTGGGCGGGCGATCCCATTGCTTCCTTTGACAACATTCGGTCAACTCTTTCTGAAAAGTGGCCCCTGCAAGTCCCTGTGAGTGTTCTCTTTCCCTTGGTGCGTCTGAATCTCAGTTCAGGTGCTGAGATTCGAGGCATTTCAAGCCCGGTTGAAGGGCTTGCTGAAAGTCCCTATATTTCTCGCTATGGCACCTATGGTCGCCCCCCCACCCCCCACCCTCCGCCTCTTTGCCGGTACCCACTTGTGTCACTTGTGTCACTTGTGTCATGCCACCTGCTTCCCCATCTCCCTCCCCCCGACCCTCTGTCTCTCCCCCCACTGCCCACACAGGTGGATTATCTGATAGCCTGTGTCTATTCCCCTCGCCCCCCCACCCCCCACCCACCCCCTCTTTGCCGGTTCCCACTTGTGTTACTTGTGTCATGCCGCCTCCTTCCCTTTCTCCCTCCCCTCCTCCCTCAGTCTCTCCCTCTGAGGGGAGTGACTATGCCCCCTCACCCACTCCCCTCACCCACTCCCCTCACCCACTCCCCTCTGCCTCTTTGCCCTTTCATCTCTCTCTACTTGTCTCTACTCTCCCCCCTGCATTGGCATTTTCTCACCCTCTCGCTCTCGCTCTCTCTCCCCCACTGCCCATACAGGTGGATTATCTGATTTCCTGTGACTACTCCCCCTCGCCCACCCCGCGCCTACGCCTCTTTGCCGGTTCCCACCTGGGCCATGCAGCCGCCTTCCCCATCTCCCTCCCCCACACCGTCTCCAACCCATCCCAACCTTCGGGACCCGCTACTGCTGCTGCGGCCGCTGCTCGTAATGATGACGATGATGCTATGATGTCAGAGGATCCACTTGGCAGCAGAGTGAGCGTGCCACCTGGCAGCTGCCAGGTCAGCGGCCCGGACATGCTGTTATCAGGGGCTCACTCAGGGGTGGTGAGGGATGTGGGGAGAGTGGCACTGCCACCATCTCATGCAGGGACAGCTGTTGCTTACTGGACAGGGGGGGAGGATGGGTGCTTGTGCCAATGGGAGGGGATCGAGGGGCAGGAGGAGGGGGTGGAGGGCGAAGGGGTGAAGGGGAGTAAGCGTAAAGGAAAGGGGAAGGATCGTTTTAAGCCGTACTAGCTTAGACTACACTAGCTTACAGTACACTAGCTTGCAATACACTAGCTTGCACTACACTAGCTTGCACTACGCAGACATGTTGCTATCAGGGGCTCACTCAGGGGTGGTGAGGGATGTGGGGAGAGTGGCACTGCCGGCACCTCACGCAGGGACGGCTGTTGCTTACTGGACAGGAGGGGAGGATGGGTGCTTGCAATACACTAGCTTGCACTACACAGACATGCTGTTATCAGGGGCTCATTCAGGGGTGGTGAGGGATGTGGGGAGAGTGGCACTCCCAGCATCTCATGCGGCTGTGTCTGGCGGAATGGCTGTGGCGTTTTGGACAGGAGGGAAGGATGGGTGCTTGTGCCAATGGGAGGGGATCGAGGGACAGGAGGAGGGGTTGGAGGATGGAGGGGCGAAGGGGAGTAAGCGGAAGGGCAGGGCAAGGGGAAGGATCGATTCAAGCCGTACTAGTTTACTCCACACATGTTTTTGAGGCGCCTCGAAAATCGGTTCAAGCCGTACTAGCTGTGGATGGGTGTACCGTATCAGGGTGCTTGCTTTGGCTTCGTACTGCTTGTACTACACCACACACGCAGCTAACACCCGCACACGTGCACTGTTTTTGAGACGTCTCAAAAGCAGTACTAGCTGTGGATGGGTGTACCGTATCAGGGTGCTTGCTTTGGCTTCGTAGTGCTTGTACTACACCACACACGCAGCTAACACCCGCACACGTGCATGGTTCCATACCGTAACATACCATACGGGATCAGATGGGCGTGGGTGCGATGGATGGATGTTCATTTTTCATGCCAGGAAGGAGTGTGGGTGGGATGTAGTGGAATAAAAAAATGTTTGACGGTGTGTGTGTGTTAGGAATTAAAACTCCCTTGCCCAATTTCCCGAGAGTGCCAAGCTTGCCGCTCATTAGTCCTGTCAGGGACAAATTCCCTTGGGGTGTTATGAGTTGTATGAAAGAAGAGTGCGCAGAATGCAATATCGCGGAAGTGATTACAACTACTGAGCAAACATCGGGGCCTAGGCATAATATAGCAAGGCTAGCTAAGCCCGAGGTCGCGAAGTCGTGCGAGGGTTGGGTGTAGGTTTGGGTTTGGAAAACCCGAAGGCGACGCGGAGGACATTCGGGAGGCGAGGTCGTCGGACCGAGCCTGAACTCCGAAAAGTTGGAGATGTACGCGTAAGCGGTGCCTCAGTAAGGAATTAGCAAAATTCCTTACACTACCCCCCCCTTCAAGAAAGGTGGTCAATATCAGGCACGTGTCGGCGAGAAAGATACTGCCGGAGTACCGACTGCCCTTGTAGTGAGTCAGCCGGGACCCACGTGTCGTCGTCACTTGTGCGATCCACCCATCGCAGTAGAAAATCGACGTGGCGGCTGGCTGGGGTCGCACGAATGCGATGATTCAATATCTTCCAGGGTTGGAGCGTGGGATCTGCTACCGGTCGGACACTTGGCGCCTGGTGGGGTCGAGCGACGTCGGAGGACTGGGGTGCCACGTAGTGGCGAAGTAAACTGACGTGGAAGGCGTCGTGGATATGCCAATCGTCTGGGAGGAGAAGTTTCGCAGTGACCGGTGTCAGCATTCGAATGATGCGGAAAGGTCCCACGTGTCAAATGTTGTAGCCTGTAGTGAGGTTTGTCTTAGGGGGTACAGAAGTTAGGGTTTGTCATATGTACCCCAACCAACATCAATGCAACACCCATTCCTCATTCTGACATGGTATCAGCTAGGTTAGGATCCTGTGGGATCCCGTTCCTCCGTTCTCCGTTCGTACCTCCCGAGCCTGATCCTACCTCTCGTTCGTACTAGTTTAGTTGTTACCGCGCCTAGTACCGAGCCTAGCATCATCTCCCCCGTCGCGTCGCACTCGTTCCCCCCGTCGCGTCGCGCCCGTTCGCCCCGTCGCGTCGCGCCCGTTCCCCCCGTCGCGTCGCGCCCGTTCCCCCCGTCGCGTCGCGCCCGCCTGTTCCCCCCTGTCCCGTCGCGTCGCCCTGCCCTGTCCCGTCGCCCTGTCCCGTCGCGTCGCCCTGTCCCGTACCGTCGCCCTGTCCCGTCGCGTCGCCCTGTCCCGTCCCGTCGCGTCGCCCTGTCCCGTCGCGTCACCCTGTCCCGTCCCGTCGCGTCGCCCTGTCCCGTCCCGTCCCGTCCCGTCGCCCTGTCCCGTCGCGTCGCCCTACCCCGTCGCGTCGCCCTGCCCTGTCCCGTCGCCCTGCTCCGTCGCGCCGCCCTGCCCCGTCGCGTCGCCCTGTCCCGTCGCGTCGCCCTGCCCCGTCGCGTCGCTCCCGCCCTTTCCCCCGTCGCGTCGCCCTCCCTAGGCCCTAGCCCGTCGCCCTCCCTAGGCCCTGGCCCGTCGCCCTCCCTAGGCTCTGGCCCGTCGCCCTACCCTAGGCCCTGGCCCGTTGCCCTACCCTACGTTTTGGCCCGTCGCCCTAGCCCGCTCTTCCGCTGCGACTGAGTCCTCTTCCCCCCCGGTTGTTACTCGCCTGTTCGTTCGCGTTGGTTCTCACTATGGCGACTCCACGAGTTCTTCGTTTCGACGCTGACGGTAGACCCCTTGACTTTTCCATCTGGCTTCTTCGCGCTCGTCGTCTGTTAGAGAGTCAGGTCCAAGGGGGCGAGACCCTCTGGTCACACGCTACTGGTGACCTCCCCGAGCCCCCCGAGCCTACCGCTTTAGGCCCTGCTCCTGACGACGCTGCTACGGCTCGCTTTGCCCGTCAGCGCGCTGACCGGACGGCTTGGACGTCGCGTGACGCTGCGGCCTGCATCGCACTCAGCAGCCTCCTCCCTGAGTCCGAGGAGGTCCACTTTACTCAGGTTTGCACCGCTGCTGCGTACCTCACTGCGATTAAGGCCCGCTACTCTACTCCCGCTACTGTCTCTCTCGGCCGTCTTTTCCTCCCGTTCCTGTTTCCTGATCTTGCCTCGTTTGAGCGCTCTGCTGACTTGATCGCTCACCTCCGCTCGCTCGACGCTAGTTACCGCGCTGCTTGCACTGAGGCACAGCTTGCACTGCTTCCTCCCCCCATGGCGATTACTGTCTATTTCATCGCCACTAGCCTCCCTGACCGCCTTGCCTCCGTTCGTGACGCGCTTCTGCTGAAGCACCCTAGTGAGCTGACTATCGAGGTCCTTGAGTCTGCACTCAAGGACGTCGAGAGCAACCTTCGTTCGGTAGCTGCCGCCTCTGGTACTGTGTCCCCCCCACTCTTCCACGGGTGCACAGTCCCGCAGTTACCCACCTTCACTGCCTCTCTTGCCACTGCCGCTACTGACGCGACTGCGGCTGCTGTTACGACTGCGTCGCGGTCCCGCGGCAGGGGGGGCAAGAAAGGTGGTTCCGGTGGAGGTGGAGGCGGAGGTAGCGGAGGTAGTGGGGGTGCTGTTGCGACTGGCGGTGGTGGGAGTGCAGCGTCTGGAGAGACCCCTCGTGCAGCGGCTGGTGACTCCACTGCACCTGCTGGTGGCGGCGACCCTCGAGCTCGTCAGTCGCCTCCTGTACTGCCGGCCCCGCTAGGTGGAGCAGCGGCGTGGTACCAGGCTCAGCGTCAGCAGCACCTTCGGCAGCAGCAGCAGCCCCTTTCCTCCCAGCAGCCTCAGCAGCAGCAGCGTCAGCAGCTGGCTCCGGGGTCGGGGCTGCGTCAGCCCCAGCGCGGTGCTGCTTACCCTCCCTGCCCCTACCAGGTTCAGACAGGTCCTCGTCGGGGCCACCCTTGTGGCCGCTTTCACCCCCCTGGTCAGTGCTTTGCTCAGCTCACTGACACGGTCCGGTTGACCTACGGGGTTGGCGGTCCTGCTCCTGACTGGCTTCCTCTGGTTAGGCGCCACGGCTCCGCTCTGTGGGGCATGTCTGCTGAGCAGTTAGTTGATCTGATTAGTGCTCCTCATGCTATGTATGCTGTTGTTGACTCTAGTGTTTCTGACTCTGTTTACTCTGGTGTTGTTAGCTTAGGTGCTAGTCTTGCTCAGTTGCCTGTTGCTAGTGTAGGTACTTGTGTAGACTCTAGACCAGCGACTACCTCAGAGGACGCTTCGCTGTCGTTCACACTGGACTCTGGAGCCTCCCACTGCTTCTTTCGGGACAGCACGACACTTACACCACTTCCTGCGCCTGTTTCTGTAGCGTTGGCTGATCCCACTACGGGACCAGTCACTGCACGTCACACTACCACTTTACCGTGTCCTGCTGCTCCCTCCGGGTCTCTCACTGGGTTTCACGTCCCCTCGTTCTCCCGGAACTTGGTGGGCGTGCGACCCCTCGTGAGTCAGCACGTGGGTGTGTGGTTTGAGCCTTCTGGAGAGACTGCGGTGTGTGTTGACGGAGACTCTTACCAGCCTCTTGCTACCTTTACTGCTGAGCCGGGCTCGGGTCTCTACACTCTTCACACTGGCCCGCGTGCGCCGCAGCAGCAGCCGCAGCAGCAGCAGCAGCCGCAGCAGCAGCAGCAGCAGCAGCAGCAGCAGCAGCAGCAGCAGCAGCAGCACCAGCGGTCGCACCAGCAGCCCCCCCTACTGCCACTGCCCCCGGTTCCCCCCCCCGTTCGGGTCCCCGCGTCTCACCAGGTTGCTACGTCCCCCCAGGTGTCTGTGTCGTGTCAGGTTCCTACGTCTGTTCCAGTCGCTGCGTCGTGCTCCTGCCGGTCGCTTGCCCACCCCACCGTTCTGTGGCACCACCGGATGGGGCACCCGTCCCTTCCACGTCTGCGCGCTATGTCTAGTCAGCGTCTTGTCCTAGGCCTCCCACGTGTCTTGCCGTCGCTGCCGCCTTCGCCTGCGCCGCCGTGTCGTCCCTGCGTCGAGGGTAGGCTGCGCGCCACCCCTCACTCCTCCTCCCTTCGTCCGGCCACCGAGCCTTTTGAGACGCTTCACTTGGACGTCTGGGGCCCAGCCCCTCGTCTAGGCCCTGAGCGTGAGCGTTACTTTCTGGTGGTAGTTGACGACTTCTCCCGCTACACCACAGTGTTCCCTCTGGCGAAGAAGTCTGAGGTGACTTCTACGCTGATCAGGTGGTTGCTCACCACTGAGGACACTCGTGGTCGTCGTGTCAGCTGTCTCCACTCCGACCGTGGGGGTGAGTTTCGCTCCGGCATTCTCGCTGGATTCTGTCGCGAGCAGGGCATTCGTCAGTCCTGGACGCTTCCAGAGTCCCCACAGCAGAATGGGGTTGCTGAGCGCCGCATAGGCCTGGTCATGGAGATCGCCCGCACCTCCCTGACTCACGCCTGTGCCCCCCATTTTCTGTGGCCCTACGCGGTCAGGTACGCCGCGCACCAGCTGAACCTCTGGCCACGTGTCTCTCGACCAGAGGTTTCACCGACCAGTCTTTGGACAGGGTCCCCTGGTGTTGCGTCGCGGTTTCGTGTCTGGGGGTGCTTGGCTCTTGTCCGCGACACCTCCGCGGACAAGCTCTCGCCTCGTGCCGTCCCCTGTGTCTTCCTTGGTTTCCCTGAGGACTCCTCTGACTTCACCT